AGAGCTAGGATAGTACCGGCTATAGTTAGATACAATAGTATTATATATACTATAGCTATCTCTAGAGTTAGATAGTACCTCTAATTCGATATTTTACCTATCGTCTATTATTTGCTACTATTGCAAGTGTTATATAACTATTTTTATAGTTATCTATTATTACTTAATAGCTATCTTTCTATTTATAGAGAGTAGTAGTTATTTATCTTTATATTACCTACTACTTTCTTACAATAGATACTTTATAGAACTAATTCTATAATATTAATAACGTAGTAGTATAGCATAGCTTCTACTAGCTACTCTTAAACTAGGCTAGTAAGCCTATATACTTTAATAATCTTAAATACATAAGGCTTATCTTATAGTTACTCTTAGATAAGACTAGTTATAACAGTAATATAATATAGTATAGAAGTTTTAATAGTAAGATAATAATAATAATACTAGTATAACTTATAAATAAAGAAGATAGAAGATTATAGCTAAATAGATAGCTTTATCTATTCTTAACTTATATACTTATGCAGTTTTACTACTATAGTTATATAAACTATAGATACTATATAAATTATAAACTTACTAAGCTTAGCTTAGAGCAGAGTAGTTATTATTACTTACGCTAATTTTTAAGAAGTTTTTAGTATTAGTTTATAGTGCTGTATATAGGCCTTGCTTAGAACTATTAACTAGTACTAGATTATATATTCTTATACTTTTTTAATACTTTTTTATGCTAATAGTAGAGAGCAGTTACTATTATTTTTTAGTCTAGCTTATTTCTTAATAATATCTCTACTTTACGTTTCTATATAGAATAAATATCTTACTTTATACTATATAGAGCTAAAGTAGACTATTTTGCGCTAGAATAGAGTAGTTTTAGTAGAAGCTTAGTAAGAGTAGTCTACGAAGCTATATAGTCTGCTAACTTATAATATATATTATATATTATATAACTATAGATCTAATTAAGATATATTAGCTTAGATATATACTACTAAGCTATTATATCTCTAGAAATAATTCTTATATTAATAAAAGAATAGTAAATAAATAAGTAATAATGCTAATAGACTAAGTAGCTAAGATTTAGATAAAGATAAAGTAGTATATATATAAGATAGTATTTATTAAGAAGCTATAAGAGCTAGTAAGCGTTAAATAGATAATAAAAATTCTAAGAGTAACGTATTTAATATAGCTACTTTTTTATAAAGTATCTACTACTATAGATACTAAGTAAGATAGCTTATTAGCAGTAAGCCTATTAGATTATAGTATTCTAGAGTATTAGTATTTAATATTTAATACTAGAACTTATATATAGAAAAGGTACTTAATAAGAGTAAGAGAGATAGTTACTATATTATATTAGTAAGATTAACTAGAGTATAAAATATAGTTACAAAATATAGTTTATAAAATTATAGCTAAAGCTAACTATACTTAGTCTTATAACTTAAAACTTTAGTATATATACTCTCTATATATATAGTCTCTATTCTAGAAGTTAGAGCTAAATATAGTCTACTTTAGCTTAGCTATTAAATAAAATATTCTTTTTTAAGCTCTAAGAGATATCTAGCTTAATATCTCTAAAACTAGTATATAGAAAACTCTAAAACTTTAGACTCTATTTTCTTATAGTATTTAGATTCTATATTAAGAGTTTTAGATTTATACGTAGCTATATACTATAGAATACTAGAGTTTAAAGCTAAGCGAGGCTCTATATTTTACTAAGCTCTAACTCTAGCAATACTGGGCCTAATTAGGTAATTCTAAAAGTATTAGAAAGTTCTAATCTAGGGCTTTCTAAATATAAAATAAAATCCCCAAAAAGTTCAAAACTCGTAGAGTTATAGAGGAAAGAGTAATGCCAAGAAAAACTGGCCGGCTCGGTGGTCTGGCCGGCTCAGTGGTGGAATACGTTAAGGAAAGTAAGAAAGTACTATAACTCTTTGCTATAATCGCTGTCTTACACAAAGCTAGCGCGATGCTTCTTCGGCATAGACAAATACTCAACCTCATGGCTAACATAGATAGTATTATGCGCAGACGGGAGTATAGCCCTCTGACTGTCGTCATCAGGAATGCTGGTCTCGCTCCTCTGGCCCTTTCCCTTACAGATGGTGGTGAGGACTATGCCACCGCGCTCAACGTCGCATTTGTTGTCAGACTCGAATGCGGATATAGTTTGTACAACAGTGGGGCTATCCTTGTCGCCATCGCTGTCGCTGTCGCCGTGGCGCGCGGTGTAGCGCGAGCTTTCGTCGCATTTGGCATCGCTGTAAGGGGTTTCGGTCTCGGGGGCGTTGTACTGGGCTACGGTCCATGTTGCTTTTGCTTCTTTGTTGTCTCTTTTGAGTGTGCGCGTCATCTGAGCGGATGTTAGTTTGGGATACATAATACCACGGAAGGGAATGCTACGTACATAGTATAAAAGTGCTGCGTTGGCGAAGATGTCGATGCCGCAGGATGTGAGACACAGCCAGCCAGGAGCCTCAATCATGATTAACATGACGAGGTTGGAAATGGTAGCGATGACGGAGCCGAGCGCAGTCCACATGGATTTGATGGCTAGGCTGCGGAGTCTTCGGTTCGAAAACTGGTTGCGCATAAGAGGTACGACGAACATGGCAAGAAGGTAGAAGTTGACGAAGACGTCGAGACCCATAAGTGGAATGAGTGCCCACCACTCCCAGCCAAAAGTGCAAACGCCGTCTTCCCGCAGAGCATAAACGCGGCGCCGTCTCGAGTAATATAAAAACTGCAAGCCAGCATCCCATGATAAAGAAGTTGAAGCGGTAGTGCCATGATTGGAGACGGACGCTCACCACCACGGACGATGAAGGCGCGCTCCATCAAAAAGAGATAGAGACCAAGTTTCGTCGTTGTGTAGAACCAAGTACATAAGAAGAGGCCTGTAGAGCACTCGTGCAAGCTCTGACTGAGTCCGACACCAAGGTTTAAAACACCTCCGACGAAGATGTAGCACCAGCTGGAGAAGAGAGCGATCAAGATGGTTACAACCGAGTAGGGCATATTCCACTGTATCATTCCATGTTAGTATGATGTCATCCCAGAATGTAAAAGGTAGAAGCTCACATGAACGATTCTACTCAATGTTTCCAGGAACGCAAACCGGGAAGCGATCATAACTGTCATCAACGGTAACACAATCAGGTAGCCGACAGCTACAGCGACCTGAGTCTCATGGTTAGGGAACCAGGGAATGTTGGAGTATGTGCCATCTTCGTAACCCATAATGGTGGATCTCTTGTCGGTCAGCACACAAGGCGTTCGAAATTGGTTCAATAGATGAGGTTTTCTCTTTCCCCTGGTTCAACACCTCGTACTTATATATATAAGCCTGAGGAGCCCTCTCCTCGGAAGGATCGTCAGGCTACAGCATCCCAGCCTCATGTTGTTATAGCGGTACTAAAAGAGCGCAAGGTCTGACACCATCGAGAATGCAGGGTACTGATAGCAGAACCTGCTCCAAGGAAGATCGCATACGTTGGAGTAATAAGAGAGCATTGGGGTTGAACTCTGCGACTTCTGAAACGAGCTACATGGTAGATGCTAGCGCGTTGACAGAACCTTACAAGACGAAAGAGCGAACTAGCCCAGCACGTGTGAAAGCTTATCGACAACACTGTGATCTAGAGCCCAATGGCGTAATTTAAGCGTTACTAGTAGAACTTAATCAAGGTATTCTTTTATGCTCAGCCTCGCATCGAAGATTCTTCGAACTTTGTTCAAGATATGGCACCATGATTAAGGTATAGACGTTTCAATCTAAACCTACTTGCGGCACCATCGTCTGTTCTAACCTTTGCTTCTTTTCCTCCATAGCCTTCCGCCGCAGAAAGGTCTTTTTTATCCGAGCTGTTGGGAACGCGCTGCTAAGTAGTGACGAATTAAAACTTTCCCTAGCTTCTTATTAACTCTGCATTATGTTTGCTGTGCCCATTTCACGTCAGTTGCTTCATGCAAATTTGAGTGAACATGCCCTCATTTAAAATTGAGATTCGCTCCATGAACAATATCGCAAAGGGAAACCCAGTCATATGTGTTTGATTAACTCGGTACCAATTCTTCCAGCGGTTTATACGGAGCCTCATGTTGGCTTTTGCAAACAGCACTCTTTTCTACCAGTATTAATGCGTGCGTAGAAGGCACTAGACAGAACTCGCAGCCCAATATGTTGCCTTAAAGCCACGTGTACAGGTGCGCGAGCAACATAGTCTAAGGAATTTCGCTTCTCATCCATTTGAACGTATTCGTTGCGCTCCCGAAATATATTGACTACCTCCTTTATCTGTTCAGTAAGTAGATAGATCTCCGACTTCTGATCGAAGTCTAGGTCCGGCTTTTGTAGCGCGGTTCAGGGCTCACACATCTCGCGATCAGAGGACACCATAGAAGATAAGTGCGGACACGCTAATAATATAAAATAGAATCCGAATTTGTTCCGGAAATTCCGTCATGTCTTAGATTTGGCGAGTTCCATGTCCGCAACACAACGCCTGCTTATTCATCGAAGCTTCTCAGGTCTTTGTATGCTAGTTCTTGATAGACTCTCTTAAGTGATTTTCTAGTACGTATATACGAGAACAGAACAGAACAGAAGGCTAAGAGTAGAATGAGGCAGGCAGCTTGGCTTATAGTATGCGTATAGACTAGATGCCTAGAACGGCTTAAAGAAAGACTTTAGACTACTACAGAGGCTCTATAAGTATGGCAACAGGAAGCCTGCTAGGTGCTCGCGATAGGCTACTTGTGGTAGACAGGCTCACACAGCTTCTTATGGATCGACCAGTGGTGCTTCTGGCACTTGACTGAACAGTACTTCCTATCCTTGCACTTTGCACACATCAACAACTTCTCACCACCTGAGCCTGCGATGACGCCGCAAGTCGCGCACGCATGAGGATTTTGCTGCTTCTCGCGGAGTTCCTTGATGATCGCAGACGTGAAGGAGTTGCCCATGCCCGTGTTGAACAGTCCACCTGGGCTAGGGACATTCATGCCAATGAAGCCTAGTCCGTTAGGCTTTCGGTTGTCGCTATCCGCGTTCGCTGTCTCGACGAGATCCTTTGAGTGGAAGTCGTAGGGCTCGCCGTTCTTGTAACCGTTGGGACCATGGAGGGCCTTCTTCATCTGCTTAAGCGCATCGGGCATGAGGCCCCCTTCGGTGTACACCTTCTTGAGCAGAGAAACATAGGATGCTGGTAGCTGAGAGCCAAGTGTCATCGCACACGCGCCGAGTAGGACGTAGACATAGCAGGGGTCTTGGAGGTAGTGGTCCAATTCTTGCTCCTTGGTGGGTACGGCGAGCATCTTCGCCTCCCTCTCTGCGATCAGGTAGTTGAGGACGCCGGAGTCAAGATGCTTGCGAACCAGATCCGGGTCGGAGCAGCCCTTCCCGTCGATTGTGTAGTAGATCTGGCCGATTTCTTTGTCGTCCTTGCCGGAAGCCTTTGCGAGAGCCTGGGCTTCGTCTTCCATCTGGTTGAGACCAGCATCATGATTGAGTTCGCTGATGATGTCGAAGTCATGATCGGACTGGAAGAGACCTGGTAACAATGTGAGTTTGAAGCACTGGACAGCTTTTCATGCAAGCTTACCATATCCCCAGGCACCCATTTTGTGTATCGGGACGTGATGCGAACGCAGGTCGGTGGTGGGAACCTTGGTATGAGCAAGGCTGTAAGACCAACCGCGCAGTCAGCAGCAAGTTTAGAGTTGGTCGAGTGAACTTTATGTGAGAGAAATTTAAGAGTAAGAGTGCGAGTGAGACTCATGAGACGAACTCGTTCCCTAAACGCGCTCAGATTCTACGTTGGGCAGGTGCGTTGACGCGTGCCCCCGTGACCGTGCCAACCAACGAAAATCATGTATTTCTACGCCTCTCATATACGAACAAGGGTAGCACTAATCGTGTCGATCTCTCAGAGCTTCAAAAGTACAGATTGGTTGTACGAATAAACAGTCCTCTCAAGTTATGTCACTGGTAGGGTATGTACAGTGCCTGCATACGAAATCAATCAAAATCCATTCGTTAGATATTTGCACCATGACATAATGACATACATAAAGTTGAACTCATCTAAGCATGCTAGGATGATTGCTTTGTCAGAAGGATAAATGAACTGCCACCCGTTGCATGTTTGGTTTTACACGAGCGTTCTTTACATATGTAGCGAAACATGATTTTTCCATCAGCTTCGCAGAAAAAACACATATAAACGCATGTAAACAACAGCGACGATGTTGGGAAGACACTTCTGCATGCTTGCTTTCAATCATATTAGGTACATCTACCCTGACCGCTGTGGGAAACGAGTCTGTTGGTATGAATACACCGCCGAAGCTAACATATGAGAAGAAACGTTGTAATCCTCAAATTCGTCATGGCAGGGTGACGAGATACCTCCAAACGCCGATGTATGCCAGTAGTCCAAGGGCCGACGTTCATGCCCGCAAAATCCAAACTACTAATACAACTAACACACTAATGGCAAGAATTGAGAGCGTGGACGATGTGACCATCTGCTCGCTACTGTAGACCAGCCTTGTTCGTCTTGACTGTATGCGCGATGGGATGAAGAATGCCCTGGTTGTCCTCAGTGCCCAACGCCATCCCCTTCGACCAGCCCATTTTCATCATTAAGGCATGTCCTTTGTTTTCTGGGCCCAACTCTGGAGCATTCGCACCAACCTTTTCACCGTCGCGGTAACCGACCTGAGGGCGGGTGCGAGGTCCGGAGCGGAAGATCGCAGCTCGTGACGGTCCACCACCGTTCTTGCCTTGCAAAGGTCCGCGAAGGCGCTTCACGAAGCCTCGATGGGAAATTGCACGGTCGAACTCGGCATCCGTATATGTTCGAGTGCGAGAAGTCCTTGAAAGTACGGTGAAACGATCTTGTCCATCGCCACGTGAGCGCGAAGAGAGTTCGAAGAACTTGGCAGCTTGATGTATGGTGGCACGGCGGTGTGCGTCCATAGGCGGGAGTGACATGCTCTGGCTATCGCCCAGCAAGAATTCGCGGATTTCCTCGACGACGTCTTCCATGGTAACCCCACCAGAGTATTTGACTTTGAGATTGGCACCTTTTCCCTTCCTGCCCAATAGTCCCTGCTGGCGCAGCTCTTCACGTTCTGCCTTCTTCAGACGCTTCTTCATACGATCGGCCTCCCACGCGTTTTGCAACTGCTCGTTCAGGTCTGAGTCGTCCAGTTCGGGTGGCATCTGGCCACGTCGTTCCTTCTTCTTCGCCTTGAGCGATGGTCTCTCGGTATCCATGATGTCGAACCCTCCGTACGGGTCCATGGCAAGAGCATCGGCCATGGCAGTTGCAGAGGGAAAGGTCGGGTCGCGATTGTTGCGTCCTCGTGCCTTTTGCTTCCTGTGTCCCCGACCATGATTGCGGTTAGTCAATACGGTATTGGTATGGCCACTGAAGTAATTATCGCCACCATACAGGAGCAGCTCATCGGACCCGAGACCAAGCTCTTCTTGTTTCTGTAGCACCCTCGCAATCGTCTCGTCGTCGAGCTCTTCTTCGTCTTCGTCTTCTTCCTCCTCTTCGTCATCATCCTTGTCGTCGTCTGTGGATTCGCTGTCACTAAACTCCAACTCCCGCATGAATGCCTCCTCCTCGAACGCACGAACCAACCTTTTCTCGCCTGAACCCTTCAAGAAAGTCCCCGGCAGCCAGTGAGCATCGTCTACAACCGAGCCCTCGTAGACGCATAGATATTGTGGACCACCATTTCGTGTGCGCTTGGACAGTATGCGCACAACAGTGTCCATGACATCGGAAGACGTGCTCAAATTCTCGAGATCTTGAAGCATGTCAGAGTCCCAGCCATCAATACCTTGAGCTTCTTCTCGTTGATCGCGGCCTTGGCTTTCATGCTGACTGCCTGATGCTGACTCCCAGTCGTTGTGGGTTCCCGCATCGAGGTCCATTTCGCGGCGCGCGAAACCAGAGGCAGCCATCATGTCACCCGTGAGCCCGAAATCTTCCATGTTCTGCATGTAGTCATCCATGGCTGCATCTCGCGGATTGACTTGGCCACGCAAGAAGGCCTCCATGTCCGGCCGATCCCCAACGGGCAGCCAGCCGATGTTTGGCTTGCTCCTGTGCTCCCATGGCGTGGTCATACCCTCCCATACGGGTCTGCCGCCTCGCCGCTTGGCAAAAGGATCTTCAACGACGCCATCTGAGTCCGAGGAGTCAGCTGCAACTACGACGGGGTTGGCCTTGGTTCGAATGGTCGCCTCTGCCGAGAATTTTGGGTCCAGTGCAGGAAGTGTGGTCTCGACGGCGGCCGAGGCAGCCGGAAGTTGTGTAGTACGGGTTTGCGGTGTCTCTTGAAGGTCCATGGCTGGAACAGCAACGTGCACAGCTAGTTTAGTTGTTGTAGACGTCGTGGGCGCCGGCGGTAGAATTTTGGAATGGGTCGGCTCTCTTGGTGCTGGCTGGAACGCGTCGAGGGGAGCAGAGTGAAGTTGCGACACTGGTCCACGGCCCTTGAAGACAACCTCATCTGAGCTTGACGACGTGTCCGAGGCGGCAGGCGACGGGCTTCGGATTGCCATGTGCGCCATGGCGTCGGTGTTCTCTTGGGTCGAGGAAGGAGAGGAGGGAGCGGGCGAATCGTTGTCAGATTCAGACACGGCCAGTTCAGCAGGAAGTAGGTCCTTCTTGATGGTGCCTTCCAGATGGCCAGCGCTGACGAACTGTATGGGCATTTGGCGCAGCTTCTTGCCGGTCTCGAAGGCGGCAGTGCGGTGGTTTGACATGCCCGTGTGGCGTGCTTCGTCCATGAGGGAGAATCTGGGTGTTGCTACAGGCTCGGTCAACACGCGGTCTCACGGTGAAGCGGAGGGAAGTGAAGGGGCGTACACTCGTGCGTGGGCCATGGTTGGGACGTGTGGCGTTTGGCGGGCGTTCGCTGCGGGGTGTTCTTCACGGAGCCTTTGCCCTTTCCCTTTCCCTTTTTGCGCGACATGGGGACGCTCGTGTGTATGAATGCGCGAGTGCGAGGAGGCAAGCAACTGTGAGTGCGCGGCGAAGGTGAAGCTCCGAACTTTTGGACATGATGCGCACTCGGGTGGCGTTCGGAGCTAGCTTATCGGCAGGGTACATGTGCGGCTTATCGTCCCGTACCTACCTTTGGCGGCGACCAAGTTGACCTGGAGCTGTCCACGGCGTGGTCACTGGAGGCTCAGACTCAAGCACCTGGGCAAGCAGCTCCACGCTCTGCGCAAACAAAAATTCAGGGCGCGCGCGCTCTTCCCACCCACAGCGGACGCTGCATTTGTGGCGGAAGCGTGGTGCCAGTGACACGGACAGCTGAGCTGAGCCCCTCCCCCGCCATTCCTGAGCTCCCGCCCGCAAGGCAGCATATGACCCTCAGCGTGAGCTCGCCGCAGCTGCCAAACATCACCGCCCTGTCTTGAAAGTCCACAGCTGAGCTCCCACTTGGCCTCCCTATCACTAACAGCACGCGTCTCGCACATCAAAGAGGAGCCCAAGTGCATGGTGCATAGCTGCAAGCAGCCCTCCCGTTCCCTACCCCGGACCTCTCCCTCCGCAGCCGCCTGCATCGCCGCCCTCGACACGCACGCGCAATGAACGACTTTGAGCGCTTTGGCAGAAACGTCGTCCGCACCTTCTACGATCCTCCGCCCTGCAACGAATCCAACGAACCCATCTGGCTACTGGGCCAGCGCTACGACTCCAGACCCCCCCTACCGAAGCCCGCCCCCAGCGACTCAAGTACCACTGCCACGGCCACCGCGCAAGCTGAGCGCAACGAAGACGAAAGCTGGATAAGAACCAGCATAGACGATAAAGAACGCAAAGAGGCTCCAAATGGCGAAGATCCTACCCAGTACGGCAACTGGCCGTCGGCCTTCCTCGATGACTTTGAATCACGCGTGTGGATGACGTACCGGTCAGGCTTCTCGCCTATACAGAAGAGCCAGGACCCAAAGGCAACAAGCGCCATGAGCTTCCGTGTAAGAATGCAGAATCTCGCGTCCCCTGGATTCACATCTGACGCCGGCTTTGGATGCATGATCAGGAGCGGACAGTGCATCCTCGCGAATGCGCTGCAGATTCTGCGCTTAGGACGTGACTGGCGGTGGCAGGAGAACCACGCAGACAAGGACCATGCTGAGATTCTGTCTCTGTTTGCCGACGACCCACAAGCACCCTTTTCCATACACCGCTTCGTTGAACATGGGGCGGCCGTGTGCGGCAAGTACCCCGGTGAATGGTTTGGCCCGTCTGCAGCCGCGCGGTGCATCCAGGACCTAGCGAACAAGCACAGAGAAGCCGGCTTGAAGGTATACGTGTCAGGAGACGGTGCCGACGTATACGAAGACAAACTAAAGCAGGTCGCCGTAGATGAGGACGGTCTGTGGCAGCCTACGCTAATCCTGGTCGGTACTCGGTTGGGAATCGACAAGATCACGCCAGTCTATTGGGAAGCACTGAAGGCAAGTCTGCAGATACCGCAGTCTATTGGTATCGCGGGGTCAGTTTATCCAACATTAATTTCTGCAAGAATAACCAGCTAACAATTATAGTGGCCGGCCTTCCGCATCGCACTACTTCGTGGGCGTCCAAGGCAACAACTTCTACTACCTGGATCCTCATAGCACAAGGCCTCTACTCCCGTTCCACCCACCTTCTTTAGCAGCCGCTACATCCGACACGCCTAATCTTACGGCTTCAACAACATCTGTGTCCTCCACCACGTCGTCGACGACAATTGTTCCTCCTGCGGACTCTATCCCTGCCCCCTCTGACCCCCGACAGTCTCTATACCCCCCGTCAGATCTATCAACGTGTCACACACGGCGAATTAGACGCTTGCAGATTCGCGAAATGGATCCTTCCATGCTCCTTGCTTTCCTTGTCACGTCGGAGGCTGACTACCAGGACTGGAAAGAAGGTGTGCAGGGCGTGCAAGGCAAGTCTGTGGTGCATGTGCAAGACAAAGAACCGCCGCCTAGGGGTCAGGAACGTGAGGGGGCAATTGATGAGGTTGAAAGCTGGGACGAAGACGGCTTGCAATAGACAAACGTGCATCCGTGCTTGCGGGCTGGTTTCGATGGATTGATGCATGCATACTCGGCGTCTTTGGGTAGAGTTTGCTTCTCGAGTGCGCAAATGGTTAGTTACATGCTGTAGACGCAATATTTGTACGGATCGCCCAAGACAATTGAACATGACTCTGTATCTCGTATCCGTTGATGCTGATTCTGCGGGCTCACCGCTATTTGATAGTCCAAGTGCAAGGATACGGAAGCGTTGTTGGCAGCCCGAGATTCTGAATTCGCGCGATACCCGGAACCAATCTTGTCCTATTTCCGCAGTCTGTCCAAAGAACGGGCTTACAAATGGCCGGTCAGTGTAAGATTACGGTGTAGCCGTGACCTGTTCATTAAGCGTGTAGCAAATTCAAGAAATGGGCGATGGAGATGGAAGATGAAGTTTGAAGAATTGATTCGTTCCCGTCTGCTGTGGTATAATATACAGACCCAGTGATGATGGACCTCGTAGTCAAATCATGACTCGAATGACGAGAAACAAGCAAACCGACCCATGATCACATTATCGGAAATGACCCATGAACACCGCACCCCATAGCCTGCTCATCGGAAAAGACAAGCGAAGAAACCCAAAGAAAGACACGTCGAAGAAAGGCACTCTATTTGGTGGATGAAGAGTACTTTGTGACGGCCTTGGTGCCCTCAGAGACGGCGTGCTTGGCGAGTTCACCGGGTAGGATCAGACGGACTCTGCAGAGTTGTTAGCGTATGCACATGGAAGATGCGATTCAGAGAAACGTACGAGGTCTGGATCTCGCGCGACGAGATGGTGGACTTCTTGTTGTATGCGGCAAGCTTGGAGGCCTCAGTGGCGACGCGCTCGAAGATGTGCGTTGTGGTGACGAACGAGTTCAGGATGCTCATGGCGCGGTTGGAGATACCAGTGTCGGGGTGGACCTGCTTGAGAACTGTGGAAACGCGTCAGCAAATACTGCTGAATGGAATCGGATGCAGCGGATGCATTGGAAGGCAATGCAAGAGCTGCATGTCGCGCTCGTGACGCGTCAATGGCAGAAACTCACCCTTGTAGATGTATGAGGAGTAGGTCTCCTTCCTGGTCTTGGTGCGCTTCTTCTTCTCGCCAGAGGGAGCGGCGGTCTTCTTGCCAGCCTCCTTCTTCTCAACGGGTGCCTTTCCAGCCGGGGCCTTGCCGCCGGTGGTGGGAGTCTTCTGCGCTTTGGGAGGCATTTTTGGTAAAGGTGGGGGAGGTGAAATGTGGTTTGAAAGTGGGCGGGTTGGGTGAGATGCAGCTGGTGTGGGTGGGTAAGTCGAGAGTTGCGATGGATGGAGACTTTAGGTCGTCGACGGCGGGGGACGCGCTACTTATGGAGAGCGCGCTCGCTGTTGTGATCCAGCAGGCGCGAGATGGCCCGAGCGCGGGGGTCGCTGCTGGTTTGGGCGGCTAAGCGAGGCCAGTGTTGATTCAGTGCGCGTGGGGCCGTGGATCAACCTGCCTCACCAGCCCTCGTCGCGCTAGGCCGCACAGGTTGATCTCGCGCCCACCACAACACGCTTGCCAGTCCTTATAAGACCGCCCCGCCCCCCGACAGCTGCCCTTCATCCATCGTCTCGACTCCCCACGCCCACGCACATCGCCAGCCCATCTCAACCCACCACTCTTACCTCACCCAAAACAACCACCCCATCCAAACCATCAAAATGACTGGAGGCAAGTCCGGAGGCAAGGCCAGCGGCTCCAAGTCCAGCGCCCAATCGTGAGTTTTGACCTCTTCGCGCATTAGCTGCATTGCCTTTGGCGCATTTTCGCGCCTTTTGGCTGCAATTTGCCATTGTTCGACGCGTCTTTCCATTGGGTTGACGCGTCTTTTTCCATCGCATTTCATCATCTAACAATTGCACAGTCGTTCATCCAAGGCCGGTCTCGCTTTCCCCGTCGGTCGTGTCCACCGTCTCCTCCGCAAGGGCAACTATGCTCAGCGTGTCGGTGCCGGCGCTCCCGTCTACCTTGCCGCTGTCCTTGAGTACCTGGCGGCTGAGATCCTCGAGTTGGCTGGAAACGCCGCTCGCGACAACAAGAAGACCCGTATCATCCCCCGCCATCTCCAGCTCGCCATCCGCAACGACGAGGAGCTGAACAAGCTTCTTGGACACGTCACCATCGCCCAGGGTGGTGTTCTCCCCAACATTCACCAGAGTACGTCTTGCGCATGTCCAGTCTCGATTCCAATTGCTAACTCTTCTTCCAGACTTGCTGCCCAAGAAGACCGCCAAGCCAGGCAAGGGTCCTTCGCAGGAGCTCTAAGCGCATTTTGCTTTCGAGTTTCCAAGTTCATGGCGCGGTTTCATCATGGGTCTTTTCTTTTTCAATGATAATGGGAGTCGGTCTGGGTCTGGGTTCATGGCTTTCCACGGGGTTTATACCAGAGCTGTATATTAGCTGGTCGCATCGAACGACCACTGGCTCATGAGCTGAATCGAGCGATATCACTTCAACAAGACCATTTGACCTGTGAAGATTTTTTCATATTGATGACTTCTAGCATGGCGAGGTTGCGCGGCAATTGGCAACGATTTTGGGCGTTCGCGCTTACTCGCCAACGGCGTCTGGCGGGCCGCAACGATAGGTGCACGATGCCATGGCTACCCCAACCACTGGGCGTTAGAAACGGGCGCTGCTGGTCAAGGACGGAACTCAGATGCCGCTTGCATATTACACAAATGGCTGCTCTTTTGACTTGTACGCGCGGAGCTGTTTGGGGGCAAAGCAAACTACGGCGATGGCAGAATGTAGTCGACATTTGGAACCCGTCAATTATGATTGGCTGAAGATTGCTTTCATGTGCTCGAGACGAACATGTCAAATTGTGGAACGGCGGATTCATGTTTGGTCGAGACAAACATTTCAGATATATACATATGCAGTAATGGTAGATTTAAGTTTGATTGCACTGAGTTCCTAGCACGCTACTGTGGGGTGCAGCGTAGACAATATATGTACAAACTGCTTCCATGATAGGCCTCCAGCCCGCGTGCTTGGGCGTCTACAAAATCAACTTTGGGGGCGCTGCAGCCAATCAGCACACGATCAAAGAACAGCTGTAGGCAGACTCACGGTCAAGAATGGGGCAAGGCAAGTTGCGCTCGTACTTGGATCCTGCATGTTCCGTCAGTTCTGCTGTATCCGCGGCCGGGGCGGATATGTATCCGAAATGCAGCAACGAACCTCCTGGTGCCGTGGGTGGGCGGTATGGGTCGGGGTGCTTCCACTTCTCCAGCAACAACTCGGTCTCCTTGATCAGCTCCTGCGCAGAGGCGTCAGTTCCTGGTTTAACTATGGTTGGGACACGCATTGTCGGTTCTGATGGCGGGGAACGCACCCTCTGCTGTCGGGGCTCTGTGATGTTTCTCTTGGCTTCGAAGAGACTGCGGATGTACAAGGCCTGTCCGCGCCAGAGGTATCGATGGACGCTCCAGTCGAGGGCAAGCTTGAGGGACCGCCTGTAGAGGCGTCTGCTTCTCGGTCAGTGGCTGGCTATGGCGGGCGGCGGGGGAGGGGGAGGGCTGGCGTACAGGACGTGGACTCGGGAGCTCATGGCGACGCGACGCGGTGTCTTCGCATCGGCCGTCAATGGGGAGTCGGTGGGTTGTGGTCGCAATGCGTGTCGGCTCGGCAGCGTCCCAAGGTTGTTTCGAAGCTGTGAGGTTGGCCGGTCTGTGCGCCGGCTTTGGACTCGCACCTCTGACGTCCACCCAGGTGCCGGCGCAGCCCTGTCGTAGCCCAGCAATAAATCCCTCTCCCCGTCTTCGTCCACATCGAGCTTTGTCTACCCGTACTCTTTCTTTTTCCTCGCCATCGCTGGTCGCTCATACGTCCATCATGTCTGGTCAGCAGTGTCTCCGCCGTCTGCCATGCGCCGTGCGATCTGTTCCAACTCTGCGCGCAGGTGCGCGAGCTGTGAACAGACTGCCGGCTGCGCGTTCCTACTCTGCCATCTCCAAAGCAACCTCCTCTGGACTCATGGGCCAGGCGTCGAGGTCGGTACTGCCATTCAGCGGCTCAGAGCCATGCTAAATCTCTCCCAGGCGTCCTGGGCAGCTCTCCACACAACAGCTATGGGGCGTCCAACAGACACGAAGCTATGGTGCGTACACCTGCGGACAATGCCTGCGCATACACTGACTCCACATGCAGCCGACACCGTCGTCAAGGTGCCGCAGATGGCCGAGTCCATCACCGAGGGAACTTTGAAGCAATGGTCAAAACGTGCGTGCCCCATGCAGTCACCAACAATAACCGGCACTAATGCCCAGCAGAGGTCGGCGACTACGTTGAGCAAGATGAGGAGATTGCAACCATCGAAACGGACAAAATCGACGTTTCCGTCAACGCGCCCGAAGCTGGAACCATCAAGGAGTTCCTGGTCAACGAGGAAGACACGGTGACAGTCGGCCAGGAACTGGTCAAGCTCGAGCTTGGTGGCGAGCCCTCGGGCGGCAAGCAGCAGGAGGCCTCGCAGGAGCCCAAGGAGGCTGCATCAAAGGACCAGGAGACATCGTCGCAACCTTCTGGTGAACAGGAGCAGTCAAAGCCCCAGGAGAAGCAACCTGAGCAGCCCAAGCAAGAGTCAAACCCCGAGCCTCCTAAGCAGGAGCAAAAAGCTCAGCCACCCAAAAAGGAATCCAAGCCTGCACCACCAAAGGACGAGTCCAAGCCAGCTGTGCCCGGCAGCCGTGAGGAGCGTCGCGTGCGTCTCCCTGTTCTTGTGTGCCACAACGTTTACTGATGTCCTTACAGGTCAAGATGAACCGCATGCGTCTTCGCATCGCTGAGCGTCTAAAGCAGTCCCAGAACACTGCTGCCTCGCTTACCACCTTCAACGAGGTCGACATGTCATCTATCATGGAATTCCGCAAGCTCTACAAGGATGAGATCCTGAAGAACAAGGGTGTCAAGCTCGGCTTCATGTCCGCCTTCTCGCGCGCCTGCATCCTTGCCATGCGTGATGTGCCTGCCGTGAACGCCTCGATTGAAGGCCCTAATGGAGGTGACACCATTGTGTACCGCGACTACGTCGACATTTCCGTTGCCGTTGCGACCGAGAAGGGTCTTGTCACGCCTGTTGTCCGGAATGCCGAGAGCCTGGACATGGTTGGCATCGAGGGCGCTATCGCCGAGCTCGGCAAGAAGGCGCGCGACAACAAGCTCACCATTGAGGACATGGCTGGTGGTACATTCACCATCTCGAATGGTGGCGTTTTCGGCAGCTTGATGGGCACCCCGATCATCAACCTGCCACAGACTGCTGTTTTGGGTCTGCATGCAATCAAGGACAAGCCAGTCGCCATCAACGGCAAGGTCGAAATCAGGCCGGTAGGTTCTTCCGCGATTCCAAGTTGCGCGGCATAAGCTGACAATACCGACAGATGATGTACTTGGCCCTTACCTACGACCACAGGCTGCTTGACGGTCGGGAGGCCGTGACCTTCTTGGTCAAGATCAAGGAGTATATTGAGGACCCCAGGAAGATGCTTTTGTAGATGCTGCGTGGGCGTGAAAATACCGTGTAAAGTTTTTGTTCATTTAATCATAGATGAGCGGGCAGTGGCAGTGGGTTATTGTACATGTGTGGAACACGACGGGCTTCTTTTGGCTTGGGAATCAAAGCGCGTGGTGTATGATAGGTAGCCGATTGCATATTGAGCGTTTCTCGTCATGACTGGTGTATCAAATAAAGCAGTGTGTCTGATTATTATATCCACGTTTCGCGCTTGCTGTGAGTCGGCGCTGGAATTAATGTTTGCATACTATTGTGTTTGGCGGTTTGGTGTGTGAGGCACCTCCATGCACATGCGCACTATTTGATATCACTGGCCGCATTTATTGCTTTGTTTTCTCCGTGACGTTGGTAAATCATTCTTAGATGCAATGGCATGAGATCTGCAGCTTTTTGTGTCCTTTCAATATGTTGTTGTGCCAGGATTATTTTTTGTTCGCAATGATGTTGCTCGTTGAAACGAGGAAACTGGGATATCTTCAAACCTGCTGACAACAACACCGAAGTTCACTAGTACCGTATACAAACCACAATACTATGTAACATCATCAGCGTGACCACTAATTTATCCCAAAACAGTATATAGCTAGCTCAACATTGGTGTCGCAGGTAAAATTCACCATGTAGAACATGCATGTGCATTGAATATGTAGGACTGCGAACACCTTGGAATTTCACAATGTCGACAGAGAAGTTTCCAGAAGGCAAAACCGCAGCAATGATGACTTCGACCACAGTGTACATGTATATATTATGTCGCAGCATGGAATTAAGTCTGGAATTTGCGAACACGTCGCACGGTGCTCAAGTACCCCATGTCTTCCACCCGAGCTCCATTTTCGACCCAAGGCACAGATTCGGCACTACCCGACGGTCTCTGTTCGCTGCTAGAGGAACCTAGGACAGAGTGTACGTCCTCCAAGTAGGCCCACTCGGGAGGGTCGCAGCACCCGCTCACCAAAACCGTACGCTCAGGCGACAAGTTATACATCAGAGATTCATGCGAGGCCGGAACCAATACCTGCACCGTGTTTCTTTCCATGTCGAACCCACGCACCAAAGCAGTGCACACCATTTTGGACGTCCTGGGGTCCAAAGGCTCCACCATACCCGTGCGGTCAGACTTGTCAAAGTGCGGTATTCGGTAACGCTTCGTCCGGGGTAAGTCCGTGTACGGCGTCGGTATAGCAGATGAAGTCGACTCCACGATCTGCACAATCGAGCCGTTCAGAGCAGGAAACAACGATGCAGAATCTACCGGCTCAGAGTAGGTGGCGAACCCAACAAAGTCCTGCATTCGCTCGTCCGTGTCATCAAAGCAGAATTCCCATGGCACTAGCTCCGACATGCTAGATGAGTTCCACATTGGCTCACTCGACCTCGTTTTTGTGAGGTGAAAGTACGATTGCATGTGCATGGCTCTTAGTTCGGAATCGGTCCTCATGGAGCGTGGAGCCGGAATGTACGCAGTGACCTCATGCACAGTGCCACGATATTGCGATACGATGGTCTGCAAAGAGTGCAGCTTCGTCGCCTGCTCAACGTCAATCGTACGTGTATCACCCAGATGGACTGCGTAATGCGGCTTGAATCGCGCAATTAGTGCCGTGAGAAGACTGAAGTCAGACATGTACAATGAGCCGAGCAGTGTTGACGATCATAGGAAGCAGCGGATCTTGAGACCGGAGTGCGCTATAAGCGAGAAAGAGGTCCTCTGTACAAGCGCGAAAATAGTCTTGGTAATTCGCAGGGTTAGCAGGGACGCAGTGAGAGCGAATAGTCTCATTGAGGGCGGGTCCTGATTGGGAGAGCGGCGTGGCAGGATGCATGAAGTTCGGCTCGAGATTTAATGATCTCACCACGATTAGGGATATTTGGCCATGTGGTGTGTACTCTGGCTTCGAAGGATCAAGGTCTAGATAGCATACAGCTGGTAGGGATCGAGCTGCTTTGCCTTGGCCTGTGAGATATCGGTTCAGCAATCGCCGAACGAAGGTAGACTTTCCACTAGCAGAAGCACCAACAGCGACGACAACAGAGGGATCAGCTGCACATTCCTCGACAGCGCGAAGCCAGTCTTCGGGACATGATTCAGAAATAAGAGGTCGAGCGAGCGGATCAGCATCCGAGTCTGTTATCTAGTGATGGTGTTAACGATGCATGGGTCATATCCGCAGACGCGTTAGGCTGCTGGGAGAGAGGGAGAGCACCTACAACACGGAAGGAACGCGAGCCTCTGGCTCCTGTGGGCACGTTCCAGACGTCGGCAAACAGTGAAGCGGTCTCTGCGAGCGGCGTAGAGTTGGCACAATGCAAGAATTGCACATGGTTCATTCCATCCAGGCCTCTGAACTTGGAGATGGGGTGTGTTGCCGGTACATGTGCAGTATAGATCTGGTCTTGCTGCCCATCGCGGGACACGGCTCCAATATTGGCGCCGTTGACATGGATTGCGCCTCTCAAGACCCTGAACTGAAAGCAGCCGACAAGCGAGATGGTTGTATGCTTGCTCAGCTTGACAGTCAGCTCCTTGGGCGTGTCAGATATAATGTTTTGGGCTTCATTTCGCCAAGTGCATAGCTTCACGTTTTGCTGAAGTGGCAGAGGTTCGTCTTCCTGTTCCGACTCTTCATGCTCAATGATTGGACTCTGCGGCAGAGAAGTCACAGGCTCCGGCACGGGACCCAGCTCGGGCACGGCTTGCGGCACCGCGAGACTTGTTACAGCTGCTTCTGCTCGCAGTCTAGCTGCTGCGATGGCACTCAATGGCTTTCCACTAGAAGCAGGAGCGCCTGGAAGCAATTAGACCACGGATGCATGCAGGCAACTTGTAGACGTACCTGCAGACGGAGGGGCCGCAGCAACGTCCTCTGTTCGCCGTCTCTTTCCTGGCATGTTGCAATGTTTTCATCCAGAAGCACGACTCATCTGCATCGCTGCATGCTGAAAGATTGAACATGTGCTTAGCGCAGCTCTAGCGCGTGCGGCTAATGCAGGCGCGGGGGAAGATCCATGCGCGCCGACAAAAAAGTTGCGCCAGCTTCAAGCAACTCTCCGCGCGCATTGGACATGGACCAGCGTACACAATCAAGGACATGAAGAGAACATACGTGCCCGTTCCCGGCTCTAAGCCGAAGCCGAAAGCCAAAGACACGCCCTCGAAGGTGCAATTGAGCCAGGAATTCATTGGCAGCGACTCCGACTCCCCAGCCGAGACGGCGCCCAAGCCGAAGCCGAAGACGACCATCGCCGTACACCGACCAACCGCAGCGGCCAAATCGAAGGAGAAGCCGAGTAAAAAGGACACTGCGGCGCCAAAGCCCCAGCCAAAAGCGAAGCCTGCACCAAAAGAGCCTACGCCGGCGACGGTCGTGACCCAAGCGCAAGCTGACGAGCTTTCGACCCCAGAACAGACGGACGATGACGATGTACCGACGCGAGACATACAGACGAAGCTTGCGGAGAGGGATGCAAGCGCGAGCGAAAGCGACAGTGGCAGCAGCGACAGTGGCAGCAGCGACGAATCTTTTGCAAATGAAGCACCCCAACTTGCGCAAGCGTATGTGATGCTTCCATGTCCGCGAAATGTGCCTACTGACACGCTGCAGGCAAGCGCGACCATCGCAAACGCAGCCACATAGCGTAGAGTTCCGCCCAGCGCAGGCGTTCGTGCCACCCAAAGGCTTCACTGCTGTGACCTGCAACGACAAGACCATGTCTAAGTCGGCGCGCATCTTCGACAACCTTGAGGGCAAGCAGATATGGCACATCACAGCACCTGTAGGTGTCTCGTTGAACGACCTGAAGGAGATAGCCATGGACAGTGCCCTGAACGGTGGAGCTGTTTTGCAGCACAAGGGCACGAGCTACGGCTTCTCAACATCAGAAGAGAGAGAGCATGTTAGCTGCGAAGTCATGGTTCCTCACAAGAACGGATACAAAGCTGGTAAGATGTGCAATGACACGGGTCGAGCCTCATCATTGACATGCATCAGTTAGCACGCCAATATCGCAGAGTCTCCGTCTCCAGGCTGCGGTCCAGCTTCCCAAGTTGACCTCTCTCCAAGCTGACCAGAATACTGGCTCAGAAGCGGCAGCTTCCATCACACGATCTACTATTCGCGCACCTCGACCACAGCTGAAAGGCCTGAAGATGCGCTTTCTTCCGATCGGTTTCGGTAGCGGAGACATAGGAACGCTCGGAGATTCGGACAGCGAAGGAGACACGCCACAAGAGACGGCAGGGCTCGGAATGCCCAACGAGCTCAATCTGCCGTCGCGGAAGGAGAAGCGGAAACACACCGAGTTGAACGGAGACAGCAGGATAGAACCGCCATCGAAGAAACCCAAGAAGCCTCGGACTGCCGAGGATGTCCAGCGCAAGGAGGAGCGCAGAGCAAGGAAGGAGAAAAAGCGTGCCCAAGCTTCGGTGGAATCGAAATCTTGAATCGATCAGAGAGGGAAGAAAACTATGTCACAAAACCTGGGGGCGACCGACGTTGTGGAGAATTACAACATGGACATGAATACCCGCAAAAGTGTCGCGGCGGCAGTCTACGGTAGGCGTCTAATGTGCGAGCGTTAGCGGGAGAGGATATGGCTATTCCATAGTCAATGACGTGAGGTTTCAAGCGTTGGCGCGAGTAGCTTGGCCAGGAGTATTGCGAATGGGTGCTGAGGAGGGGAAGCAGCGCGGTTTATGCAGTATAGGTACCTGGAATATGCCAAGTGTGGTGCATATAATAAGTTCGCACCAATTTCTGCATTTCCTAACAACAAGAAGACTAAATCATGACGTGCTGGGGATGTGCCCGGGCTCAAATGTGTGGAAGGTGCGGCGTTTGCGGCGTTCGCGGCTAGAGAACGTTCACGCCGTTGTAGCAGTCGCGCCCAAGGCAAGCACGGACCTACTCAGGTAAACACGTCGCTAGCGCGACGAACAACAGAGCAGAGAGGGAGAGCGGACCTCGTGCTTTTGCCGACGCTGCATCTCGGCACTCGACCCAAATCACTATGCTGATGACCTCGCGAACCACTTCAGATCGACGCGACTTCCTCATACGCACCGTGCGCACTCGCTCAAATGGCCGCCCCCAGTGCGCCAGCGACCTCGACCGACGACTTTCCCAGTTCCGCACCCTCTTCACCGTCACCAGCACATGGACCCTTGGACGACATGGCGCATAGCGTCTCCGAAACCGACCATGTCAAGAGCTCCAATGCGCCCGACTTGGACCTACCGCCCCTGCCCACTGACGGCGAAGACAGCTTCCTGCAGCAAGACTTTAACGAGGGCAACACGCATGCCGACGGCAGTGTGCTCACGGACCACGAGATGAAGCGCCAGCTTATGGACCTCGAGTCGAGCTTCCTGCCCGAAGCCCCTGCGCAGGCCGAGGCAGCGCGGGGTTTGTCTGGAGCGGACGACACCTACCTGTTCGGCGGCTCACCAGGAACCGCGCGTCCACAGTCGCCCGAGGCACAGTCCGACGCCGACCTGCAAAGGGTCATGGCCAATCTGGAAGAGATGACCAAGCCGAAGAAGAAGCCCAAGAAGCTCGAGGTGCGGAGCGGAAACACGCCGACCAAGCCCACCCATGACCCCGACTCCTCGATCCTGTCCGACGAACCACCCACGCCGGCGGACGCATACAAGACGCCCGCGGCTCGGCGGCTGGACTTTGGCGATGAGGACTCACCGGATGATGCTGCTGCTGCTTCAACCTCAGAGGCCGCGCCGTCCTCGCCCTCTGCGGACGCTGCGCTGCGCAACCAGTCGCGGACAACCGTGGGAGGCTCTGCCGACGGCAACGAGTCAGGACCAGACGGCTCAAGCGATGCGCAAGTCTTCGGAGGCGCTGAGATGAAAGAAGTGGACCATTCCCTGCGTCCGACGTCGAGCGCCTCGACCGTGAAGGCCCCGGACTTTACTCAGCTCGAAGAAGCATCGTCGCTTCTCACCTCAGATCACGACCTCAGCATGGAGAGTCTCGCCGTTCCTCACCCAGCCTCCGCGTCCCTAACGTCACCAAGCTCAAAGAAGCGACCGAGCTTCCTGCAGAACCGCCATTCAAGCCAGCGCTCATCGGTGTCTTCCTTCACGAATCGTTCAGATGCGTCTGGCGATGGTGCTAGTACAGCCAGTCTCGGCGCAGACTATGCCTTGCAGACAGGCGGCGCAGTGCCTCGATCAGTGCCACATAGGAGCAGCCTAGGTCTTTCAAGGCTACCCAGTCTCGGCAGCATCGCATCGTCAATGTCTGGGTATAGTGACACCAATCCTTGGGAAAAGCATCGGAGCTTTAGTAACAACTCGCTCTCTGGCCTGCTCCATCCGGATGCAAGTCTGGGCCGACTTGATGAAGAACACCCCGGCGTTGGGACCCCTCCGGAGACGCCACGTGCTCCAAGCGTGCAGGCTTCTGCTCCAACCGACACTGTCATCGCCAGACACGTACAGGATATCCAGGTGCCCGATACTATCGCTCGCGAGTTCCGTGCAAAGCATTCGCGATCACCGGATAAGCGACACATGGCCACTCCTTTTACGCGGAGTAAACACAACCTGACCCTCAAGGAGCAGAACAGTAAAATCGACAAGCTCAGCAAAGAGAACTTCGACCTGAAACTCAAGATCCACTTCCTTGACCAGGCGTTACAGAACCGATCTGACGAGGGCGTCAAGGACATGATCTCCAAGAACGTCCAGTTACAGACCGACCTTGCGACTGAAAAGAAAGAGACCCAGTCATTGCGGAAAAAGCTACGAGATCTCGAGCGCAGACTGAAAGCGCACGAGGAAGGACTGGTGCCAACAAGAGAGATCGGCAGTGGCTCTGACGATGGCAAGAGTGACGGCTCGGAGCGACAGGCTGAGCTCGAAGAAGAGATCGAATTTCTCCGCGAGCGTTTAGAAAGCACAGAGACCATTGTCGAGCAGTGGAAGCAGGAAGCTCTTCAGAAAGAAGCTGACACCCGGCGAATGGCAGACTACATAAAAACCATGAGGGACAAGAGCCCATCAGGAGAATCTGCTAGCCGCGATGAGGCTATGTTGAGAGAAGACATTGAAGAGGAACGTGCTCGACGTGAACAGGTCGAGACCCGATGCCAGCAAGCCGAGATTGAGAGTGAAAACCTTCGAGCTGAGGTGCAGCGACTGAAGACGCAGAACGCACAACTGCAGCAACAACCTGCGACGAACCACCACATCAACAAAATTTACAACAGCACTCGGCGAATCCATCAGTCGTTTACATCTCGATCTCAGTCAGGCTCCGAGGGCAACAATGAGCAGGCCGCTCCACTGTCTATTGGTGGCACAAGCGGAACCTTGGTCGATCAGTTGCAGAGCGATAACGACAAACTGCAGCGCGACCTCCATGCTCAGGTCTCTATGCTTACCTCGAGAAATCGCGAGAACTTGCGCCTCCGTGAAGAGAACGAAGGCTTGAAATTGACCATCCGTCGTGGAGATGCCGGATCGGTCGCCGGCGACAGTATCCTCGAACGATCGATATCGCGCAACCACATGCGGTCTGTATCTAGGGCGAGCGGTGGCACACGCGTTACCCAGATCAGTGACCCAGAACGAGAAGATCTCGAAAGCAAGTATGCTACACTGAGGGACGAGCTGTCCCAAATGAAACTGTCTTACAAGGAACTCGATGATCAACTTAACGGACACTTGGACATGCTGGAAACCGCAGAGAACAAAGTTACAGAGCTTGAGAAAGAAATCGAAGCTTCCACAGAGGATCTACAAGCACTTTCGAACGAAAGAGACGAGGCTTTGGAAATGTTGCAGGACAAGGAGCAGGAGTGCGAGGAACTCAGACAGGAGGCACTCGACACAGTCCAGCGACTCGAAAACGAACTTGACCAGAGACAACAAGAACGCGAACGACTTATAATCGAGCTCGAAAACACAACGGAGGACTTCAATGCACTGCAGCAAGAGATGAAGAACGTAAGCGAGAGTCTGTTGAATCTCGAGGACGATCGAGACGCTAGTCTGCGAAAGATTCACACTCTGGAGAGCGAGCTTGCAGATGCCAACCACGAATTGGGCAGACAAGACAAGCTTCTCAACGATGAGAGATCAAAGACAGAAAGACTTGAAGTTCAATTGGAGACCTGCCAAGGGGAGATTGATTTCCTGCGCGAGGAACAAGAGGGAGACAAGATAAAGATTGGCGAGCTGGAGTCTGCGTACAACAATGCTCAAATCACCATACAAGATGGCAAGGAACGCCTGCGAGACCTCGAAGAGCGATTTGCCGGGGAACGTCAGCAGCGTGACGTACTGGAGAATCAAGGGAAGCAGGAAGCAGAAAAGATTATCAACGAGCTCAATGGACAGCTGTCCAAGCTCAAGGAAGACGCCAGGAGGTTACGGAAAAATCTTTCAAGCAAGGAAGTAGAGGCTTCAACCTGGAAACAGCGACTCGAGGAGCTTGAGCAAGGCCTTCGTGACTCTCTCGGCAACCCCAACGGGTCGAGACCCAGTCTTTTCAAAGTATGTAAAGACACCCCCGCTAAGAAGCTGAATTCTAACATGCCACCAAGGATATTTCGAAGTTGCAACGCGACCTTGAGACTATCACGCAGGAGCTTGAGATCACCAAGAACGACCTCACGGAAAAGGACCGCTTGCTTCGCAACCGTGATACACTATTGGAGAACACCGGACTCGAGAGCCGTCGACTCGCAGAGCTACTTTGAACGCGAGCGCCAGGCCCGACGTCAAGAGCAAAACAATTACGAGACAGCAAAGCGGGGCCATCAGTCAGTCAGCAAGACGGTGCAGCAGCACGAAACCAGAGTACTCGAGCTGGAAACACTTCGCAGCCAAGACCGCCAAAGACTTCACGGTCTTGAGAGGCAGTACAAGGAGCAGTTGCTCGAGCGTAATAATTTGCTCTACGCGTTGTGGAACCGCCTGTCCACACTGTGTGGTGCCGAGTGGTGTCGCAATAACGCTCTTGTTAATGGTGAGCTTACTTCCATGGAGCTCATATCCAAGAACATCCAGGGTTTCAACAAGAACATAATCTTGGCTGTCAAGACCGTTGAGGGCATCATTGGAGGCTTTAAGATCCGGATACGAACAATGGAGAAAGATTTGATCCGGGACTACCAAACTCTGGAGCATACTCTAGATGTTCGTGTCAAGCGATTGGATCAGCTCGAAAGGATGGTCCAGGCACAGCGACAATCCATGTCGATTGGTCGACCAAGTACCGTCCGTGGCGGGCTTGTTGACGTCAACTCCACAGAAGTAACAAAGCTTCGAACGGAGAACAAGAATCTGCGCACAGAAGTCCAGACCCTTCGTGCCATCACCACAACTACGCAATCCGGCAATGAAGTCATCGTCAGCCGTTCGCCCTCCCGCAATGGCTCGCCGACGTCAACGAAACGAGCTAGCATGGCACAAACCCTTCTCCGCGCGCAGTCCGCTTCCGTCGTTGAACAGCTCCAAAACCAACCAACAGGGCACCCGTACCCCGCAGCAGGACCGCTTCAACCTAGTGAGCAGAAATGGATACATCGTCTCAAGGAGCTGGAGCGCCGATTGAAAGCCGAGCGAGAAGCCAGACTTCTCGATCGCAGTGGTGCGAGGAAGCGTCTGGAACAGAAAGTCGAAGAAAATGCCGATCTACGAGCCATGCTAGAAAAGGAGCGAGAGCTAAAGGGCGAAGACGGGGAAAGTGTAATCAGAAGTGCATCGGCCGCCGGAAGCCGCACCGGTAGAAGTGGGCGACAAAGCGTGGCTCCCAGCATGAGACAGGAGCGTGAAGAGTCATCGGACATGTATTAGTACGCGGATGGTGTAAAGATTTTAGGACGGGGCGTGTTTATTTTTCTTCTTCCTTCTAGGGTTCTTCACGATGCGATGTATTATTGGCATATACTTTGGGATTTGGCGTGCAGAGAGTGCTGCGATGGCATAGCTTGATGATCGGATAGGGTAAACATCAGACCAAGACTGGCGTTGGACCTTTTTTAATCGAACTTTATTTACTGGCAGCCGACATGGTGCCATTCAATGATGGTGTCGTATATTCACGTAATACGTCTTGTCAACTACGGCAAAAAGTGACCAAAGTGCAGCAGGCAGAGACTCAACGCATAGCCTGGAGTTATACGCAATATTGTCAGGCTTCAGTTGCGGCCAGCGAGACTCTGTGCATCGGTTCAGGCGTTCAGGTCGCCCCCACTCGCTTTTCGTATTGACAAGTAGCCGTAGATTGCTTCACTTGATCTGTGAGCCTCATGTATGGATGCTCTTATCGGGCTTGCCAACTTCACCTCATTCAGACCTTTGGTCGTCGGTTGCAGAGCTCTGAAGCAACATCTCCTAAATCCTTTGCACTCTCGCAGTGCTTCACTCCTCTATCCTTTATGCACTCCACTCTGACCGGATATCGAGGCACACGTGCTTCGTATAGTCTGTCTATAGCCAACTGCTTTCGCGACTGACTCACCGCTGAACCTTCAAGTACCTAGCCACTCTCAGGCTGTCGTTTTTTAGTGCGTCGGCCACTGCATCCAGGACCTATCCTCGTATGTCGCTCTCTTTCCCTCACCTCACTCTTTTGCATGTTTTGCGGGACTACTTGTTGCTTGATACGAGAGGTTTTGATACTTGCGCTATGACTTACACTCGTACTAGACGATCCTCTACCTTCTCCTCGGTCAGCGACTGTTCGGGTCGCGTTAGCTCACCTTCAATAGAGCCAGAAGCCTGGCTGCCCCAGCGATCTGCATATACCCTCACTCCAACGCCTCTTGTGCCGGCTTTTGACAAACCTCCAACAACATCTGCGATACACATCCCCACGCGAAGCGTTGAGCCACCGGACCTCTTCGTAACGCTACTCCACGATCGTGGTTCAGCGTATCGTCACAGCCCTAAAAGAGCCACGCCATATCTTACGCCGCCCAGCTTAGACGAAAGACGTTCGCTCGCACGCTCTCTCACCAGTCCGTGGACAGATAATTCTCCTTCTCAGCATTGTTCGCATGTGCGGACTACAGAACAGGAACGTTATCCAGTCAAATCGCCTAGTATAGGACGTGAATCTACTGATAGGAGCATGGTTATGAAAGCAACTAGAGTAAGTAAGCGACGGGCAGGATGTTCAACGAAGAATGCAACTAAGAGCAAGGGCAAGTCCGACGCATCTAGTCAAAGAAAAAGATCGGCAGCTGCGCTTGAGGTCGGAGACAGCCAGAAGCGCGCCTCCAAAGTTGCTAAAATTGAAGCAAAGGCGAACATCGGCGTAAAGGTGGACGCTAGTACGGCTTCACTGCCAGAAATTATCGAGCTCAGTTCGGATTCTGAGACAGGTGAAGAGCCTGAAAAGCCCGGAACCAACAAGAAAGCACGACCCAAAACTATGCTGCTCCACCTGAAGCTCCATCAGCCACATAGACCTCCTGCAAACTCCCCAGCTACGGATCGCACCCCACTGTGGATAATCCCAAAGGCGGACTCCCCGAACAGCATAACTGATTTGAAGCCTGGCCTCGAGCACGTCGCCCATGAGACCGATACGAAGGCCGAAGAGATCCAACGTCTACGGCGAGATCTGCAAGCGGCTACTGAAAGAGTTCACCGTCTAGAGCAAGAGTTGGAAAAAGAAAAGGCCAACGCGAGTTTGGAAAGGCAAAATCTGCAGATAAAACACGACCAGGAGGAGTCGAAGTTTACTCAAGGTCTCGAGGATGAGAAGGTGAGATCGCGTCGTCTTGATGGGCAGGTGCAGGATAGCTTTGTCAACAATACGAAGCTGCAGAGTGAGCTTCGAGCGTTGCGAAATCAATACGATCAAGAGAGACAAGAGCGCAAGGAGGAGCAGCGAAGACATGCAGAAGTACTGGGCGACATCTTGAAGCCCAAGGCTGAGGAGAAGAACCTGACCGAAGAGATTAAGCAAGTGAAGGAGGACAACGCACGCCTATCCGCGGAGAACATTAATCTCAAGGCGAACGCAGTACCGTCACAGAATTGCGCAATCCTCTCACCAGTCCCATCCTCCATCTCATCCGCCGATGATGATAGGAAGGAAGATAATATCCGGAAGATCTACATCAAAACGAAACGCCAATACGATGTTCTGCTAGCGGCGACAAAAAACCTCCTCACATGCACCCGATCGATGGATCTGAGCTGTTTCGGCGAATTTGGGAGTTACGTAGCCAAACTCAGGAAGGCACTGGAAGGAGAGGCCAGTTCAAGAAGTGATCGAGCGCAGATAGTGTTCAAGGAGGACGACGATATTTCTTTTGGCAGCCAGAGCTCAAGGCTATGAGACAAGTGGTTATTGGCTTCATGCTCTTGGAAGATAGGGACGGCAATACTGTGTAGCAACACGGCCTTGGTCACGAAGACATGAATTCATCCAAGCCTGTGCGTCGGCCTGGAAGGACAAAGAAGCACTCACGCGCAGAACGTATGCATGTATAATTGACAAGGGTTGAGCTTCAGCACTTTTGTGGAAAGACAAACATGTATTAATGCCATGCAATTGTTTCAAAAGCAACTCCGTATTTGGTTCAGATTACAACTTGCTCGCAAACAGAATGCAAGAGCATCAGTTTCAAGCAACGATTCGAACTATGGAGAATGGCACACACCATTCACAACGCTCTAGTGTTTCACGCACCTAAGACATTTGACTCGCTACACTTATCTTGTTCCAGAGCCTTCTCGCCCTCTTTGTCCATTGATATAAAACGACCCCGCTGCACGCGAAGTTACACACCATTGGTACTCATCCACCATGACGACCACGACCTTCGTCTCGACAGCAAGTGAGATTTCAGCCCCCCTGTCATGCATCAAGGGACTTCCAAGATCTCCTCCGAGCCTGTACGTAGATCTCGAAAGCGCAAAGCTCAGCCGTACTGGCACGATTTCCCTACTCACGCTCTACGTCTTGCCCATGGACACAGTGTATCTCACCGACATTGACAGCCTGGGTGCAGCCGGCTTCTACACACCAGCTCCTATTACTTCAGCAACAGCAACATTACCAGACCCCGTATCCGCAACAGCAGCTGGAAAGCAGACATGTCCCACTGAGCCAGTACTGACCCTCAAGTCCGTCTTGGAGTCACCCACCATACTCAAAGTCTTCTTCGACGTGCGTAACGACTCCGACGGACTCTTCGCTCACTTTGAGATTGCACTAAAGTGCGTCGAGCATCTGCAGCTCATGGAACTCGCCACTCGGTCCCGCAAACCACGCCATCATCTAGTTGGTCTAGCATGGTGCATGGAACATAACAACGGCATGTCATCTGAGGCTCGGAGGTACGCTGGGAGTGTCAAAAAGCAGGGGATCAAGCTGTTTTGCCCGGGGAAAGGTGGATCGTATGCCGTCTTCGCTGAACGTCTGTTACAGCCCATCGTCTTGGAGTATTGCGTGCAAGACGTGGTGCACATGCCCAAGTTGTGGAAAACATATCATGCAAGGATGGATGCCTTTTGGAAGGTCATGGTCAAGGAGGCGTCGGGAACAAGGATTGCGGAGATTCAAAGTGCGATTCTATCAATGACTATGTCGTGAGATGTTCCAGATTGTGCGAAACCATGCAGAGATGTACGCCCAAAAACGCCAAAGCTTTCTTGTGAATGAGAGCGTTCGTACCTCATATGCCACTTACAACGCCAAATATTGTGCAATCAAGTCCATGACCATGTTACCATCGGATCAGGCATTTCCACGACCTCGCGCAATGCCCAGCCCTTGGACATTCTTTTCTCGCTCATTGACACTGCCGCGACGACCGGCGATGGCAGATACACTCTCACTTCGTGCACTGTCCATGCTTCTCCGCATACTGCTTGAGCTGCTTCTCCGCCGCGCACGCCTTGCCTCGTCCGGATCGTGGGGATGCAGCCCGCTCGCTTTTGCAAACAGGTTCAAGACATCCGTCAAACTGATGACGCCACTTAGCCTGCCAGACAGACTGGCGCCACTGATGGCGGATGCAGAGATGGCGGGTGCCACTGCCCCCGTTCCAGCAAGGTGTGTAGGAGACGTGGAATTGACCGGCGTGGGACCAATGTGCGTTGCTGGGAGAGGTGTGATGGGTGACGGCGGAACAAGAGACGCGGGTTGCAGTGCGGGCGTTGGTGGACCCGAAGACGAGGGCGATGGGCTGTCGACAACCCACATGCGGTGTGAGCGTGTTGCCACGAGCTTCGCAACGGTGTGCGCAAGTGTGCTGTAGGGATTCACGTGGAAAACAGGGAACGAGTCCTTGCCGTCGTTCATGCCGCGTTCGGAAAGGATTACGGAGATGAAATGGATGCAGGAGGATCGCAGGAGGGGAAGCGATGTGGACTTGGTGAGGAGCTGGCGTGACGGTCAGTTGCTGGAGGGTGCTGCGGGGAGAGGCGGGCTTACTCGGACGTCCACATGGGATATGTTGCCAATGACGTTGTTCTGGGCGTCGAGGACAGGCAGTGAGGAGACGCCTTCGTTGTTCATGAGCTCGAGGGCGCTTGCAAGAGGCTTGTCGCCGCTGCACAATGTTAGTGGCTTGTTGGTAGTGGCAGCAAGGGGCGGGTGCTCACTTGATGGCCAAAACAGTTTTGGAGCCAATGGCCAGGTCCTTTATGAGTCGCGGGTACAGCTGGTCAACGTCTGGGAAGCTCTGCCTGTTCTCCCAAAAGAACTTGACCAGCTGGAGCTGCGTCAGCACCCCAATGACGTCCGTCGTGCCCTCCTCGGCCACCAGGACTCTGTGTACGCCGCTACCAAACACCTCGATAGCTTTGGTCAGGTCGGCTGTGTGTGGCAGCGTTATCAGCGGCTCCTTCTTGTTGCCCACCTCCTTGACGTCCCGCAGCGGAATCGGCTTTCCTTCGCGTCCCTTCTTGGCCAACTCATCGAAGGAGGCGACGTCTTCCTCGTCGGGGTGCGCGAGGCCGACCACGAGGAGGAGGTAGGCGTTGAGGTCGCTGTAGTCGAAGGTGCCGGTCGCGTAGCGTGTGTCCTTGGTGTCACGCAGCAGGATGACATTGGGGGCGCCATGTTGGACCAGAATCTGTGCATGTGAGCGCAAGCCCGGCCTCGTGCGCAACAACAACAAGACTCACACTGGTGGCATCCTCGACGCTCGTGTCGTACTCGACAAACCTCACCAAGCTGGGATCCACAAGCTCGCCCAGTCGCACCGAGCTCCAATCGCGAGACTGGAACTTCGCATCGCCGCCCTTGGTAGGCGGATTGTTCAGCAGCTCTTGGAGCGCCGATTGTGTGAGAGAGGGCTGCCGCGACGCGCGAGGTGACGACGGGGTGCCTCTCATCTGCTCTGCGAAGCTTCCCCGATGCGAGCGGGGATCTGGGCTGGACGCCATTTTCAGCGCCGGCGGCGGAGAGCGTCCCAATGAAGCTGTCGAGCTGGCAAGGGAGTGCAGCGGAGAGGGAATACGGCCGTCTTTCTTGGTTGCGTCGGCGTGGTCCGCCATGGTGTGAGGCAGGTACGGTGCAGCGAGGGGCGGGGCGGGGGAGGGGCGCGCTTCGACTCGTCTTCTGGCGGAGACTGCCTGTTAGAGAGTGTCAAGATGACAACGCGTCGAGACTGGGTGAGGAGGTGGAGAAGATGCAACGCAAGTCGTGTGTCCAACGTCGTCACGTCGTCTCGTCGTCGACGCCCAAAATGAAGCGGTATGGCATGCGGCGGCGGGGAGCTCGGTCATGCCCAGCCCATGCAGAATGAGAGCATGCTGAGGCTTGATTCGCTGCATGCAAACGTCGATAGAGGGTCCCGTCGCCATTGGAGACGTTTGTAACCTCTGCAGGGTTCAATGCACAGCATTGCGGGGACCTGGCAAGTTCCGAGTAGTGCTCTGCCCGGTGCCCACACGCTTTCATGATGCGAACAAGTCGGCCTTGACATCATCGCATCCACCCTGGTCGCTCACTATCAATTGCCCATTGCAAATCATCAACTACGATAATGCTCTACACATAGCTCTACGCTATTGTACGGGCTGCTGCTTGGTCGCCTTCCACTGAGATTAAAACCCATAGCGTACAGTCATCTTCACACTTTCCACGATGCATTGCCATCCTGGCCACTGTGCGTGTCAGTTCATAGTATTCCATCATAGAACAAGCAACTCACCTTGGCTCTAGCCCAAACCAAGATTCGATCTCCCTCTGTAAGCTCATTTAAAAACCCTTCACCACTACCTGCCCCTTCGTTGCCCTCTTGTCCCTCTACTGACCAGACAATGCGATACTCGTCGAGACCGACAGCCACGCGATTGCCTTGCAGATACCATGCAAAGTCGCCTTCGCCGTCTTGCGGGCCCTGCTTGGCGCTTTGTGGCCGCTTGATGAGCGACCAGCCCTGACTGGACACAGTCTGATGGTAGTCGCAAGGATCGCTGAATCGCATATGAGAGAGGTGTGGGCCAGTCGCGGCCGTAGTGGTGTGGTCCATCTTGCGCAAGATAGACACCTCAAGCCACGAAGACGTGTTGAACGTTCCATGTGTGTTTTCTGACGTCCAGGCTTGATCGAGAGACGCAATGTTGAATTCGACAGACTTGATTTTGCATGTTTCGCCATATCTAAGCACCTCCTCCACGGTCGTGTTGTTCAACGCATCCATGTCTGCACACAAAGTTGCGTGCGAAGGACGACCGCCTTGAGCAGCAGCGACCTTAGGTTGTCTGAAATTGCTAACGTACTCGTACTGTGGCCAGTAATGAGCATAGTCCAGTATCTGGAGAACAAGTTCCGTGGGTAGATTCAGAGCCTTGAGAGATGCGCGGGCCTGACACACATCTTCGTAGCTTGGTATACTCCAGCCTGGCCGAGAAGGCTCGTCTTGTGCGAGACCAAGAAGTCTTCCAATTGTTGAGAAGAAGCTTGCCATGGTGACTGGGACGATTATAGCTGTGTGAAAAACAACGGTTGTTGTGACGTGTCCGGCGTTGTAGTGTGATGCTGCACACGGCAAGGGGGCGGGTGCACTAGTAGGGTTGTTAGCGTCCGCGCTCCTCCGCTTGATACCGGCAAGTACTACCTTGTCGGTATATTAGAGTTTTTCTGTACCTTGAACCTCTTCGGCTTACGTGCAAGAAGCAATTCAAGCTGCCAAGAACAAATTCAATATTGGCGCATTGACCGGTTTGCACTGATATGCATACAAGTCCTGAGGCTAGGCCTTCGACCAGAATCTATGCTGTAGCATTAGATCTCGATGCAGCACTTCGAAAGGCTTGAACCAGATCTGGATCTGGGAATGTCACTACAAGTGTTTCGTCGCGGAGTACTATACATGGCGTTCAATCCAGGATCCGGTCACTGAGCATTGCTCAGCGAGCAAACGCCATGCTGATGCAGATGGCATGCTTTCGCTTGGTTTCAGGAACTGTAAACAGGCAGAGGCAAACGACGTGCATGCCGCTCAGGCGACATGGGAACAGAGGCTAGATCCATTTGACGGGCAAAGACGTTTCGAGGCTGACAAGGGCGGGAGTCCTTCAAATAAGGCCTTCTGCACGCCGGCTACCTCTGTAGACCCAAGGATCCCGGAAGACATTTCGAGATTTCAAGATGCCACAATCAACTTCTTGACTTGGGGAACACCTTTCTGACATCAATCAGCCACCTAAACGCCTAGATGAACAGTAGTCTCAAGCATCTATTATCGGCTTAGCAATTTATGTAGGAACAGGTGGAGGTCGCCAGGCCTGTGAAACACAATTGCAATCGGACCGTTAGCGCGAACGATGATGTGTGTGGAGACAACAGAGTTTCGCGTATCGAGTTTCCAATGTGTCCAGGCTCGTGGAGCTTAAGTAGTCTATCATATCGCCAGGACGACCAGGGATATGCTGATAGGATTGTAAAGGCGAGACACAGGCAGAATCGCGAAGGCTCGATGGATACGAGGATAGCCGGAAGGCCAAGTTGGCGGCTATACTCCAGGAGGGGGCGTTGCATTGCGAAATCAGAAACATGTGGATTCGCGATGGGGTGCGCAGGATGGGGATTGCAGCAGTCATTGTGTTCGGAGAGTTGTCCAGAACAGGATGATCCACAAAGTTGTCTCATCAGGGGCAATCCCTGACGGCGCCAAGCAATGCCAGGTACAAGCGACCTCGGGAAGACCTAGGATGGGCGGAGATTTATTGTATCCTGGTGATGTCTTAGCATGATTTTGAACGGATGGGACGAGAGGCGTGGACGGCACCTCACTTGGAACAAGCGGCATGCCCATGTGTAAAGACGGAGGGGCCAGTGACCTGTGAAAAAGGCGGCGCGCAAGGAAAAATACAGATGCGCGTGCAGGGAGAGCATGTCTTACAGAAGGCGCAACCCGTCGTCTCAAGCCATGCAGGCGGATGCACGCCTTATGTCACCAGCTTCGAGCGTTTCCATACGCGAACACGGCCAAACACAAGCTGCAGACGCGGCGTCCACTGTCAAATGCACCGCTGCAGACACTCTTCATTTCACGAGCGAGCCTTGAAACATGCTGCCAGTAGCGCTGAGCGCCGCGTCGATGTACTGACGCGTCCGAGAGTGGCGAGTGTGCGTGGAGTCTGAATTGGTCGAGCGGCATTCGATAAAGCTAGGGCCAGGGTATTTGTGAAGGGTCCCTGAAAACCGTTTTTGCGAACATCTGATCAGAGCGCTTGCGCCGTATGTAATGACGCAAAGTGGATAAAGTCGTGTTATAGACTGAGAGTCTGTCGGTATGCACATGCACAAGTCGCGAGAATTTGAATGCGACAGCAATGCACTGTGTACCGGTATAAGGTGCAGGCCATGGGAGAGACGGGCACCTGTTGCACCCCGGTCGCCTTCGGTGGTGATTGAGAACATGTAGTACGAGCGACGCAGAGCAGCAGCAGAGTAGTTTGGCGGGACGTGAGTACTATGTAGATCTGTCCGGTGCTTTGGGAAAGAGCGATTGACTCGTCGCTATCGTCGCTGCCCTGAGCGCGGCCAGGGTGCCCTACCCAAGGACTGAAGTCAATGTCTGCAACTCTGCACCTGCGTCTGCGTCTGCGTCTTCTCCTGTCTCCGCTGTCTAAGCTGGCTGTCGTCCATGCCCCGTGGCCACTGCACACTCTTCCCTCGATGCTGGTTTACTGCATCCGTCCAGTCGACAGCCACCAGCAGCGATCCGCAGCACTAACTCGCTAGATTCCTTCGCGTGGCACTTTGGGTTTCAGGGGCTGGCCGCTGGGGGCACGACGCCGCGTCCCCGCAGCTAGCAACACTCAGAGCTCGCCAGTCCGCTGTTTCTGCTTCGTGCCGCTGCTGCTGCTTCTGGGAGACGGCCCGGCAGAAGCCCGCCAGTGTTGAGCTGCATCGTCCCGCGCGTGCCACCTCCTGCTTCCTAGAAGGCTCAATTGCTTGCATGCACTCATTGCGCCTGAGCAAGCCATCGCGGAGCCTGCTCCAGCCCCAAGCCGTGGACAACGAGCGGCGCATCCACGCCGTTCGTCGCTGAACGATGCCCGCCATGCACGACTTCGCCAACGACGAGCCACGGCCTGCCACGCCCACCGCACCGCCGAGGACCTTCAAACCGAGCGCCTCCATGCGCGCCCTCAATACAAACCACACAGCGCAGGGCACCTTCTTCGAGGATGCCACGCCCGTCGACCGCACAAGGGCCAACGACATAGAGCGAAGCCAGCTGCGCGACTCCCACGACCTCTCCTTCGCCGAGGCAGGAGTCCGCGACTCGGTGGTTGACAACATGCTTCTTTCCCTTGACCAGTTCTCTCCGCCCAACATGTTCACCAACCCGGCCAGCCAGCACCCCCAGTATCCCGAAGACGACTTCTTCCTGCGAGACAATTCCTACCGACCGCCAGGTCCCCGCCACCGAGGCCACACATACACATCCTCGCGCTCCTCCGACTACGAACTGAACGCCGATGAAGCCTCTCGGTACGCCGCGAACCACAACCGCAGCCGCAGAAGCAACTCGAGCAACACAATCGGACTTCCCATGAGCAGAAAGGGCAGCGCAAGGGAGCCTTTGAGTGGCAGGCAACCAAACGGCCCGTATGGCCAGTATCAACAATCAGGACACTTGAGAGGGGCCGGCCAAACGGGCAGCAAGGGCAGCGGCTCCTCGAGCATGGACTTTGGCCAAGCTGGTATTCTGGGCAACAGTCGCCTGGGTTTTGGAAAGCGCTCTGCCAGCTTTGACCACAGCAACTATGGCGAGCGGTCGAGAGCGTCACCCGCCAAAGTCGAGTCGGTGCTGGACCGAGGGCGGACGGCCTACCAAAACTATGCCGACGACTACGATGCCGCACCCGAGCCAACCATCCCAGCCGGTCCACGCAGGCTACAAGACGTGCCCCAGTCGCCTGCATACCCACCACAGCCGCCCCTTGTGCCCCCGCAGGCTCCTGGTACTCGTCGGAGGGGAAGCGTCCGCTCCAACACGAGCTACAAGACGTTGCGGAAGAACAAGAGCCAACTCGAACCGAACATGAGGGCGCAGGCCCAGGAGTTTGTTAATGCTAGCACGTTGCGCGACCTACCCCCAGTGCCCTCAATACACGATCCGTCCGCGCCTAGTCCAAGCGTCAATACGCGCAAAGGCCTGTTCCCACCGCAAACACCGGTCGCAACGCCCAAAGAAAGGCCTGGGTTCTTCAGACGTGTCTTTGGTGGAAGCTCATCAAGATCTCAGCCGCCGCTCTCGAACGCGTCCAGTGCATCCTACGCTTTGCCTATGGAGTCACCTGCCTTGGTGAAGCAAACATTACCAGACATCGATTCGATATATTCTCAAACGCGTCCCCGCACAACACCAAACAACAACAGCCACATTGCTAATCAACTCAAAGCCACGCCTAAGAACCAGCAGGCTGGGTCTCAGTCGCAGAAGGACACACAGTCTTCTGTGCCACCGGCTCTTGCAAAGAAGCCTTCTTCCTTTTTCAGACGCAGGAAGAAGTCTATATCGGAGAACTCCAAACCTCCTGTAATGGCATTGGACTTCACTCCACCCCACAAACCAATTATACCCGCGCAACCCAGTCCGGGTGTTAGCAGTCTGCGCAAGGTTATGAACCCCTATCTCAATGACGGTACTCGTGCTGGCGAGCAAGCACAGCAAGAGAATGTAGCCAATGGTGAACGAGGGCACGGCTTCTCCCCAGGCTACCGGCCGCATAAGGATGCGACTGTACGTACGGTGAAAACGGCCTCCCGTGATGACGAGAAAACGTTCCCCTCTTCGAGAAGCAATCAGGCCATGTCCACTCATTTGCCGAGCGCAGATAGCCCGAAGAAGAAACTTATGGCGAAGAAGAAGAGTAGCCCTATGCCGCAAGAAGACACCTTCCTCGCGGATAGCAGCAGCTGCAACGACGACCGCAGCGGTCGCGCATCTCCCGCATGCGAGCGCAGCGGCGTGGAGGAAACTCGGAGGCCTAGCACTTGCCCCACTACGTCGTCAATCCACCAGTCTGGCTCCGAGGACAAGAGCGACAGACGGACAGACGGACCCACCGAGCTACTGTTCCCCGTACCACCAAACAAACAACCGCGAAAATCGTCTCTTGGCGGATCCATCTCACAATCGGCTTCAGAGGTCGAGATCGAGGAAGAAGGCTGGATCCTCACCCAGCCGCCGCGGAACGGCCTTGCAACACCTAGAGACACGACTAGAGATCCCAGTCCAGCGGCAAAGCGCGTGTGGCTCGACACTACAACGGGCGAAGACACCGATGATCTGAATCTACCTTTGGAAGGCGCCCGCTCGTCCCAGAAGTCCCTCTTAGACTCCAATTCCCCAGTGTCACCGGATGATGTGTTCCACTCTGCTACGAGTTTGCCTATAGTACAGGTAGAGAACCGTGACTCCGACACCATGCCTGCCATTGTTGAAGACCGCTCAATGCACACGGAACCGACGGACGCCGACCGGGAGCGAGCATTGCAGATCTTCAATGGCGACGACTCTTCCATACAGAAGGCGCAAGCAGCGACTATCCTGGGAGATGTCACCCTCAGCAGCGCGCGCACCCGCAAGGCCTTTATGGACCTTTTCGACTGGACTGGGTTCAATATCCTTGGCGCCATGCGAGACATGTGCGGCAAGCTTGTGCTCAAGGCTGAGACTCAGCAAGTCGACCGCATTCTCATGAACCTGTCAGAGCGATGGTGCGAATGCAATCCTAACCACGGCTTTAAAGCAGTCGGTGAGTCTGTTGATATTCTTCTTGCTGGAACTTGACTAACGTGTTAGATGTCGTGCACACTATCTGTTACTCCATCTTACTGCTCAACACTGACCTCCACATGGCTGACATTGAGTCTCGAATGACGCGAAGCCAGTTCGTGAAGAACACACTCCCCACTGTCAGTCGTGTGTGCCAAGACGCTGTCAAGGTGGCGGGAGGTGAAACACTCCGGCCACAATCTACACATTTTCGACGGCCATCGTTGCCTTGGAACGATAAGTCGGAGCCAACATCGCCAAGCGCTGAGACTTCCGCGTTCCCGTCTGAAGTGCCCGAAAATTTGATAGAGGACAAGAGAACGCGCAGCCGCCTCTCCCTTCGACCCCCTATGAGGAGTGCTTCCGAGGGCTTCTTGTCTACTGATTCAGCTACCAATGAGTCGAACATGCTCGTAAACGCACCATACAACGGATCGATGAAGGGTTGGGAGTTCCAGATCGAGATTGTTCTGAAGGACTTCTATGACTCGATTCGCAAACAACGTCTGCCTCTCCATGGATCCTCTGATCTCGCTGTTCAACAACACCCATCTTCCAACAATCTCTCGGTCAGCAACATGCTGCGTCGCACACCAAGTATGCTCAGTAAGACACCCTCAGAAAATGCGAGTTACCGTGGTCGATCACAGGGCGACTTCCGTAGCGTTGGCAACCGGTGGACCTCCAAGAATCGTTCGAGACAAAAGCTCTACCCGTCTTCTACTGTGGCATCGAGTCGCACTAGTCTTGACGACGGATCCGTCTGGAGTCCTGCCGGCTCAAGCACTTGGAGTCGATACTCGTATGGCAAGACCGGGACTTCTATGTCAATGGACTCTCTTGGCACGCATTTTGCTGGAGACTACCAGCAGGCCATCGGCTTCGCCAACGCGCTGAGCCAAGCCATCATTCGGGAAGAAGGCATGACAATTGCCAGTGACGAAGAGTTTAGTCGCGTCGCCCCACTGCTCGAGGATGAGACCTTGGAGCTTGTTGGAGCTCCGTGGGCAAAGGAGGGCATCCTGAAGCACAAGCGTCACCTGGACTCTTCCGATAAGAAGGCTAAAGATCGAGCATGGACAGAGTGCTTTGCCGTGGTCGAAAAGGGCTATATGCGTCTCTTCTCTTTCAACATGAACTCAAAGTCAGTTCGGCACAAGAACAAGACTCGTCCATCAGCTGGAAGTGTAGTCGGTGGTGGCAACTGGATGGACAACGCCGAAGCTCTGGACAGCTTCCCTCTTCGGCAGACTATTGCCAGCTCACTACCGCCTCCGGGATACTCCAAGACCAGGCCACATGTCTTCGCCTTGTCGCTACCAAATGGTGCAGTCCATCTATTCCAGGTCGGGACGCCCGACATCGTCCGCGAATTTGTCTTCACGACCAACTACTGGTCGGCCAGGCTCTCTAAAGAGCCCCTAACTGGCGGTGTCAGTAGCATGGAGTATGGCTGGGGTGAGAATGTTATCAACCCTGCTCTTATTCGACAAGACAGTTCGCCTTCAGTCCAAGGCCACATGCCTCGCCCTAGTGTGACTAGTTCGCTTCGCAGCTCTATAGACCATGCAAGCGGTACTCCGAAGCCTCGATTACCAGGTGATAAGATCACTCTTTCCGACTGGAGTCCGCCGCCATGTAGCATGATGGCTAGCAGCTTGATGGAAGTGGACCAGCTGCGGGCACTGATTGATTATGTGAAAAACATCGAAGCCGAGCTAGGTTACCACAACGAACTGAGGGCGCCTCTGCTCATTGCGGTAAGTAGTAGATATTACCCCACATGAAGCAAATGCTGACGCTACACTAGTTCTCCCCTCGTCACCCCAATGCAGCACGAGCAATGGCAAATTGGGAACGCAAGTCACAATACCTTCTCCGGGAAATTGTCAAGTTCCGGACTTATATCGACACGCTCACTGCTGCGCAAGTGCAGAAGCAGAAGATTTATGCAGAGCGAGAGGCGCTGGAAGAGCAGGAGATGAAGGCAAGCAGCGATGCAGGAACAAGCCCGCAAGGTGCTGAGCATGATGGTGCGAGAGCTGCCTCTGAAGCTTCTTCATCAAAGGCCATCATCAAGCAACCCTCTACGTCGGCTTTCCTACTGCATCCGTAATCTCATTTTGTACACGCTGACGATTTCTTTGTTTGAATTTTTTAGACCTTACGCCTCTTCGGCGTACAATACGGCGGCTACGACTACTTCATTCTTCGAAGCCTAGTCTACGACAGCGCCCACACTCGGTGGCTTGAAGTGATACACCTTTGTAATATTTTGGAGACTTTGAACGCGGCGCTGGGCATGTCATGATCTTCACACTTACTCTTTGCGGTACTTGTCGTCACTCCAAAACCATTGTGGAGGACGGTCGTGGCTACGACGTTATTTCTCATTTGTTTGGAAGTTATGGTTGATGACGCCCCACGGTGGTAGTCTGCGTTCTCAAATGCTAAGTTCTGTCTTTCAGCGGACAGAGAAGAGTTTTACTCTTCAGATATTATACCCCGAATCGAATCTATCCTGTACTGCTTCCACCAATCATGCATAGCAACGCTTTCTCTCGTAGCACACCATGTCTTTGTGATGCTATTATGATCAGCCACAACGAAGCTGAAGATAGCTTGCAGCCATACTACTGCTTGCTCTGTGGGGCGTAATCCAGTGCCAATCACGGCGGGCCCCGGGTGTCGACTTATTTCAGCTTCAATGTGTCTAGCTCACTCTCGCAGTTGTTTCTCAACTCAGCTGTTCAATGCAAGGCTCTTCGCATCATGGACACAGGAGCTGCATGCACTTTGCAAAGCCCATTGCGCCTAACATGCCGCCGAGCGCAGATGGTGAGAGCATCCGTCTCCAATCAGCGACCAGGACTCGGTCTTCGCCGTTGGAGTGCAGCGAGCAGCGCAAGCCACAGCGTCCTAGAGTCGCGGGCTGGACCATGTTAGATGGTGGGAGCAAGGGCCATTGTTCAAAAGAGTGGTCTCGCTTAGACGCGCTGTCTCGATTCGGACAGCTGAGATGCAGAAATGCCCTACGGAGAGGGTCACGATAGGGAAGCGCAAGGATTCGAGGGCATGCAGGGTACGAAGTAGTGTGAGGCTGACATGAAGTGATTTTACTGCATGAAGAGCACAGCTTGGATGCCGCCACTATTCTCTGGCCCAAGACTGTAGCTTTGATCGTATTCGTAATCCTGCTATGCAAAGAGAGGAGGAATTCGAATAGAAAACAGATTTGGTATCGGCTTGGCTAGGTAAACTAATGGGTTCGGCAACCCCGTGCTCGCGTGGTGTTTGTGCTTCCCCACGCGGGTGCAAAAGTTTTTTGGGCAAATTAGACGTACACGTGGAAATGACGGCTCGCGTTGGCAGTCATGTATATGTCCAGCGTGTGAAGTGTCAAGGCGAATGTGTTGGCAAGTGCATGATTGCGAGCGCGTTGTGTTGGTGGTGTCGAGGAGCTTACTCGTAGAGCAGCTTGAGTACCGGTAGCGGCTCAAAGAGCAGCTGGAAGAGCGCGGCCGACCACGCGTCGTCGAGTGTGTCTACCTACCTCGCTCTAGAACGCCACACTCGATAGCCTTTTCCTCTCACCACGCGCCGTGCCGACAGCTTCTTATTCCCGTTGCGCCCCTGAAGACCGATGTGCCTATTTCATCTGGACCTCCCACGGCACTCATAGCAGATCTGGACCCATTCCCGACAGGCCCCCGCTTGCTTGCCGTGCTCGCCGTTCTTGGTCGTTTTCAGCCTTACGGATCCACGGCTTCCTACATCCCCGCTATTGTGTCAGCCGTACCAGACACGACCCGGCCACAGCTTTTCTCGATAGCTGCCGGCTCCGAAGCTCCTACATCACCTGCGTCACTGCAACCGACAGTGCTCTTCTTGCCTCTGCTGCTCCACGCGCATTCAAGCATCCGACCGAAGTCTTGACAACACCCCTTCGCCTTTCAAAGTCCACAATGGCCTTCCCTGGGCAGAACTACCACAACAACTATGGCGCTCCGCCGCCGCAACAATACGGCGCCCCACAAGGCTATCCACCCCAGCAGAACTACGGCGCCCCGTGAGTTACACGAGGACAAACTTGCGCGAGAGACACTGACTGAAGGTGCATAGGCCGCCGCAACAGGGTGGCTACGGATATCAGCAGCCCCCGCCACAACAGTACGGAGGCTATGGGGCTCCTCCTCCACAGCAGCAGCAATGGGGCGCGCCACCACCGCAACAATATGGCTATGGGGCGCCTCCGCAGCAGCCTCCTCGGCCTGGTAAGCTACCGAGTGTTTGGTCAAGGATTCGGCTGACGAGAGCGCAGTCATGCCCACGGCGACTTCGAATCAGTGGACTCATGGAAATCACAACGGACCCCCTCCCCCGCCCCAGGGCGCACAGCAGTTTGGACACGGTGCACCAACAGACTACAGCTTCCAGTATTCGGCTTGCAATGGCAAGCGGAAGGCGCTGCTCATTGGCATCAACTACTTTGGACAACGAGGACAACTTCGCGGTTGCATAAACGACGTCAAGAATATGAGCACATACCTGAACGAGTTCTTTGGCTACAAGAGGGAGGACATGGTCACTCTGACAGATGACCAGCAGAACCCCATGAGCCAACCGACGAAGGCGAACATTCTGAGGGCGATGCACTGGCTTGTCAAGGATGCGCGACCCAACGACTCGCTGTTCTTTCACTACTCAGGTCACGGCGGCCAGACAAAGGACTTGGACGGTGACGAGGACGATGGAAACGACGAGGTCATCTACCCCGTCGACTTCCGCACTGCTGGGCACATAGTCGACGATGAGATGCACCGCATCATGGTTGGCACACTACAGCCCGGTGTCCGATTGACGGCCATTTTCGATTCATGCCACTCAGGTTCCGCGCTCGACCTGCCCTACATCTACTCCACCCAGGGTGTGCTCAAGGAGCCCAATCTGGCCAAGGAGGCTGGCGCAGGTCTGTTGGGCATTGTCTCAAGCTACGCACGCGGCGATATTGGCAGCATGATTGGTGGGGCAAGCAGCTTGTTCAAGAAGGCAATCAAGGGCGATGATGTGTACAAGAAGAATTTGAGAACGAAGACGAGCCCCGCAGATGTCATCATGTGGAGTGGATCGAAGGATCAGCAGACTTCGTGAGTACCTTTATCATATGAAATACCGAACTTGCTGACAAGTAGCAGCGCCGACGCGTCCATTGGCGGTGAAGCTACAGGTGCCATGTCCTGGGCCTTCATCACGTCTCTACGCAAGAACCCCAACCAGAGCTACGTCCAACTGCTGAACAGTATTCGTGACGAGCTCGAGGGCAAGTACCAGCAGAAGCCACAATTGAGCTGCAGTCATCCCCTGAGTACGTTCATCACAGGGCCCGAAATTCACCTTTGTTGCTAACAAGTATGAACAGATGTCGATCTCTTGTATGTCATGTAGATGCACATAGCGTCGAGTGCGCGTGTCAGAGGATGACTGATGGAACGGGATGGCTAGAAGGGCTCAGTGCAAAAAAGTGTAGTGCATTATGGCTCTTGATGATTGTATATTGTTCATGTAAATATCTGTGCTGCGAAGCTACTGTCGAGCCTGTTGGCCGGCTTGAATACTAGGGACGCTTTGGCGTGCTGTAGAACTCGAAATCGGCAAAGCTCGAGAAGGGTGAATGCGTGGTCGAGCTGGGCGTTGAGTGGATGTATTGCACGTGCCGTGATGGCACGCTAGCGACATAGCAGGGATACTACTGCAGGATGAAGCCGAGGGGATCTTTGATGACCGAAACTTTTGAATGCTCGTCTGGTCCACCACGCTTCGCCACGCCTCACCACGCTTCGCCACGCCTCGCCACGCCTCATCACGCCATCAATTATGCGACGAGCACGCGGTCTTCGGGTATGAAGGAGTCCAATGCACTCATATCTCCATTAACACGACTAATTTCGCATAGGTTTCTTCCCCCCGCGACATCTGTGTCTTCTGCGCCACTCGACAGCTCGCAGCAGCAGATGCACTGTCTTCTCGTCTAACATCAACCCAACGGCGGCACTTGAACTCTTCAAGTAGAGCGCCTCAGTCAGCAGAGCCAGTCTACCAAGATGCTGAACCACGCGCGCGGCCGATGACGCAGGCTGAGCGGATGCGACAACAACTCGCCGCCAGCGCTGCCCAGGCCTCTCCCATGGCATCTCAAGGAGGGAACATGACGCCTGCGCAGAGAATGAGGGCATCGCTAGCTGCTCAAGCTCCCCGTCAACCGCCTCCGCCTCCGCAGCGTCAGCAGCGTCAGCAACCGCCGCCTGACGGATATTCCATGAATCGAGGCGGAATGTTCGATGGGCCGGGCCGCAGTCAGAACAGAGAGAGGTCCATGCCCCCAACTCGAAGATACGTACCTTCCGACAAGACTACCACCTACAGTCCGCCTGTATCGCAGAACAGATACAAGATCAACATGGAATCAAAACCTCAGGTGCACACGCCAGCATTCGCCTCAGATCACCTGAGGCGGCGGGACGACCAACATTCACAAGGCGCACAGTCCATGGTCTACGATGAAAGCAGGCCGCCTGCGTATCGGCCCCGCCCCAAGAGATCTATGCTCGACCAGGACGAGCTCTCCAAGTTGATGGGCCTTTCCGCCAACGAGCGCTCTACCAGAACATATCAGCCGTTGGCGCGAGACTCGAGGGCGCAAAAGAAATGCTGGCATTGCGGAGCGACGGAACATGAGTCCCACAAATGCCCCACGCGTCCGACCCTACGTGAACGACCTTCACCTCCGAGACAGCAAGAGCGTGCATCGATCGCGGACGCGGCTCAGCAATGGAGGCAAACAGTTGGAGCCCAATTGGAAACAGAACGTGCCCCAAGCGTCCAGGAAGAAGCAGACCGAAGAGCGCGCAATGTGGGGCAGGACCGACGGCGTAGTGCCCGATTCGACATCGACGAGCCAGACGTCAGAAACCGATATGATCAGCCTGCACGGCGTCGTGGTGGATATAGTAAGGGACGGCGTCTTGAAGAAGATGACGAGGACGGTCGCCTTGAGGACCGGACTGAGCGCAAGAGGCTACGCAAGGAAGCCAAGAAGGCGGCTCGCGACGCAAAAGCAGATCCGACGCCTCTCTATCTTCCACAGTATATCAGCGTAGCGAATCTCGCTTCCATGCTAAGGCTAAAGGCAGAGGATTTAGTGGTCAAGATGGAGGACCTCGGGTTCGAGGATGTGCAGAAGGACCACGTTATGAATGCTGAGAATGCTGGTCTCATTGCTCAAGAATACGGTTTCGACCCAATTGCCCCAGTGGAAGGGGAAGATGGTGATATATATCCCGCGGAGGGTGTTGCTCCTGAACTATACACCGAGTTACCCGCGCGACCGCCAGTCGTTACGATTATGGGCCACGTTGATCACGGAAAGACTACCATCCTTGACTACATGCGCTCCACGAGTGTGGCTGCTACTGAATTCGGTGGCATCACGCAGCACATCGGTGCCTTCAGCGTGCCACTGGCAAGCGGCAAGAAGATCACATTTCTCGACACACCTGGTCATTCTGCGTTCGAAACAATGCGCGCCCGCGGCGCCAACGTCACCGACATCGTCGTGCTGGTGGTTGCAGCCGACGACTCGGTCATGCCGCAAACGATCGAGGCCATCAAGCACGCCCAAGCAGCCAAGGTACCCATCATAGTTGCTATCAACAAGATCGATAAGCAGCAGGCTGACCCCGATGCTGTGAAACTTGACTTGGGCCGTCACGGTATCGAGATTGAAGACTTTGGGGGTGATGTGCAAGCCATTTGCGTTAGCGGTAAGACTGGTCAAGGCATACCCGACTTGGAAGAAGCCATTTCGACCTTGTCCGAGTTGCTGGACCACCGTGCTGATCCGTCATCGACTGTTGAAGGCTGGGTGCTCGAAGGCTCGACAAAGAAGTCTGGTCGTGTTGCGACCGTCCTCGTCCGGAGTGGAACGCTCCGGCAAGGTAGCGTCCTTGTTGCCGGTACAACCTGGACCCGTGTTCGCACTCTACGCAATGAAGCTGGCGTTGTTGTGCCGGAAGCCGGTCCTGGTATCGCGGTCGAAGTTGACGGTTGGCGTGACCAACCCATTGCTGGGGATGAAGTCCTTCAAGCAGAAAATGAGCACCACGCCTCTTCCGTGTCTGAAATACGTGTCGAAAAACTCGAACGTGAGCAAATGGCTGTCGATGTGCAAGCCATCAACGAGGCCCGACGTCAAGAGACTGAACGTCGTGAAGCTGAAGCGGCTGCCGAAAAGGCCGCCGAAAACGGAGAGGAAGAGGTCGCCGTGGAGATCAAAGACAAGGGCCCCGAGGTGGTTGAGTTTATCGTGAAGGGAGACGTCTCAGGCTCAGTCGAGGCAGTCATCGACTCCGTTTCTGCAATCGGTAACGGGGAGGTCATGTCTCGCATTCTTCGCCATGGTGTCGGTCCGCCCTCCGAATTTGACATTCAACACGCCGCCGACGCTCATGGACACATCCTCAACTTTAACACCGTCATTCCACCACATGTAGCGCGGCTAGCAGAAGAAAAGAGTGTGAAGATTATAGACAACAACATCATCTATCGCGTCGTGGAGGATGTGAAAGAGCTCATGAGTGCAAAGCTGGCGCCAAATGTCATTCAAAAGGTCACCGGTGAAGTCGAAATCGCAGCCGTGTTTGAGATCAGCCTTGGGGGCAAAAAACGTATGAAAGTTGCGGGATCAAAGGTCAGGAACGGACATGTGGATCGAGGCACTAAAGCTAGAGTGCTGCGCGGCGTGAGAACCGTTCATGATGGTCAGTCTATCTCTACTTGAAAGTATAACAGTCTAACATCGATCACAGGCAAAATTACGTCTTTGAGGAACCAGAAGAAAGATGTCGAGCAGATGCGCAAGGATACCGAGTGTGGTATAAGTTTCGAGGGCTGGGACGATTTCCAAATCGGTGATCGCATCCAGTGCTACGAGGAGAGATTTGAAAAGAGAACCTTGTAACATATCATGTATCTCACCAAGGCGAGCTTTGTATTAGCGTGGCATCGCCTATTGTTGGCTTATACTTGTACATGTACCATTATGTAGATTTGTAGAATTATAGACCCACGGCAAACACTCAGGGTTGTGGAGAGAAATGCCAAATGTTGATATCCAAGCTGCTGCAAAACGACTTTACAGGGTGTGATGTTTCAGCATTTGAAGGTTATTGACGGCAAACCACGTGATCAGAGCAGGCATGGATGGATTAGTGCCTCCGTGATCTCGCTGAACGTTTACATCCAAAAGCCCTCAAGTTGCCACATTGCTTTTCGTATAGCCGGAAAGTCGCATGCATGTGCGAAGTAAAGCGTGAGCTGATTTTACAGCTTTGAAATGACCATCCCACCTCCGTACATGTTTGATACTCGATTGGGCTAGTCCCAACTTAAAATAGGCGAAGGCGATCTCAAACATGTGCAGCATGGCTCTGGCGAAACGCGATTCAAACATGATTGTTTGATGATTCCGCATCATTAAGCACCCAAATTCTAACAGTTGATGATTGTCACTTTCTTCGTTGTGGCAGAGATCTTGTGAAGCTGTGCTGTTGTGCACCTCGACTATAGCATCAAGCAGCCGTGGGTCTGCTGCAAGCGCAGCACATCGTCAGCCATCAAAACGCACACGAAATATGCATTGTATAGACCAATTTTTGGTCCAAACTTCACGGCACCATTCTGGGGGGGTTAAATAGTTTAGCTCGTAAACTTCTCCGGAGTCTGCGCGCCCGATTTGGTGCATGTTCTCATGGTTGAAGCTAAGCTTTCTGTCGCAAAGGACTAGATCGAACAGTTCAAGTCGATCTTGAAACCGGACTCGCAGGGAAACAATCTCACCATCACGGTTGCATTATTCACCGACCTCGGACATGCACTGCCGTCGTGTCGCAGTTGATTTGTAACGAATCAAAGCGACCCTTTTGTGCAGAGCGGGAAGACCCGGTTGACCTTGAAGCCCCGTCGCCTGCTAAGGTAGTAAGATTTGAGTCTGAAGCCTTTCTCCATCTTGTTCCACAGCATAATACTGAAACTTTCTGGCGGACCCTAGACACGCCGTGCTACAAGCCGGAAGTACTGCAACTCCGATAGCCTTCATATCAGGCTCGACTGCCGTTCTCAAAAGTCCAAGACTTCTGTGCGTTACAATTCTGGTCAGTTGTCTGCGCCGTTCTTTCTCTTCGGTTCTTTGTAGTTTCTTAAACTCTTTTTCTCATACATAATTCCGAGTAGCCCAGGTGGCTCAGTACACTGCTCAAGATGGCGTCCAGCACTCTCTCTTCGCTTTTTCTCATCCTTTTGAGCTGCACCCCGGCCTTCGGTCAGTCTACAGACACGCAGCAAGTGCAATACAACCAAGTACTGAACTTGAATGGCGACGTGAGTTCGGGATCCTGCACTTGGATGATGAATCACTGACGTCCGCAGATGAAAATCAACTCCTTCCAATTCCCAGACCGCTCCCGGGTCGAGACGTTCTCTCAGAAGCAACAGCAGATAATAGTTAATCAGCAAACCCCAGCCATACCCGCAAACCAAGTTACAGGAACGACTGGTCAGCCTTTCGTTGCCATCAGCCCACAGTCCATGACGATCAGTACCAATGGGGCTACCGACTTGGTCGGCGGACAGGTACAGATGGCCATCACCATGCAGAATCTGCAGTCAGCTGCGGTCCAGCCCGATAACACTTATGTTGCCATGCTTTCGCCAGACAGGCAGACCTGGATGGTGCAAGAAACCATGAGGAGTGTCAATAGGTATGCCGATGCTCAAACGTATTGATTAAACACAACTAACACATGACAGCACTGATATGACCGTCCGCATGGTCAAGCGCAACCAGCTTGACGGAGAGTACATGGTCGTTGGTCGCCAGACTGTAGAGACCAACACTCTTGTACAGCCGTTCGGCAGCGATCAAGCTAGATCGATTGCTATCCAGGGCACCGGTCTCCAAGAGAACGAGTTTCAAGACGGCTTCAGGATGTCTACCCGTGCTACTCAGCCCATGACCATGAATGTCGATGTTGTCGATGGCATTGACTCCAGTATGTTGGCTGCTCTCCAGGGCCAGGAAAGCGTCAGTAAGTAGTTTCAAGCATAGAGGAGTACATACAGACTACTAATCCAAGGCTTAGATGATTACCGATACTCCGTCATTACCAACCTCGCCGCTGTTACGCCCTCTCTCAACCAGCAAGTTACTGTCATCCAGATGCCGAGTAAGTGATATGGCCTTCGGTAGCTGGCTGAATTCACTGACAATCCTTAGTCAACGCCGTCCGTATCCAGAAGATGATGCAAGCCATGGGTGTTCCTCCAACAGGACAGGTTGCAATCGCTGTTGCTCAGCGCGGTGTCCTCCAGAACCCTGGTGGTGCCACTGGTAACCTCGGGGGAGCTACTGCTGCTGTAGGTGCCGCTACTCGTCGCAATCTCGGCCGTCGTCATTTCAGGACAGAGGTCGCGCGACAAGTTCAGGGACAGACTGGTGCAATCATTGCTGGTCAGGCACCAACTGGACAGACACAGACCGGACAGACTCAGACTGGACAGACGCAGACCGGACAGACTCAGACTGGACAGACGCAGACCGGACAGACTCAGACTGGACAGACGCAGACCGGACAGACACAGACCGGACAGACTCAGACTGGACAGACTCAGACTGGACAGACTCAGACTGGACAGACTCAGACTGGACAGCAGCAGCAGGCTGGCCAAGTCCAAGCTGGAACCCCCACTAACAACAACCCCGTGGCACAAAAGCTCCTTCTCTCGCCTACTTTCGTACCCGTCGCAGCCAACGCTGTTCTCGACCAGACCAACATGCGTATCGCGATCCCCGTCCGCCAAGTCGATGGCGAGTACATTCTTACCATGCAGAAGATGAACAGTGTTCAACAGGCCCAACCTGCTCAGGGCCAGGCACAAGCTCAACTGCCCACTGCCGCAGAAGGCCAAACCCCGACTGCTGAAACAGGTGCTCGTCCAGCTGAAAGCAAGGCTCCTACTGCTGGCGAAGGCCTCCGCGCCAACGAAGGCCTCCGCAACGGCACCGAACCCGCCAGGCCTGCGGCCGAGAAAAAGCCTGAAGGCGAGAAGAAGCCTGAACGCCGCCAGGAGTCTAGCAAAGACAAGTACGGCAACGTCAAGGCACCGCAGGGCTCCATCATTATGACTATGAAGATGATAGATGATATGGTCGACGCAGTCAACTGGGGTGGCCAGGCTGCGATCACCAAGATGATGAGCGAGTATACCAAGCAGAACACCGGTACCGAGGCAGCTACCGGTGCTGCGAAGATCATTGTCTAAGCACCTAGAGGTCCCTACTGAGCAATGAAGCTTGGTACGACTAGAGGTGGAAGCAGAAACATAACGTGCTTGAAGTCCGTGAAGTGATGAGGCTGGTGCCTCTCCCACAATCTTCCATTAATGTATATAGTAGAAGGCAATCATTGGATTCTATAAATTCTACTTTTTTGCGCATGAACTCAAGTTTTTGTTACTTGAGGCTCTAGCGCAAGCATACATTATTTGAAACACAGCCTTAGGTGCACTGTCGTGCAACACTTGAAGCACAATGCTTAGACATGCGCACTGACCTAACGCATGTGTTTGTTGAGAACTGTTTCATTCCTGTGACTGATCAATGCCATGGCCCACAACGACGGCTTGCAAAATGGGGAAAGGTGCTTGTCAATTTCTTTTTGTTGTCTGAAATATGTTGCACCATTACATTACTCGTCGCTTCTAGTTCATGTACGTTTCACGTCTATTATAGCAGCGCTTTTGTAAGTCCCAGTCATCCGTGTCTCCCTGGCTCGAATCCACTCACTCGCAATTGCTGGTCGAGATTCTTCTTCGACCTCCTGCGCATGAGAACCAAAATGTAAATCACCACAGTCAACAGCGCAGCACCGGCCTGTACTAAGCCGATATACCAACTGACGCTCTGGCTTCTGGTTAGCCGCTGACAAGAACAACTTCATGCGATACAACGTACCTGCACGTTACAGAACCGATCAAAGTTCACGTCGCCCGCGAACTCCTTCTGTATAGCTCTCGCGCCCGCACTGCACGTCCAGCCCCACAAATCATTACTCTTGCCGTCTTTATCCTTTTCACCTCTGTACATTCCCGCCGCCACACTCCATACCACAAAGTTGCCCAGTATGACGATCCAACTAAAAGCGGACGTCACATAGTTCGCAGCATTTGCTGTTTCGACGCCGAATCTGTACGAGAAGACGGTGCCAAAGTTGAGAAGGGCTGACAGAGCAGCGATCGCGAAGTACATCCAGGTTGGCCACGCGCGCGTGTTTTTCGCCCATGCAGTGCGCTCGATTGTCTGACCATCTTGTACGATAGTGCGGAACGTATCTTTGGTACCGAGGTACTTTGCAAGCGTCATGGTAATGGGAATTAGGACGCCGACAGAGATGAGGAAGGCAAGGACACGAGAGATTACACGAAGACGGCGGATGCGTGCTTTGAGGATCTGAGGAGTTCAGCACACGTTGTAATGTGAATCAAGATTGGGAACGTACAGCATCCTCATTTAAGGCCACTTTGATGTTCTCGTGGTCTTCAAATAGCCCCCTATGTTGGTAACCGGTAAAACTTTCCTCTTCATGCCCATACAGCGGCTTCAACGGCGTAGGATTGCCAGAAGAAAGACCCGACGGAGACATATTGGGAGACGAGAACAGAAGACGCTGCTGATCATTGTGATACCGCAGGCGGTCATAATAAGCACGCAGGAACATCGTGAATGCTCGCGTTCGTGTTCGACCTGGAATATTTTGCTTTTCCAACCTCACCTGGGCAACTCTTGGACGTTGTTTGATCGACAACAGGCCTTTCGGGAAATGCACTGTCTCAATTAATTATTTCTTTGAGCACAGAAGACTGAACCATCGAGCCTCTTATGCATGTCGACATTGCGTTCGGCAGCGTAAGGCGTGGTCCGGTCAGCTCTAAGACTCAGCCGCAAACTAATCCTTGGGGGTTGAGGATGATCGGCGTGTGAAGGTACCTAGGTAAGTTGTGACCCAATCATGTAGCAAGCAACTAGCTCAGCTTGTTGTTGTCGCATTTTGCGGCTGCATCGCTCCTCACCATATGCGGCATAGCGGGTGCGGCTTCAAGGTTTATGGGGGCTGATTCGACACGCGACTGAAGTCTGTCAGCCCTAACAATGAACAGGGCTAATTACATGATGCCAAACTATTTTTATCTCCTGATTACTCGATGCGAGTGCGTCTTTTATTCTGTATGAAGCATAGATATACACTTCCGAAGGCTTGGAAGACATGTCAGGGCACTCTTGAAGAAGACTGACCGCTTACTAAGGATAGTGGCTGGGATGAGCCACTCTTTGGAGAATGAACCCATGCCGACGTGAACTGTAGCCATCTAGGATGAGGCATGGGAGAGAGTTTGAACCCATTCTCGTGTGCAGCGATGGTTCTTCGTCTTCCCAAGGTGTTGAATTTAGGTAAAGTTGAAGAAGACGGATGCAATGGTGCGGAAAGCTCGAGTAGAAGGGTTGTGGTGTTTGCGCTGCCGGTAATTTGTAGTAGAGAAGATACTGGTCGAATCGAGGCAAGGTCGCTCTTAGCGTTAGGAAACATCGTCTTGATTTTGCTCGGAGCCTAGATCTTCGAGGGGGTTTCTCTCACTTGGATTCACATCTCGAAATGATGCTTGATAGTCGAGTATTGCACTCGACGACAGAAAGTATTACGAGCGCATTGTCAGTACATATGAGCCAAGGCCGGTCAATGGCACTTTCATATGTAAGTATTGTGGTAGCTCTCATGCTCTAACATATCCCCACTAGGCAGTGGCAAAATTCGTGTCCGCTCGCACATGCGCGAAGTAATCCGATAGTCTTTAGGGGCGTCCTAAGAAATTTATAAAGAAGCCTGAATATATCTAATGCTCTAAGACACCTTAACTACTCTTACAAAAAGTTTTGAATTCATCCAGGCTATCTCTTCAGCCTTGTCGTTAGGTGGAGGCGGACAGGGATTTTGCCGGGGCCTGGTGCCCCAGCGCTTGCTGAAGCTTATTGTAGATGCTCCAGCGAAATGTGTCACTGTTTCCAAAAGGCGTCTTTCATCAAAGTATCGAACTCGAGTCTTTGGTATCAATATTCCTGTTGGTGGGCGTTTCTGGTAGGGTTGGTCGGCAACGGCCGAGGAAAATTCTATACAACAACTCCTACAGAGAGGCTCTTGTCGATATCTTGGATTGTAACGCCCGAGAGGCGAACATCAGAAGTTGATAATGTACTGCCTGTTACAGCTGCGAAGCGAAATCGACAAGGAGTTTCCGTCAATCCCGTAGCCTCACGCTATTCACCGTATCAGCAGGTTTCAGATTCGACAGCGAGGCGCGGTGTATAATTTCATTTTGTCTTGTCAGTCCGAGCGGCTCGTAGGGTCCGTGAGCAGTCTGTAATATGAGGAATGACCCTGCGAGTCATCGCGCTTGACGTTTTCACGGCTTCCAAGGTTTGCCAACGCGTACACGGAACCGGCGGCCATAGCACCGGGCCTCCGCGACGATGATAGGAAAAATAGGCGATAACCTCGTGACGCGCCGGGACTACTGAAAAGCGCCGTTGACAGACTTTCCCAGCGGTGTTGTCACCAGCATCACTCCGCGAGCCTCGGTAATCGGGCAGAATACGCGGGGGCCCCTTGCCGTTCCGCCCCCACAACCACATGAAGCCATGCCAACCGAGATGACCTTCCAGTCTGATTTGTTGCAATCGGTGCCACCAACCGCTTTGCTCAAGTCCAATAACATAGTGCGTCTACAAGCTAAACTGCGAGCGTGGTCATCTCCACGTCTTAAGCTGTATTGCAGCTCAGCTCCGCGCGGACGAATCGTTGTTGTCGGTCCGAGGCAGTTGCTTTGTGACGTAAATACCGATTTTTCGTTGGCCCTTCGCCGAGTGCTCTCTACTGCGTGTGGCTGGCAGAGGTGATACGGCTTACAGTACCTACACTCAAAGCGGTCGATCATGTCAAGGTAGCAAGGATGCAGAGATCCGGATTGGGCTGCCGTACGGCATAGTTCACTAGGTATGCCGGTCTATTGTGCAATTGTACAAGGATAGTGAAATGGCCTTAAAGGAAAGGAATACCCTTACCTGGTTCACGGGAACACTTGGTCGTTCAGCTTCCGACAGTCACTGGCCATTGTTTCTGAGGCAGGAGCTGGGTAATTGTAAACACACCTTGATGTACATTGGCTGTCACTTCATACATTTACCTCGAACACCCACACATTTTCCTCCGAGATAATGATCAAGCTACTCGGAGCAGTAGCTCTGCTAGGAGCTGTGCATGCGCAAAACTCGGCACCACTACCAGAGGTTGATCTTGGCTACGAAATCTACAGAGCCGCCAGTTTCAACGTACGCCGTTTGAACTCAGTCTTGCAAGGTCCAGTCTAACACATTGCAGTCTACCGGCAACTTCTACAATTTCTCCAATATCCGCTACGCCGCGCCTCCCGTTGGCAATCTGCGATTTGCTCCTCCTCAAGCCCCCGCAGAGAACCGGTCCGCTGTGAATACTGGTTCAACGTACAGGTAAATTGCAGTGGAGCTGAGCAGGCCCACCCAGTGCTTGCTTTCGATTTTGCGCCATGTCTGATATTCGTAGGATCTGTCCGCAAGCCACCACGGGATGGAGCAACACATCGTCACTCTTTTTGGCCAGCTTACTTGGCGGACGGCCAATCAATGTGACGGCTTACGTCCCACCTGGCGCGAACCCCAGCAGCCTGGTACCAGCAGGTCCTCCGGGTCAATCGGAGGATTGTTTATTCTTGGATGTCTTTGCACCGAAAAGTGTCTACGAAAATGCCGGCAAAGGCTATGGTGCTCCAGTCCTTGGGTAAGCAGTGGCTACAAACTCTACTTAATACTCGTTCGCTAATTTTCGTACAGTAAGTTAAACTTATACCTAGAATTTAGTAATCCGCGCGGAAAGTAAGGTGGTTCAAAAGGATCACCACTGGTGTACCTTCCCCCACAACCCTCCCACCCCACCCCCCTTTTTCCCGAACACAACGCCTGCTAACTATGGCTTCTTTTTAAACAGTTTGGGTCTACGGGGGCGGCTACATTGCTGGTGACAAGGCAAATAATCCAGCTGGACTCATCGCAGCTTCAGGCAACGCGACTAATGGCGATGTCATATACGTGGCGATGAATTACCGCCTTGGCGCCATCGGCTTTTCAGCGGGCCCCTCATTCAATGCGGAGGGTGGGACATCCAACGTCGCTTTGTATGATCAAAGGTTTGCTCTGGAATGGGTACAGAAGTATATCCATCTCTTTGGAGGCGACAAGAACCGGGTCACAGTGTTTGGCGAAAGTGCTGGAGGTGGCTCAATCATGCACCAAATCACCGCGTACGGAGGCTTGAAAGGCAAAGCTCCATTCCAGCAAGCAGTACCTCAGAGCCCTGGCTGGCAACCCGTCCAGTCGAACACCCAAACCGAAAACTCATACCAGAAGCTGTTGCGCTTGACTAACAGCACTTCACTCGCTGACCTCCGAGCCCTGCCGTCCGAAGTTATCATGCGGGCAAATGCACAGCAGATTGCCTACGATACAGGTTTTGGACAGTACATCTATGGTCCCGTTGTGGACGGCCTTTTTTCTCCACTTCAACCAGGCCAACTTCTGGCCCAAGGTCGATTCGACAAAGATGTTCGGGTCATGGTTGGTCACAATGCCCAAGAAGGACCATTTTTCACGCCAGGCTACATCACATCCAACGAGGCCCTTGAGGCTCAGCTAAAATCCGCGTTTCCTGGCGCACCGCAGTCCTCGATCGATACGATCACACAGACCTTGTACCCTCCAGTCTTCGATGGTTCCTATCCGTACACTAGCCAGTATGAACGTGCTGTTCTGATCAACTCGGAAGGCATCTTTACCTGCAACACGAATTACTTGTCGACTGCGCTCGGCAACCAAACCTATTCATACCTGTTTGCTGTACCACCTGCACTCCACGGACAGGACGTCCCATACACATACTACGACGGGGGTGCAGCTCCTTCAAACGGGTTCAACCGCACAGTGGCGATTGCGCTCCAAAAGTTCATCACGAGCTTTGCAGAGCAAGGTAGACCTGAAGCAGAGGGCATTCACCAGTTCAATATGTACGGGCCTAATGCGGCTGTGCTGAAGCTCAACATATCCGGAATTGACGAGGTGCGCGACAGCAATGCGAATGCGCGCTGCAGCTGGTGGCAGAAAGCTCTTCTCTACTGAACGATATATAAGGCAAGAGACGGAGCATGGGTGATGCAATAGTAATGAACAGCATGAAAGACTTTACACGAGATCCACACATATGCAAGCGTTCTCCATTCTTGATGTCAGCCATTCAATCGAAGTGGAGCCAGCCGCGAGCCGCGCTAAACCTGAACAGACCTCACTTGGCTCATAGGTACGTCATATCTAAACATTGAGCTACGAAGCGCAGACACCTCCGCTTTCTTTAAAGTCGTTCTCCTGCACCTATTCTGCACTTCATTCCACGCCTTCAATCAATAATTGCATCTCGCTAAGACCCCACACTCGAGAAATCAACTACCTCAACAACACTCCAAACTTCACGCATTCACACCATCACCATGTTCCGTCAACAGATCACCCGCCAGGTCCGCCTGTTCAGCACCACCCCAATTGCGCGCAAGAGCCCAGTAGAGACCATCAAGGACGCCGCCAAGGCTGTCGACAAGACTATCTCTGGTGCTGCCGTCAAGGGTATCGAGACCGGTGGTATGTACATACCCTCATCTTTTACATCTGTCACATGATATGCTATGCATTGCGTCAAGACAACAAGACTGACTGCTTCCACAGAGAAAGCCGCCGAGGCCGTAAAGCAGGCTACCCCGTCGACTACTGGTGAGGCCAAGGGCCAAGCGAACGAGATTGCTGGCCAGGCAAAGGGCAAGGCGAACGAGGTTGCTGGACAAGCCAAGGGCAAGGCCGCAGAGCTCCAGGGCGAGGCCAACAAGAAGTTGTAGAGCAGCTTTCGCAAATTGAGGGAGAGGGTTTTGGGCGACGTGTACTCGATATAGGCATGAGGATGAATAGCGATCCACAGCGCCTTCATGATCCATGAGCTGGCATGAATTGAATGAGAATGATATTTCTATCAAGAATTGCGTAAATTGTGGTGACGGTTAAGTTTGCACGCCATGGTTGATGATACATGTTGTTTACTACGACGGAAAGCGACCAGGGTGTACCCAGCAGCTAATTCCGTAGTCAGGAGTTATACACGAAGCCCTGCCATCGCCATCGAAACCTAGAAATACAGTGTATAGCTCCATGTTGTTAAATGCGCCTATCGACTTTTTGTCCTAGTCGCTGACCCGCAGTATAATTCCGATACCGTGCATCGATTGTCGTCGGAGCCAATGACGATAAGGCTTTACACTCGAATCCCTTACGATCATTGATCATCGTCGTCCGGTGCACTGCTTGCAAGCCACCACAACACAGCCCTGGCCCTGGCAACTTTCGCACTGGCTTGCGTAGTTCCCGTCTCCTCTGCAGTCTCGACAAGGCCGCCACCGCTCACCCCTGCCGCTGTATGTAGTTCGACCGCGTTCACCTTCGCACCAAATGCATATTCGAAATATTTTACCCCTGCCATCGCATGTTGCGCATTCGTGTACCTTGACGTCTTTGGAGTTGCAATATCGGCATCTCATACTGGTGGTCTGGTGGGTTGAAGCGAGACAACGAGGTTAGGTATTGCGAGGGAAAGGGTATCGAAATTGCTGCATTGGAACTTGCGATCGCTGCTCTGTTATATGTTTAGAGCAGGCTGGAAACAATCTCACATAAAAGAGGCAAAGCTTGCTAAGAGCTTACTTATGCCGAGCAAAGCATTTCGTGGCGTTACGTCGGTATCAGATACCAAGACAGTGGCAGGTCGGGTGTCTGAGCTCCTAGCTAGAGAGTCTGGTGAGGTCATGTCGATTCTATGGGACATGGCTGACTGAGTGCTAGTGAGCAGTCCTACCTTCAGTCATCGTCTGGCAACCACAGGCTCTCAAGTTGCAGAAGAAGCAAGAAGTAGCCAACACAGCTAGACTGCGACAACAAGTCTAAGACAGAGAAAACAATTAGAAAAAGTTGCGAGTACTTCTAGGGAGCCTTCTAAGTTTTCTTAAGACATATATACGTAGAGTCATCTACATACAGGCCAGGAATGTCATTCTGCATATGGAACTTCAAAAGCTGTTAAATCTCACTATTTCTGCAACGTAAGAGACAGGGTGCTTGGTCGCTAAAATGCCTTGAGGTCCCAACTCATCAATCGCCATTCCGCCGCTCTCTTACCTGCCCGCCTTCTTGACGTGGATCTAAATCCAGCTGTGAGGTTGTCATGGCTTTCCACAACCTTATCCCGCTGAGTGTTTGTGTTGGGCTCTTTTACCTCGAAACTTGCTCGTTGACAAGTCTCTTACCTGCTCTCACTGAGTAGCGTGGCTCGCCTCCCTTCTATGGCGCAAATATATTCCATACCTCGTAGCTTCTTCCCTCCTTCTCCCCCCACCCACTCGAGTACTTTGTCAATTGACCTAATCTAGAGGTGTTCTCGCCCCACCCGCATTATCAGCCTCAACATGTTCAGCAGTAAATACGCCTACAACACTCCACCTGCGCCACAAGAGATGCCGACGACAGCATTTGGCATGACTGGCGTTCAGCAAAAGATGCGCGGCGTTACCCTCGAGGACGGCTTCGAGACTCCTCCGCCCGCGACATCCACTTCCTGGACCGCGGACAAGGCCAAAGTACGAAATTCCCCACCGCTCTACTTGGCACTGTCTAATTGCGATAGTTTGCACGATTCGAGTCGCTGAAGGAGATGACACTCGGCACCTGTCGGTTACTGTACGGCAGCGAACGATTCAGGTTTTACGGTAAGCTCTTGATCCCAGTACCCGGTAGCGACTGATATGAGTGCAGACATCGTGATCGGCGCCGACGAAGGCGAGACGACTTTCTGTGCTGCTCTGGTGCTCAGCAAAGACGGATCAACCAAGATTCTGCGTACCAGTTGCAGCGATTGTCCGATCAAGGCCACGCAGATCATCGTCAGCCAGCTCCACAAGGATGTGTTCCCTCTCTTGGGTTCGTCTATCAGCCAACTTGTCTCTTGCACCATGCTAACCACAGCCTCAGTCAACCTCGGCGCTGGTGCGCAGCTCCAGGGGCAACAGGGCTACACCAATGGCCTCACTGGGACGTTCGAGCTCGCAGACAACAAGAAGAATACCAAGCCGGATGGTGCCGCCGACGATACTGAAACTCTCGCTGGCAGAGGAGGGGACAGCTGGGTTCCCAATGCTCCCAGGGGACCGAAGCACAGCAGGGGTGGCTTTAAGCGGCCTCGCAGGTCCGAGAACGAAGGCCAGGTGTCAGAGCAAATGGGCGATAGCGGCATGGACGGTGGATTGAACTATGATTGAGGGTTTGGCCGACGTTTGGAAGGCAGAAAGGCCGCGAGTGGTTATCATTTGCAAGACCTAATGGCGACGCCCTGTTAATTTTACACCAGCTGGGACATACTGAAACGGGTGATGATATCGTAGATGAAAAAAAGCCGTCAGCTACGTCACAGCAGGTACTGTGGTGCTTCAAGAATTTGAAGCGCTGTGGTAGACCTTAGTTCATACTCGTAGCCATTTAGTCGTCAGGTAACTCGTCGATTGCTCCTTGCGTAAATCTGGCAGCGGCCCGATCAAGCCAAAGTGTTGATCTTCAAGTTAATACTGCACACGGGTGTTGGACGAGGTTGAGATGTCGTCTGACGCGTGAGCACGTGCGCGTTGTTAGCGCGTCGAGTACGTCATGATACTCCGCCGCCAATGCATGTATCAGCACCCACAATGTTGCGGTAGTGCATTGTCCAAGATGAACAGCCCGTCGAAGCGTCGGAAGAAGAACGATGGGTCCAGCCAACCGGTGCGCAAGCTGGAACACTTCTTCGCAAGGCAGACAGCTAAAGCCGCAGCCAAAGATGCGCCAAACAAGGCCGATGAAGATCAAGACGCGACGACGCTGACCGACGAGGAGTATGCAAGAAAGCTGCAGGAAGAATGGAATCGGGAAGATCAACAGCAGGCGCAAGCGACAGAGCCTGTGAGCTCCAATGAGCTCTATGAGGATGCAGAGAGACCGTGTGTGCGGGTGACGGCGGAAGAAGGCGCAGACACGACGACCGCAGTACAACGCGACTCATTGAAAGCAGAAGAATTGGTTGAACCCATGCCGCCGAAACAGAAGAATACCTTGACGCTCCAGTCGACCGCTACCGAAGAAGATACAATCACCGCCAACATACCATTCGATCAGAGTCCGCTCGAATTTGACCCCATCAAGTACATACCCGATCTACAAAAGCACTGGGCGGTGGATGGAGGCCTTGCGACATATGCGCTGTTGACGCGATGTTTCATACTCATAAATAGCACCACAAGTCGCATAAAGATTGTAGACACGCTCGTCAACCTTTTGCGAACCATCATCGAGGGCGACCCGGGCAGTCTGCTACCTGCGGTATGGCTTGCGACGAATGCGATATCTCCACCTTACATTGATCTTGAGCTAGGACTCGGAGGCTCAGCGATATCAAAAGCTCTCAAGAAAGTGTGTGGCTTGGACAACGCGGGCTTGAAAGTGCTGAACAATAAATACGGAGATGCAGGAGATGTCGCGTTCGAAGCAAAGAAAAAGCAGTCGTTCACGCTGCGGAAACCAAAGCCGCTCACAATCAAGGCTGTCTTCGATTCGCTGGTCAAGATTGCAAACAGTAAGGGCAATGGAAGCGTGGAGAACAAGCAGCGCATTGTCGAGAGACTGGTACAGGATGCGAGAGGCGCCGAAGAAAGTCGCTACATTGTGCGCACACTTGTGCAACACTTGCGCATAGGCGCAGTCAAGACTACGATGCTGATCGCACTGTCTCGCGCTTTCATGTTGTCAGAACCTCCAAGCGCCGACTTCGAAACGCGCGGGCAAAAAGAGCTTGCAGAGCTAAAGAAAGAAGAGCTTGCAGAAATCTACAGCCGGAACGAAGAAATCGTCAAGGCATGTTTCGCCAGGAGACCTAACTACAATGACCTCATACCTGCGTTGCTCGAGATTGGTGTTTGCGATGAACTGCTACTTCGATGCGGACTGGCCTTACATATTCCCCTGCGTCCCATGTTGGGTAGCATTACGCGCGACATGGGCGAGATGTTCACGAAGCTGCAGGGTCGCGATTTTGCATGCGAGTACAAGTACGACGGGCAAAGAGCACAGGTGCATTGTGACGAGAAGGGCAAAGTAACCATCTTCTCGCGACATCTGGAAGTCATGACAGACAAGTATCCTGACCTGGTTGCGCTGGTACCACAAATACGAGGAGAGGGCGTGTCGAGCTTCATTCTTGAGGGCGAGGTGGTCGCCATTGATCGCAACAGCGGAGAGCTTAAGACATTTCAGACTCTTGCGAATCGTGCAAGGAAGGATGTTGCAATTGGTGCCGTCACTATTGATGTGTGCCTTTTTGCCTTTGACCTCATGTACCTGAACGGCGAAGAACTGCTAAATCGTCCATTCCGAGAAAGAAGAAGCCTACTCAAGAGTCTGTTTGTCGAGATACCACACACATTCACGTGGGTGAAGTGCCTCGATGCCACATCTGCCGACGTGGACGCGGTGCAGGCATTCTTCCAAAGCGCGCTCGACATCAAATGCGAAGGCATTATGGTCAAAGTCCTCGACAACCTTCCCAACCCAGACCTCCTCGACAACACAAATGACTTGAATGACAAGACACCCTCTTTACCACCCACACCTAAAAAGAAGAAATCCACAAAGTCCAAGTCGAAAGCGAAATCGACCGATGACGGCGACAAGGACGAAGCAAAATCCCACGGCCGCCGGAAAGCCCTGCTCTCCACCTACGAACCTGACAAGCGCCTCGACTCCTGGCTGAAAGTAAAGAAAGACTACAGTACAACCTCGGAAACGCTCGACCTCATCCCCGTCGGCGCATTTCATGGATCTGGGCGCAAAGCGGCATGGTGGTCTCCCATCCTGCTCGCCATCCGCAATGCCGAAACTGGCCAGCTCGAAGCAGTTACAAAGTGCATGTCTGGCTTCACCGACGCCTTCTACAAAGCGAATCGCGCAAAATACGACAAGGACGACCCGGATTGTACAACTGTGCTAGCGAGTAAGCCGCGTTACGTGGAGTACAATGGCGGCGCGGGCACGCCCGATGTGTGGTTTGAGCCGCAGGAGGTGTGGGAAGTGGCGTTTGCGGACCTGACGCTGAGTCCGACGTATACTGCGGCGATTGGGCTAGTGAGTGAGGAGAGGGGGTTGAGTACGAGGTTTCCCAGGTTCTTGAAGGTTAGAGAGGATAAGGGAATTGATGAAGCGACCGAGGCGCAGGAGCTGGCCGACTTGTATAGGAAGCAGGAGGCTAAGGCGCCGAGGAAGGAGGGCGATGGGGAGGAGGAGGGGGATTGAATACGAATACCCTGCAACTTTAAAGCTGGCAGTAAGAAAGCACATGACGTTAATTGCAAGCACTTTGCGGTCGGAGTCGCGGCATTCATCTCCATTAATTGAGCTATAAGTGATGACCTCAGTCGAGCAGGCCCATCATCTACGATGGACACCGCGTTCTACGACACCCTCGGCACGCATCGATTCGAAGGTGCCGACCTATCCGTTCCAGTAACTTCATCCAAAGGACCGACGTAAGGAAACATTCGTAACCACTCGTCGTGGGTATCTGCAGGCATCGCGCCTCATTCCAGCCTCGTCTCGCAAGGTCACATGCGACCTCGATTTCGGCCCCCAAAAGCGCTCGAGCGGGGTACCTGGGAAGACGTGGGCGGCGCAGTTCGAGCTGTACTGCTTGGGCGACAGGCGATGCTGCGCAATACGCCTAGAAACCGTGGACCTTGATGGTCTTGCCGTCAAGACCAAGGCCCTCCTTCTTGTCCGTCATGAAATCCTGCACATCCTTGCGCTGGTCCCCCTGGAGCTGGATCACCTCTCCCATCTCCGAGTCGGCGACGACGGTGCCATTGCAGGCGAACTTCTTCTTGATGACTTTGAGAATCTTCTTCTGGTCGAATTTCTTGGGCAGGCCTTGGACCGTGGTCAGGGTCTTGCGACCATTGCGCTCTGCGTTGACGTCAGCCTTGCGCGGAGTCATGGTGTAGTGTGGAAAGAGAAAGCGCGCACGTCGCACGATTTGCGATGCCGGGTCAAGGGGTAGACTTACGCTGAATACGGATGTGAATGTAGTTCTGCTGGTTCCCAACCTTTGCTTCTCCACCAGCGTCATCGGCCTCCGCAAAGGGGTCGAAGGACTTGAGGTTTTGGATGTCTACCGTGGTCATATGATCGACTAGAGCGCTCTGCTGCTTTCTGGGCAAGGTGGGGTGTTTGGGTTGTAAGTGAGTGGAGATTTGCAGTGTGTTGAGACAGGCGTGAGAGGTGGTGGGAGCGAGTTGGTGGAGTGGCGAGCCAGCCCGCTAAAGAGCCCCGCTCGGCGGGAACAATCTAGCGCCGTGGCTCGCTCGGCTGACTCCGAATGTCCAGTCGAGGCGGCCACTACCACCTTTCACCGCTTGCCTCGTTTTGTCACATGATGGGCTATGTTGGACCTTGGGAACTCTATGTTTCTGTCTGAAAGGAATCATGGAATCGCACAACATCATCACGGACATTCGTCGCTAACATTGTCGTTCGACCTCGCTGCCAAAACTCGCTCTCACACACGGCTCCATCTCTTTTCATATGTGAGCGAGGCTAGCTTCCACGCTTCGCGCCTCCTCTTACTCGACGTCGATTATAGTTCCGCAAGATCTGCGTACGTGCAAGGTCCCAAATGCAGGACGCTGTGCGCAGGCGGCTTGTTGCCCGCGACTGGAAATTGAGCGATAACCGTTCGTTCAGTACCTGGGAACGTTGTTACGTGCCCTTGAGCAGCAAACTCTATGAGGTCTGCTGCAATGAGCCAGCCGTGGCGGCCGCCCTGAATCCAGACCTCGTTCAGATAGGACGGCAAGCCTGAGTGCGGCGTTGTAATGTGTGCCAGCCCAGCCATTATCAGTGAGTATCTGGAGACATGACTCAACAATTGTACAATGACGATCAAAACATTTGATACCTACTGCACTTTAGGCGCATTGGTAAGTAATCCCGTTGTAGCGTTCGGCGGCAAGATCCCTACCAAAGCCTGGTCGAAGTCCCCGAGATCGAAGTTCACAGCACCGCGACCAGGTTTGGGGGATGCATGTAGCTGCCAACATTCAAGGCGTGAGGCGTTGTTGGCGGCAGAGATGGCAGTAATGTTGAAGGCGATTGCCTGGCTTGCAACTCCATTTGCAAAGACAAGCACGGTATTCATCAACGAAAGTTGCATCGTGTTGGTTGAAGATATGTCTTTCAAAGCGTGAGGGGAAAAAAAAATTAAGTTGTATTTTCATTGGGGTGAATCTTGGTGATGAAGATATTGTCACACATGCTGACGTGAGACCTAGCCTTATCGACTAGTGATGGATTGCGAAGTCGCAGGTACTTCATGCCGACGAGCACCGTGGACCCAGATGAAGTATCCTCTACAACACAGGCGCATACAATCGCTAGTATAGTTTTCGCAGCATTCTCCGGTGGCCCTGACTTGATCAAACTGCCATCTAATGTTCAGCTCGTCTTATGGAAGACAAACTAGAAGGGCCGGGATTCTACTAATCAGTCGTAGCCTTCCACAATCGTCGACACTGCCTATTGTCTCTTATTGCCCGTCTAGTCGACTTCATTAGGCAAATTGCAGGTCACGTTCATATCACACCGAAACTACGAGCTGTATCATCTCATAAAACACGATTGCAGCTAGATCTTGCTACATGCGGTCAAGAGATGTCCTCGGTTTTGACCACTCTGCTGTCTAATGGTATGTTGTGCTGATTTAGGTCGGGTGTACCTCATTCCCTGCAAAGCCTGTTTCAGCCTTGCAATTCAAATCGCGGCACTGCGCTTACAGGCTACACGTTCCCTGCTATCAACGTCACAAGGAAAAGCGGGGTAGTGATGCTTATGTGCTGCTGCTGCTTGCCTACTGACCCAGTCGGGTACCCAAGAGCTCCTCTCAATTGCTGCACGCACAAGTCGTCCTAGTGCTTATGCCTCTGAGTGGTGGATATCAACAGGAGACCGAAAGTCCCTTCGTGACGTTCCGTCATGGGTTCCGTTCTTGGGATCGTGGACAGTATGTTCTTTCTCTTTTCATACATGACATGATTGTATAATAAGATACCAATTATGGCCAGTATCGGGTCAACAAACTTCTTGTGTCTCAGACTAGCTCTGGGTTTAATGCCAGTCGAAGGCCTGAGCACAGCCCTAAAATTTCCCATGATGGGAGAGCCCTGCATCTGGAAACCGAAACATTCGATGAAATAGAGTGCTTCATTATGGAGGACAACTTCGAAGCTTTTATACCTCAGCAATTACGAACCCGTTGGTTATAGCATTGACGAACGCATGCGTCCTTGCGAAAAGACTTCACGAATTGGAAGTGGATCATTATCCTAGCAGTCCCATCGATGCCCTAAGCCGTGTTCTTCTAAGTGGACAGGAACAACGTTCCCCCGAGATACTTCAGTACGCTTCGACATGGCTTTGCCATTCCCTCGCATGTTCTGTGTTCAAAGCATTGGAACAGGGGCGCCGAAGCCAATACGAGGGCAGTCATTCGCGTTCTGACCATCTCGATTGCACCAGTGAAGAATTTGCGGACTTGTCAATCAACCATCATAAGCAAGAATCCAAGGGCATCGATGAGTTGCTCGCTCTATTTGAGGAAATTCAGGTCACACTTCCAAATGAGTCATGGCCACAATGGGCTAAACATCCGCGGAAGTTCGACTTGAGAATACATGTAGAATATTTGAAAAAGCTGGCTCGTTTAGGACGGCAAGGTATCGAGAGAGAGAACGCAATCGCCTATTCCCTCCCACCTGCGAGACAAACATCTTTCCTACAATTTCTCGGGACAGAAATGCAGAGCTTAATGGGCCTGCCTGTGACTCTTACCCAGTTCTTCAAACAGGCACTTCAAGCTCTAGAGAGGGAAGTCGTCTGGCCTGAATACCCACTAAAGACGAAATCAATGCTGCAACCAGCCCTGTTCCAACCCGAAAATCAAGAACTCTACACGCAATTCACCATCATGGTCAAGTCGGAACTTGCGTGGCGAAAGGATTTTGTTACAAGTATGGGATTCTTTGGTCATGGCCCGAAATGGCTTATGGGTAGAGAAACAGTGATGCTAGTATGTGGTGCAAATGTACCATACGTCTTCACGCCGCTAGAAGTGGACCAGAGAGCCCAGGCAAATGAAATCAGGGCCGAACTAGATGCGAACGATGAGAAGTACTATGAAACAAGAAATTAACTGCAGGCAATGAAGAAGCTGTCACTTCTGAGGCCAATCGATGCTCTGTGGCGTGATCGCCGACGAGGAAAATTGAGAAGACTTGACAAAGAGAGACAAGAACTCCAAGAAGGACTCCATCGGATATCGAACGCAAGACAAAGCTATGATACCTGGGTGCTCAATGGCGAGGTGTATGTTGAAGGGATCATGTATGGTGAGGCTGTGAGAAGTCGTGATAAAAGAAAGATAGTCACCATTGTGTAGGGTGGATACTATCGGACATGTTGGTCAGCTTGGCCAAAAGAATAGTTAATGCTTCGACTCCACAAAGGGTCGACAAATCATTTTCTGAATTTCAATTTGCTTCTGGGTTGTTTGGTTGCTCAAATTTACTGTGTAAGGTGAGCGCAAAGTAATTCAGCGGGGGTCGTCGTTGCCCAGGTGTACTTCACGGCACGTTTTTTAACGCCATGTTGTCTGCCCTCGATCCTTTACAGGTACAAAAAGCTATTTATCGAATTTCAAAAAAATACACACCCAGAGTTATACATTCGCAAGAGTGCGCCATGGAAAAGCAGCTGTTGGCAAAGGTCGTTACTCGTAGATGTCGTGGAAATTATTTCGACATCAACAGCTCGGCCCTAACTGATCCAATCTGCTCGATTCGTTCTCCTTCATTACCTCCTTGACCTCCTGCTCTTCTCTTGCTTTGGGCTCCTTCTCTGCCTTGTCAATTTCCCCCTGGCTTGCTTTTACCATATCTTTCTCATTTACAGCTGCAACGACTTCCGCTTGACCCTCTGTTGGCTTAGGGCGTAGATAATACCAACGCTCGATAAAGTCAGTGTAATCGTCACCTTTCGTCATTTTAGTGAGAGAATGTGTGATACGATCAAGTGGACAGTTGTGTTGTTGGTAGAGTCTTTCTAGTAAGGTGGGTAATGTTTAAGCATGATCCAGTCGTGAGTCACTACACTTCACATGCTCATAGGGCGTACCGGAAGTCACTCTAAGCATCACAATACGTGATGAGTCTTCTTCCGATGAAAACACAGCTACCACTCACTGAATGACAGCCATTACAGCACATCAATCACTTGCATTGCAGAATTCATTGTGATTCGGAAAGCCGTGACGCTGATCTAGTCATCTAGAACACTGTACCATCACTCTCAATAATGATCGGGCTCGACTTCGTCTCCGGCCTCTTCTTCGCCGCCACCTCTCTCCCAGATTTCCACGTTCCCGCCTCGAGCAACTGTGCCATGGAAAGTTTTACGCCATCCATTTTGTCAAGCACGATGGCATACAGCTTGTCTACCAGTACAAGCGTCATGGCGCGCCACTCCACGATAACGTCATCGCCAGCTTTGTACATTGGTAGATCGCCACCAGATGCCTTGAGACCTTTGTTGAGCGATTCGGGTTTGAGTGTCAGCACGCCCATATCAACGAAGAGGCCGCCGTTGCGGTATTCTGGTAGCGCGGTGAGTGAATCGGTGCCGGTCCATTGTAGGCCAAGGATGCGTTGGAATGGGACCATGAGGGAGTAGGCCAGCCATTGGGTGAGTTTGTGGAAAGGTTGGATATTGCTACTTTGGCTTGTGCTCGCTGTGCTACTTTGTTTCTCCAAAGTAGTCAGTGGCCACGCATCGCCGATTGATTGACCATTGACGACTGTCCGATCTTTGGGCCACACGGGTATGAGTAGGGTTTGTAGTGTATCCCAGAATTTTGATATTTCGAGTGTCGAACCGTCTTTCGACGTGTTCTTCATGTAGTCTGTCGTTCAGGTGAGCAAGTATGACTGATATCGAACAGGTGTACGGACCAACGACATTTCCCGGTCGACCCTCAGGACCAAAGACCTCAGATTGAGCAAGCAAAGACTTGCCAAGTCCTCTCAGTAGATTTACACGAGACTCTAGGCCTAGTATTGGATTGCTATCGGATACTTGGAATCCTTCGGCGAGTGCAGAGGTTGTCAGCTGCTCCAGACCTTGTCCTAAGATAATTATATCAGCCATTGAACAAGTAGTGACGCCAATACACGCTTACCATCCACGACTGGTACATCCCCATTCTTCTTTGAAGAGAATGCGAGACTTTTGAACATGTAAAGACTGGCAACAGCAATCCCCTCACTGCGTTCATACTCTTTACCCGTCCCCGGCTCCACATATCGCCAATGATCACCCGCACCTGCGTCAAGTAGCACGGAAACAAAGAATAGATCAATCGAGCGACGCGTGATTTCCACATCGTCGCAACCCTCCTTTTTCCATTGCTCTAACAGATCAACAATGCGGGGTACGTTACCGACCTCGAAGTGCTGCCACCGCCCGTGCGGTGGAATGGTGTCAAACTTGTTGGGACCAAAGTCACGCTGTTGAAGTTCATCAGCCTTGCACATCCAATACCATCGAATGAACAAACCTTGATAACCCCGATCACAAAATCCGCAACCTCTCCCAGTCGTTCTTCATGAACATCGAAATGGCTCAACTTCCCCGCCTCTGCCGCTTCACCCACGATCTTCGCTCGGTCCCGCACAGCACCGAGCGAAAGGAGGTATTTGACTTCAGAATCCATAGTCACAAGATTGTACAAGAAGGAAGATGGAGATTGAATGTATGAGATTCTATGAAGCTATGAAGCTATGGGTTAACCAAGTGGGGCAAGAATTCGAGGCACCTGATGCTTCGGTACTCGCCTATCATGATAAGCACCAAATCAGGCTAGCGTCATGTAACGCGTGGCAGCGTGCTACGTGTCTTTCTATCCGCTTCCTCTGCAGATGGTTCTACTCTTCATGATAGATGGCTGCACCTGCCTTCGGCATCGCGGGCTTGAACAGCACACTCCGGCCTGCGACAAGACTCATCGCGAGGTCGACCATGAAGTCGGGTGGGAAGGTCTGGTCTTGCATCGATGCGTTCGTTGTCCATTGAGGCGTAGATGTCGTACCATCAACTTGCGCGCTGGGCATGATCCTTTGGTGCCGCCATAGAGGATGGAGATATGGTCGGCAGACGGTAGATCCGTGCCTTCGTGAGCCTTCGCGAACAGCGCGTCAACGGCGGCGTTCTTCGCGATCTTATCCTGAAGTTCGGTGCCGAGCACGTAAAGTTTAACAAGCAGACTGTACTCGTTGGGTGAGTCGCTGTTGTCAACATCGGGCTTGGTTGGGAGACGACTGAAGTAGATGTGCTGGATGTACAAGGCCAGGGCTTGAGGGTCGGTGGTATCAAGAGTAATGTTCTTAAGGTCAGGATCCTCGCGTAGCATGATCTTGATGTGGACAGAACGGTTCATGACGAGGGACTTGTGGACAGCAAATGTTTTCTGGCCACAGTGTTTCTTATCGGCGGTGATGGCAATGGTGTCGAAGCCTAGGCTGCTATATCGTTAGCCAACTAGCACCGCAATCAGTGCTGAAGATGAGCTTACTCGACTGCCTCATGAGCATAGACGCGGATCGCTGGCACTTTACAACTTGGATTTCTCTGTTCAAACAGTCCACCAAAGGTGTTTGCCGGATGGGTCCGCTCGTGGCTGATGGTGCCAGCGAACAATGGGGTAGGACGCCCGAGTCTGCCGAATATATCCTCTGGGACGTTAGACGGCTGCTCACGGATCTTCTCTTGTGGAGCACCAGGACCTCCGAACAGCTCAACTGAAAGTTTCCCAGTTTTGTCGACCAGTGCAGATGTAGGTGCCGCGAACGCTCCACCGCCAAACGGGCCCGTCATGTTGGCCTTGGAGTGGCGGACTCCTCCAGGTCCAAACGTGGGATACTCGCTCTTCGTTTGACTTACGCCGAGACCAAAGAGAGGCTTGTCGTTGTTTGCGCGGGTTCTAGGTTGATTGGTCTGCTGCGATGGTGCCGACAATGTGCCTCCGAGGACTTTAGGCGCGTTGATTGCGCGCATGGCATCGACACCAAACCAGGAAGGATCTCTGCCGGAAGTGTTAGAAGTTTTGCTCATGTTTGAGACTACTGCTATCGACCAAATTGACACCGCTGTTTTGCAGTGGATGAGGGGAGGTGAGCGCGAAGCAAAGCATGCGGAATGGGATTTCTTTTGCCGCTAGTACTGCGCCTTTTCACTCCTTGGCGCCGGAGACTCGGAGAAGAGAAAATCTGTGAGGGGTAAACAGACTCTATTGTTTCTATCGAACGCTCAGACAGAGCTTATATAGTTTGAGGGAAAACAGCACCGCTGGGAGACGGACAAGTTGATTGGAAACATAGTTGGCATCTCAATATGAGAACCTTGCCTGCACTTTAAAGTGTGACTATTAGATTTTGTGCGTCTCCTACAGCGAGGAAACATAACTTTGGCCTGCTCACACATGCACGCTTCCATGGAAGCCGAGAATTACTGCTACTCTTCAGTCATCTCCATATTGCTAATCGAATTATAATACCGCACTGAAGCCCTCCTCGCAATATGTTTTCCACCGCTATGCGGAACCTTGTGCAGCTAGGTTCTTTCTTGCGTCTTGACTTCCTTGTATGACGATACATCCCCACTCGCGAGAGGATTGTCAGGCTTGGTTCAAGAGCTAGCTCACGAAGGAAATCACTCGGTGACTCCTCTTCGTCTCTCGTCAACCAGGCCGCGTTCGCCTGGTACGTGTATATGTCAACCAGTAGCTTCCGCATTGGTGACCATGGTGCGGTTCCAGCATAGATGAGACTTATGACTCCAAGGTTAGGCCCATAGGTCTTACCATTGTAACGCGAGAGTTGGGAGCTGTGAGCCATAGCCTTTACGACAGCATCCTTAGTATCGGTGTCTTGGATCTTCTCAGCAAACACGTAGAGCTTGGCAAGTTCGATTTTCTCCTCCCTGCCAACGTACTGGTCGGGTACTGGACTCGGCTTGACCGCGAGCGTATTTGTGTATAGGTGGTGAACATAATTCTCGAAGGTTTGCGGATCGTCCTCGGGCAAATTGACGTGACGGGATTTTGCTTCCGTCCAGTTACCGGACAGAGCCTTGAAGAACGCAGATCTTGCCATAATCAGAGACTCGTGTACGTCGAAAGTCTGTTGCTCATCTCCATCGCCTACTGTTACTTTGACAGATCCCCTGTAGCTGTGAATGGTCAATTAGCCAAAACCATCTTGCAATCAGGTGCCGGGATGGGATCTTACCTCGCGACATTTTTCCTGGGCCTGCACATGTCGTTCATGGTAATCTCAGGGGCGACAGAAGTTGGTGATGTGGGCATGTAAACCATTGATTGTATGAAGAAGTCACGGTTTACTCAGTCCGCACGTGCACACACACACACACACGCAAGCCATTTCCTCTTTCACCTGTCGCAAAAGACTAGTTTAAGCACTACTCATTAGCTATATACATTAATCATTACATACGTCTCATCTAACCTCGTCGCTGATCTCTCACCAGTAATCAGATAGCCTCACCCACACCATACACCTCAGCCTCACCTCGATTTCCCTCGTCAACCGACATCGACCGCTCAAACCCAAACGGGTCCCCAAAAGGCTGCGGCATACCAATACTATCCTTCCGCATCTTACGCGCCTCCACGTCCCTCTCCCTCGTCCTCGGCAGCCGGATGGCCGTACGGTTACTACCCCCACTCACATTGCGCGAGTGCGGCGGAGTTTTCGGTGGTGCGTCTTCGCGTTTCCTTGAGAAGCTAAGCTTGCGTGTTTGTGGTACAGGTACTGGCTTTGTTGACGCAAGGCTGAATGATGGTTCTAGCATGGACGTATCAGTAGGTGAAATGGGTGACGAGACTGACGTGGACGACGCCATTGTACCGCCAACACCTACGCGTGAAGTCGCGGGGTTGATTTTCAGAGGTGCGTTCCTGGTGATGGAGCATGGCGTGGGCTGCATGGTGATTGCGGGCGCAACGAAGGCAGGGTTGTGCGGCGAGCCTATGCCGATGACGAAGGGTATACTGGAATTCAATGCTGCGCTGAGTTTGCGCTCTTGAGAAGTGCCAACTGGTTCTGGTGTGATTGCCATAGCTGAGCTGGCAGATCCTGCTCGAGGGCGAAGCGCGGCGTGCGATGATGGTGACGGCGACCTTGCAATACCATCTTGGGTTTCTAGCGCTGTGTGAGGTGGTGCGATACGAACGGTCGACGCGTTCGAGTTCCTTCGTGATAGTGAGGCCTGCGCAGCGGTCGCAGGCAAGGGCGAAATTGGAGCCTCGGTGGGACCGTCTGCCTGAGAGTGAGAGGGACGGAAGATGGCAGTCCGCCTAAACCTTGGAGACTCAAAAAGACTGTTTTGAGGACGAGGCGGTCGATCAGGTGTGACTCTGCCTCTGTTCGACTCGGATAATGATGCAGATCGACTCAATTGTACAGGCAGCCCCGCTGCTGGATATGATGGGACGGTCGATTCGCTCATGCTGCGCTTATGTTTTTGAGGTGTGGCCGCAGCACCAAGGGGGAAACTTGTAAGCAGTTCGCCAAATTTAATTCGAAGGCGCGTTGGCGACTGAAATTAGACATTAGAATATAGTGATGGTTTTGAAAACCATGGGCGCACGTACTGTAGGGTTCATTTGCCCTAGCGATACCCCAAAATCGATTGGATCGGCCCTGCCGGTGTTTCCACGGTCGACCTTCCGCGTCGGTGTTTGGGGCGTCTTTGGAGTTTGCAAATCTCTATGTGAAGGGACTCGCTTGCCAGTAGATTTCACTTCGCTCCCCCCATAGGACGATTTGGAAGCGGACACTGGCTCCGATGGTGGCGGGGTGATCGGGCGACTAATCGGATGTGCCTTGTACGAAGGCCTGGATGTGGCACGCGGATCGGAGCTGGTAAGTTCAGGCGTTGGAGCTGGAGTCGCTGCTGGTCTCAAAGATGAAGTGTCAGAATCAAGATCGCTAGCCCTGCTTGCGAAGCTGCTTAGCTGGGCGGTGACCTTCTTGAGTTTCCTGATGTCACCCTTGTAGCCCCTGATATCGAGCTTATAGTAGATGATCTCTCGAACATAGAAGTCAATCTCTTGACGTAGATCGGCCACTCGTGCCTCAATGGGATCCAAGGTTCGATGTTCTATGGCCATTAGCTTCTCCTTCTTGAGGCGCTCTTGTAACTGCTCGATCCACCGGTCAATGTCTTCTCTTTTGGTGAGCTTACTGAGCTCAGGAAGCGGATTGTCGCTAGTGGCAGCATGTAGCGTCATAGTGGCGTGCCTCCGAATCTGAGCTTGTAGTAGCAGCTTGTGGTACTCCAATTGCCGCTCGAGTGCACGAACTGATCTATCTTTTTCGCTAATTATTGCTTCGCGATCTAGGATGGCAGCTCTCAGTTGTTCTATATGTTCGTCGGTTCGGCGTGTCTTCTTGAGAAGCTGGTTTTGTATTTCCACCTGGAGATTTAAAGCGCGCTGTTCCCGTTCAATCTGATCGTGACTTTGCTGTAGCTCTTCTCTTGATCTTTCCAGATCTTGAACTTCTGCATCCTTCTGTCGAACTTGATCTTGAAGTCTTTCGATATGTGCGACGAATGTTGCAAGGGTTGAAAGCTCCTGGGATTCCTTCTCGGGACTTATTGGTGAACCGGATGAAAATATTGTGCTCGTACTCATGTGCGGACCTTGCGCAGTCTGATCAAGTGTTAGTTTCAGGCATCGGTTGTGAGCACGGATTCCAATGGAGTGCGCGCAAAATTGGAGGGTTGAATAGCTTACCTTGTCTTGCTCGTGGTCGGTTGCTGGCGGTAGATCGAGGCTCGGATGTCGAAAGTCAAAAGGCGACTTTTGTGCTTGAATGATAAACAGCTGCTCCTGGGCGTCCAGTCTCTCCATGTTGGCGATTTCCAGGCGGTCTTCGAGGTGATCAATCGTATTCTGAAGTGCCTGTACGTTCTTCGCGGCCTTGCGTGCCTCCCCTGCCTTCTCTTCCCATTCATCGCGACTTTTGCTCATCTCGTCCAGTGATACTTTAAGGACCCGCTCGCTCGACCTCGACTCGTTTAATTTCGCCATCAAGGACTCGATCTGTTTCTGAAGTGCAACATTGTTTTGTTTGTATTGGTTGAGTTCAGGTAGAAGATTGCGACTTGCGGTCTCGGGGCGTCGTGTAGAGCTTAATTTACGTTTGAGATTTTCCATGTCTGGGCTGTTTGTCACACGATGGGTCGGGCGTTGTTGCTCTTCGTAAGCCGTCTGGAATGACTCGTTCGGACTGGCTGCGCCGATTTCTGCTGCCTGTGGTGCGCTTTCGCTACCGTGTGCTTGCGTCTCGGTGGTGTCAATGAGGAATAGGAGATTGTTGCTCGAGGCTGGTGTCTGTCAGTCCGTGTTTGTGTTGACGGTTACATGCGTACAACGCCAACGTGCAGCACGCATCAAACTAGCGAATGAGCGCCTGCCGTACGACGCTGTGGAGAACCTTCCGTGAAGATAGATAGGCAGTTGTGTTACATACCGTGACGCAAACTGGGTTGTCGCGCTAGTTGTTCTTCCAGCGCTCTTACGTTATTCTTCAAAGACGTCACTTCCGACGAGTGGCTGTCGGTCAGACTCTCAATGTAGGACTCATGTGAAGCTCCCAGATTTGCAGATTGCGTTTGAAATGTTGAAGTGTAATTATGCTGTGTCGCAACAGTGCGTTGCAGCTCTTCTAACTGTTTGCTGCGCGTGGTTGAAGGAGTGGGTGTCGATGCTGGTTCAAGCTGTGTATTATTAGTATCTCTTCCAGGTACACCATGACTTGAAAAGCTGGAACACGAAAAAAGGGCTAGCGATATACATTTTGCCTCATATGAAGTTCGCACAACTCGGACTTCGCAACCCCGCACGGTACAGCGCTGAGACAGCCAAAGCTGCTGAACGGGCAAGGTTGCGCCACCCCATGCTAAGCCGGACAACAGCTAGGAATGGGGTATATTTCCACGGGAAATAGTCCAAGTCATCTAACTCAGGCATGATACGTCTTATCAGAGTGGAAGTTGGAGGGAAAACGAAAAGTTCTGAAACTGTTTCGTTATGCAAAGCATCCCGTTTGACGAATAAACACACAAGATCGTACAAACAAAATAGACTCACCTCCGATCGGCGTCTTTCTTGTTGTTCATTATCCCAAGTTTGTCCCTCCAAGATGAAAGGTGACGGTTGTAACGTTTTGCCAGTGCCGACCCGTGTTCTGGCGAAGGGGTTGGTGCCACGCCCTGATTCTGGGAGCGAAACATCCGTAGATACGGATGAGGCCACAAGCTCGGATCTTGAACGTCGATGGGACGTTGTCTCGCTTACTGACCTGTTGTGTTGTATTCTTAGAGGTTTAGGCTGGGACATCAAGCTTGGACTTAACGCCTTCTCGCTGTGAGCCGATCGCATCTCGCTCCGTGGTGTAAAGCTAGGAACATTCGTGTCATGAAGAGGCTCAGGAAATAGTTTCAGCAACGCGGAAAATTCCTCCGCATCCTCGAAGTCAGACAGAACAGAAAGCGTGCTTCGTCGAATGTTCTGGTAATTAGGGCAACCAATTGAAGTGGTCTCCAGGACTACATCAGATGGAAATCCTTGATTCTCCTGTAGTATAGATCCGGGCAGCTCAGCCGGCAGGTCTGCGATTGTTGGTAATGAAATGGAACGTGGCCGACCAGGGAGAGGTTTATGTACGGAAGCTGGTCTAAGGTCCGTTGCTGAACATGGTGCTGGAGAACGTAGGATGTCATTCAGTGCAGCTTGCAAGGTCGACGCAGCATTGACCATATAGGAAGCAGACAGAGGGCTCAGCAGAAACGGCTTGTTCTCCGTGGTGATAATCTTTAGCTCTGATGGCACCTTTCGCGCAGTCTTTGGGGCAACCTGTGTGGAGAGTCAGCGAATGGTGTTACTCCACAACGCAGCTGCATGCGTCCTGCCGCACAACACCCTGCAGATGCTTTGGACAGCACTCTGCTGTTCGCCTCGAGCTGCGCAACCACGTCAATGCGCCTTGCCAGCGCACTCTGCTCAGAGCGTACCTTTGCCTCTGCGCCATTGTTGACGAGATGCGGGCTGTCGATGGACACTATTCCTCCAGTACGATAGTATTCAGAACCACCAGACTGTCGCTTGGACCATGAGAATATCCTTCTTGAAGTCATTGCGACGTGCGCGCGCCATGAGCGCTTATAGAGATGAGAGGAACTGGGGCATCAGGACGTGACAAGGTTGCAAGGAAGAGTAAGAACGGTAGAGAGGGACTAGCAATCACAGAGGAAGAATCAAGCCGGGACAGTCGGTCAGGGGGCGAGCTGGGGCGATGAGGTCGGCATGCTGGCTGTTTTGCTACGCGGTATCGGGCGTCTATAGTGTTCATAAACTCAGTGGGACAAAACCAACGTTTCGGGTTACAGTCCTGTACAGCCACGCGATGCATTTGGGCCACTGCGCACACATGATGACCGGGGCCAGATGTGCGAATGGAGGAGAGACAAAGATGCAGCTGTGCATAAGCGCCCCGGGGGCCGTAGTGACGATGTACGTTCAGGCTGGGGCGAATGGCGTTGGGTGAGAGGGGTGGTGGCGCCCACGTCTCCGTGATGAGATGTGCAGAGCGCGCCAGGGCCACCTGAAAGTCGCGAAAGCTCTCAGACGCGCTACCAAAACTTTCAAGCCCTAGCATTGTTTTACGAGGCCATATCGCGCAGTTGATTGCTCTGGGCCTGACTCAGCCGACTGCGCCTCACCTGCAATCCACTTCGCTCACTATCGCTTGTAGTCAGCGAAGACAAAAAAAGCCTGGATTGCCATCGCCACGGCCTGCGCCTCGACGCAGCCAAGAGGAAGCGACAATGGCGAGGGAGCTGTCCCCCTTCAGCGCGCGCCGGCTTCTTACGCAGCAGCTGGCGCAGGGGAGTAATGGGCTCCCACAGCGCAAAAAGTCGCGAAGCCGCAGTCGCGAGGGAAGCTCAGGAAATGCACCACCACACAAGGAGCCGCTTCCTGTACCAGAGCACCGCAGTGAGAGGCCGATGAAGAGCTCAAGGCCACGGGATGCATCACGGGAGCGAGGCGTGAAAGAGGCGCCATCCGCGGCAGGCAGAGAGTTGTCGCCAGAACCCTACAAGAAGCCGCGAGGATCGTCAAGAGAGAGGAGGCGCGACAGGTCACGCGACCATACGAGAGACCGCTCCCGCGACAGACGGCGAGACAGAGACGGAGGACGGGACAGGTCGACGGAGCGCAAGAGGAGCCGGTCACGGGATCGTCGACGTGATCGCTCTCGGGACAAGCGACGCGACAGATCCAAGGACAGAGACTCGAAGAGGGACCGCTCCCAAGGACCAAGCACAGTCGGAGAGACCGCTCGCGCTCAGGAGACAGGAAGCGCAGGGACCGATCCAAGGAAGGCCGTCGCTCCCGCTCTCCCCACCGCTCACGCAAGCATCGAACCCGCTCAGCCTCCGCAACCTCCTCCTCCCCACCACCGAAACGTCGTCGCAGAACCCCATCACGCTCTGCCTCTCCCCACCAGCGCACAAAGAAGCCCCTCCCCTCGCAAGAAATATCCTTCCGCGGCCTCGACGACTCAAAACAAGCGCCCTCCAAATACGGCGGTGCACCCCCCGACAAGGAGAAGCCCAACTTCAAGCCCACGGGTGCCCTAGCCAAAGCCGCCAACCGCGTCGAGGGCACCAAAATCTCCCTCAAATACCACGAACCGCCCGAGGCCCGCAAGCCCTCGCCCTCGCAGCCCTGGCGCATCTTCGTCTTCAAGGGCGAAGATGTCGTCGACACCATCGAGATATGGCAGAAGAGCTGCTGGCTGTTGGGCCGCTCCCAGGAGGTTGTGGATTACGTGCTAGAGCACCCGAGCTCGAGTGGCCAGCATGCCGTCATACAGTTCAGATACATCCAAAAGACAGTCGAGGATGAATTTGGTGTCAAGACGAAGAAGGGAAGAGTCAAGCCGTACATCATCGACCTGGAGAGCAGCAACGGCACGGAGCTGAATGGCGAGAGCGTCGAGGCGAGTCGGTACTTTGAGCTCAGGGACAAGGATATTCTGAAGTTTGCGGGCAGTGAGAGGGAGTATGTGGTTATGCTGCCCCCGCCTGACAAGCAGACTTGAATAGGCGGACTGGGAGTAGATAATGTACAAATACAAAGAAATGTCATGCACCTTCTGTTGGTGCTGGCTTACCTCTTTCCAATATTTCCTCCGGGTCTCCCCTGAGAAGTTTTGGTATGCGCAGTAATGCTGTTGGTATAAGTGCGTCCAATTGTATATCGGAATCGTGGTCACATGATCTGGTGAGATGGAGATTGATGTCATACATTAAGGAATACATCTATGAATTACGCATTGTCGTTATGCTACATGAATTCCACAATTTCTCAAGCCTAATACGGCATTAAATGGTCGTACAAGTAAATGGTCCTTCTCCATCGTTCAGTCTGGTCGCTCGGCCGCAGATCATATCTTCGGCGCAGACTTGCCAGTTCCCCAATCTTGATTCCTTACATGAATGAACATCCCCGCCGTACTTGAGTCGTCTTCATGACTTAAAGCATTCTCCAGTTCGTAGGTGGATCCAGCAAGTGAGGGTACTCGGACAGTACTCTCCATGTTACTTGGTGATTTCTCGGCTTTGCTCTTTAGGAGCGTGTATAGCGTTGGGGTGACTGCAACTATGGTGCTAAAGAGAATCTCCATAGACTCGTAGGTTGTTTGGCCGCCCTCCGTGGTGGAAGCGCGTCCTCTGACCATGCGGGCGATGCTGATACCGACAAGGACGAAGCCGATATTGAAGAGAGATAATATCCGAGCTTTCTGCGACAGTGGTATCCGGACGGTATAAATTATGCTGAATGATAATGCCATCAACATGACGTCGGTGAAGATGTTACTCATCTCATATGTGTAGATCCAAAGGGCTGCGATAACGCTGTCCGTATCAGTACGCCTTGTCAAATACATCATAGAACACTAATGCCATACCATTTGTCTGGCAGTCGATAATGTCCCCGCTCGTCTGGCCAAGGATAGATTTCCCACGAAAGTCTGAGGGGAACACAGCTTGTGAACACAGTGACGATCGATGCAACGAAAGTCGTGGCCAGGATTGCCCAGTAAGTGTACAATATTCGTTTCTCAAAGGGGAGTCGCATGATTAGGCTTGCAAGTAGGTCTAGGACTGCTATCTTTGCGCTCCACAGTCTAGCGAAGCCGTCAGAGACTAGATTGCTTTACATCAATGCAGTGCGCTTACATGAATACTAGTAGAGTCCTTGTGAAAAGCACCATCTTGCTTCCAAGCATAACCCTCTCAGCTCCTCCGGGATTGCCCTGAAGATGCAATTTGTAGACGCTCTCAAATTTTTCGCGCTCGACTGGCCTGATGTTAGTATATTTCTTCATTCAACGTTCATAAAACGAGAGCTTACTTCGTGTCGATCCGTACGAAAGCACATAATGATGCGCTACCAACCTGATCAGGATGGAAAACCCCGCGGTAATGCACCAGTAGTCCCCACTTGTGAAAGTTTGCTGCTGCTTTCGCCGCAGAATGAGTCGTGCGATGATGAGCACTAGAGAGAGAAACAGGCAGAGGTAGTGGCTGACCCACGCCGAGAGCTCGTCAACCATTGTGGTTGCCATTGAATTCGTAATGTCCGCAAAAATCGTGGTGCCCGAAAAGGTGGTCGGCTAGATAGAGCTATACCGGAGAGTTGAGAACGTCCGGCCCACCCAGTTTGCGAGAGGTGAAAGGGAACGCGAAACCGCGATACATGCATAGAGAGGTCGCACGCAGTGAGAGAGGGAAAAAAGCTATCGCTTTGGCGTGTCAGAGACACCAGTTGGTGTGGATGTGTGGCTCCTGCTGCCAAACTTTTAGCGCACAGTGTTTGCTCCGTTAGCTCGGGCCAGTGACTGGACAGGCTCCACCGCAATCAATTCTGCCACGTCATGTAGGTCCATTGATTGATATATTCGTGATAGAGAAATAGCGCTTTCTTCTTTCGAACATGCAGGTGACCTTGGAATCGTCGAGGATGAAGCACCACATGACCCTGGGAGCAGTGGACGATAGCAAGAAGTCGGATTTCAGCGTGAAACTACGCAAATACGCAGGCAAGGTCTGGAATATAAGTAGCTTAATGGCCGAACTCAAGTTTCACTCACATGTGACTTGATAAGATGAGTGAGCTCGAGGGAAACCCGCAGAGTTGGAGGCCTGGTATGCATACGTACTCTTGGACTCACCGCCTTGGTAATTAAAAACTATGGGTTTTCAGCGTGGGCTCTCAAGTAAGATTGGTGTTCAGAACTTGATCGGAAACAAATTTCGCACCTTCACTTGGCCTACTAGCGCTAGGACTGAATCTTGATGACAGATACTTGTGAGCTAGGCACCTGAACCCGTATGCCACTAAGTCTGAGCTCTTCTGAAACATATACGATTGTCACCATTGCCTTTTCAAATTTGAGGTGTGCTGTAAATCGCCGTCAGTCTTCGCTTTGTATTGACTGCAAAATTCATACAACGGCTTGTCCAACTTCTTGATGAGAAACGAACAGTACGCGTGTTTACCATAGGGAAGTATTAGAGGTGTCTGAGAAACATTTGAGCGTGTTCATCGGTTTGGACAGGCTTCAGGCATCGGACCTGCCCAGCAGGGTAATGCAGGTGCGCATGCACTCTTGCTGCCGAATCCTTTCTTCATGCTTCTCATGATTGCGCCTGCCCTAAGGCTTCACCAAATAGGCGTTTCAAGCACCTCCATCTCATATCGAGGTTATCCCTCTACATTGTAGTAGACTGATGGGCAGTCAAAGAATCGAGTCAGGCACAGGACGTTGCCGAGAGTCAGCATTGTCGGAACCACCCACAATACCGACTTCCGATACGCGAGAACCAGCGACCCGAATGAATGAGGCACAGGCTTTATGCCCCATATAAATCATTGATGAGAGCGGGGTACGACCTATCGCAGCAAGAGCATTGCATGTCGCACAAGGGAACATTGTGTTACACAACATCACGGTAACCACGAGATAACAGTACAAAGTCGCTGTCTCCCACATGAACATGGAGTCTCAAGTAGATCTGATCTCACACAAGTAGTCCCGTAAAATTATCGAGCCCTTCAAATCGTTCCAATACTACTTTTACCTCCGAGTGCAATCATGGGAATCGATGCCGGCTTCGACATGGTCCCGTGTCTCTCCACAAGCAAAGTTGACAAGCAGAGCTGGGCGAAATTCATAAATTTTGTCAAAGATAATTACAAAGACGACGTCCATGTTGAGATCAAGCCGAATTACATTTTGTTCAAAGTGGGTGAGCACCCGTCGCTCCCTTTCGAAGGCCACAAGCTTCTGCGTTTCAGCTCAGAAGTTTCTGGATCGAGCCAAGCACAGGGTTACATAGATACTGTCGGACGTTTCGCGAGGACTCACTTCGGATCGCGCGTTCAGTACTGGCATGAGGCGTCTGATTCGTATGGCAAGTATGGCTGGGCAGAGGTACATGAGTCAATCAAATCATACGAAAAGGTAAGTCATCTCAATATATTTCTCCGAATCTACTTGGGACAGAATCTAAATTTGTTGTTGCAGGTGGACGAACCGGAAGACAGTGCGATAATTGAAAGCTTGCCCAAAGCAGATATCCCTGTTAGTGATACAGACATGCCAATCTTCGAGGTGAAGGACATTCCAGGCAAGGGTAGAGGTCTTCTCGCTCGTGTCGAAATACCCATGGGGACCCAAATCTTTTGCGAGCAGCCACTTCTCACAGGTCGTCCCCTACATCCCAGAGAGATGGAGACTTATCTTGCCGCAGGCTTGAAGGCACTGCCTAAACAAGAACAACGACTGTTCTTGTCTCTTCAAAACAACTACCCGGGAAAGTTCCCGTTCAGTCATACCTTCAAGACAAACGCGCTGCCGTGTGGTCCAGACTCACCAATCGGTGCAGTCTACCCAACGATATGCTTCATCAACCACAGCTGCATTCCCAACGTACATCACAGCTGGGATACGAAGGCGAAGCACGAAACCATATACGCAATTCGGCCAATCGCAGCTGGAGAAGAGATCACAATCATGTACGACAGTGGAGGTCCATTCGATATGCGTCGCGCATTCTTAAGGGAGTCTTTCAGCTTCGATTGTAACTGCCGTGCATGCTCTTGCCAACCATCCTTGATCAAAGAAAGCGACGTCCGCCGTCGGTCAATCCAGAGCCTGGACGAGGCCATTGGAGATCCATACTGCTTAATGTCAAGACCTGCTGAAAGCCTGAAAAATTGCCAGTCGCTACTCCAAGTCTTGAAAGATGAGTACGAAGGATATGCCGGTGTCCTAAACGCAAGGGTGTATTACGATGCATTCTAGATCTGCGTCGCACATGGTGACCAAGCTAGGGCCAGTGCTTTTGCACAAAAGTCCTATCAAATGCGGGTTATTTGCGAGGGCGAGGACAGTCCGGAAACACAGAGTGTCAAGCACTTGGCGTCGAAGCCTTCAGCTCACTCAATCTCTAATGTCTATTCTCAGAAGTGGAGGACGAACAAAACCATGGTTCCGAAGAACTTGGCGGGTGCTCGCCTTGATGAGTGGCTGTTTTCGCGTGCCAGTTGATGCGTTATGAAAGATTGAACGAGAGCACTCGAATGTATGAGCCAATGTGGCTGTTATAGACGCCAAAAAAAAATAGCAACTGTGAATGACTTACTTTACGTTACCACCAGCAATACTCTCGCAAGTGTCAGGCTCCTTGAAAAGCATGCCCTCACCAGATGCAACAATAATTCGTGCGCGCTGTGCCTTACTGTAATGAGCACCATCTACAAAGCAAGGGCATTTTAGTTCAGCTGTCTAGCTTCAAGGTTGTTTTAGCTCTTCGCAACGTAATAACCCGCTATTGAGTCTATTCAGGATTGCGTATAAGATAGCAGTTGCTCTTTCATAGTAAGGTAGGTCGAGACAGAGCGCGCACGAATTATTGCTACACCTGGTACCCTTGGTGATTGTCCACACTTGCTACTTTCCGTATTCACCATCACAATTGTGACCATCACTCTTAGAATGATGATGTAAAACAATAGCTTCTACCACAGCCAAATCAATTGCTTAAATCAAGAAAACTAGCGATAGTCACTACTGCCTAAAAAGCAACTAAACTAAAGACCCACATCACTATAATAATCTGTTCACACATCCTCGTCCTCGTCCTCATCCTCGTCCTCATTCTCATAGACCACCTTCTTGCTTCTCTTCTTCGGCTTTGTCTTCTTTGGCTCCTTCGTACCCGCAGCCGTCTTAACTGCCGTCTTCGTCGCCATTTCCCTCTTCTTCTCAACCCTTCCCTCAGCCACACTCTTGAACTTATCTTTCTTCTTTTCCTGCGCCTTAGGCTTCGGCGGGGGCTTCGACTTCTTCTTATTCTTCAGGTCATTGGCCATGTGCTTCAACTGAGCGCCGGTCAATTCAGGAGAGAGAGGACTATCAGCCTGTTCTGCTGGCTCGCTTTGCTCTTTTCCCTTGTCTTTGCCTCTAGCTGTGGCTCTGGACTTGCGGGCTTTACTAATGTTTGCTGCCGGGGTAGTGGCGGGGTTGTCTTTGCCCTTGCCCCTGGGTGCTGGAGCCTTCTTGGCTGCAGCCCGTTTCTTAGGTGCGGCTTTTCTGGGCGCAGGGGTGTCTTCATCGACCTTCTGAGCGGATTTCTTGGACAGGGTGTTGAGATTGTAATCGATCCTCTGCTTCGCAGCGCGTCCTGGTCGTTCACGGGCCATGATGCTGGTAGTTGGTGGTGGTGCAAAAAGTGCCTTTATTGTGATTTAGTAACGAGAGGTTTAATTGTACAACAGTTGAGATTAAGATCACGAAGGCAGGAGGTGTGACCTAAATACCCTTGTCTTGAAATGATGTGCCGAACGCGGAAAATTGGATTAGAACAAAGCCACATGAAAGATTCAGCCACGTTACACGATAGTAGACACATGATTGACCTCAATGGCGCTTTGTTGCTGAAGGAGCAAGAATTTATGGTAATCTGCGTTCGCTGTCACTGTGGCAGTAGATGTGTTTGATGTGCATTGCTGAGGTGCGGAGGCGCGCCCCCGAAACAAGTAAATGGGTATTCTGCGTATACTAATAGATGAATGCTCGATAAGAGACGTTGAAAATGATGTACCAGCCCAATGCCCTCGTATGATATACGCCGCTCCAAACCGTGGTCGTAATAGTGATGCCAGGATCGTAAAAGCTGCGATGAATATCGCGCCTCCCAAACAATATGCAACATGCAACGCCAAAACATCATCCTGCAAAAGCGAATCGCTTGAGGCTGAACATCGGTTTGCGAGGAGAGCATTCGCTCTCACCCTCGCTGTCGGGCACGAGTAAGTCTTCGCTGCCTTTCAATGATGAGCGCCTTCTTTTATTTGGTGTCATCATCGGTGGCGGTGAACTGGCGGCAACGACTACCTCAGATTCCATTGCTGTAAAGGCGGCATCACTGATTTCCAGCTCGTCATCCACATGTGATGGTGTACCTGGTAGGGCGGGCTCCTGTATGGCACTCGAACTATGCTCCAGCGGAGACGGCGAGGGCGCCCAGGCTTCCGTATTCCGTCTGCGCACAGGAGACTTTACGATGCGCGGAGTGCGTGGCCAAAGTGGTGGTGGAGGCTTGTATGCGAACTTGGAGCGCAGCTCTTCCATCTGTGAGCCTATCGCAGAGCTGAAGACCGATTCTGGCTCGGGGCTACCCAATGAGCTTGCAGGTGTGAGCGTTGCGGTACTGTCCTGCGACTGATCGGTACTGCCTCTTGAAGACGTTGTTGATTGCGACTCGCTCTTGATGCTCGACTGCACGCTGTCGGAGAAAACCCTCATCTTCTTCTTTGGCTGCGAGGCAGACTCTTCTAGATCCGCTACTTCCAACATAGCCTCGTGAAGCGAATCGTCGGAAAAAGAGATCAAAGTCCTGACCAGTCTTTCTCCGAGTGCTCTTGTGCGGTCGGAGTGACGGACTAGGTTTCCGTGAAAAACTGACTACGAACAACTCCCTCGCCGCCTGTAGCCGACGAGTCTGACGCAAGGTCAGCGCACAGTCTTTGCCTCTTAATTGCATGTGGTGCAGAGCGTCGCCCTCCACTTGGTTCTGAAATGACCCTTCTTGCTGGTTGTGGTGCGGTGCTCGGGAGCGCTGATTCTGATTGCAATCGCGCTAGTGGCGTAGGTACCGCTGCCCAGCCATTGTTGTTGCTTTGTTGCTCAAGCAATGTCTGCTGACTTGGGGATGGTGTGAAAAGGTTCGGATCAAGTTCGGCCAATGGTGTGCGTCTAGCTTTGAAGAAAGAATCGATGGGCTTCGAGCCTTTGGAATCCGGCGTCTGAACAATTGACGAGGTTCTTCGGGCTGGAGCCAGTGGTTTCCCCATAGGCTTCTGCTTGCTAGTAATCGTCATGGGCAGTTTCGTCCGTGGGTACAGATCGCCTCGTGCTACGCCCATTGCGATGTGTGCAGGCACCTCCTCGCCCAAGAAAGGCATATCAGCGATGTCGATACCATCTGCCAGCGGTGTCAGGTGTACCAGCTTCTTCTCAATCGGACAGAATACCCATTGGTACATGAACGTCTTCTCTGCTTGGTCGAAATCTGCCATAAATCCAGCAGGTACCTTGAGCTTTCCGTCAAACTGAGCAGCCTTTACGAGACGCTCGACAGTCTTGTGCTTTCGCAGCATCCGGTGGGCGGTCTTTAGGCCAAGTCCACCTATTCCCGGAAGATAGTCACAGCCGCTGAGGATGGCCATTCTCCGGAAGTCGGCATCTGACCAGCCCACGAAACTGACTTCTCGACAAGCAGTGAAGTGGTTGCGATTTATCTCGACACAGTCGCCGTACTTGTCAAGCTTGGTGATCAAGCATTTGACGCCGAAGACCAGGAGGTCCGAATCCTCCGACAGCACGCCGTCGATGATGCCTTTCCGTTCCAGGTAAGCCATCTCAGAGTCTGCCTCGTAAGGTGCGACAACGTATTGGATGTTGTGGTGTTTGAGTTCCTCGATGAACATGCGCGCCATTTCGGGTGTCACGTCCACCGACTTCTGCAGTTCCAGGTGCGCCTGAGCCGTCTTGCCGACCTTTAGTAGCTCTAGTCCCAGTCTCTTGCCTTCTTTCCTTCTCTCCCTCCTGTCCTTCTCTGTGCCGGCCTTGCTGGGTAGGTTGTCGCCATCGAATATGATGTAGGGCGTGATTCCGAAGTGGATGAGCATGCGGACACGGTTCATGCAGAAGTCGACATATCTGGATCTCGTAAGCCAATGAGGCCGTGGCGGTTGCTCTGGTACATACTTCGTTGTTGGCTTGTCCAGGGCCAGGTCAATGGCACAGGCAGCCGTGCCGCGGTGTAGCCAGCCATAGGCATCCACGCCAATCGTCTTGCCAGAAAACTTCTTGAGGTTGCATGGCTTTTGTATTGATTTCAGCAGTGGTAGAAGCCCTAGAATGACTGTCAGTATTGTCCTAGCAGGTATGGCAGCGTACCAACCGGAGATGCCCATCGTGTCTACTTTTGCCCCTCACGCGTCGCGCGTAAACAAAGGCTTGGGGATGACCGCTATTGTGGCATGCTGCACGCAAGAAAAGTGAGCTACAAGTACAGGAAAGAAAAAGACAAGAAAATCGAATTGCAGCGAAGTCGAGCTCTCACTCTCATCGATCTTCAGTCGCGATTCACGAGGAACGACAGGGACGCGTTACGCTAATTGACCAATATGGTCTAGTGTGACCCTCCTAGCGTCGATCTCAAGGGCCGACTGCCGACGATACTTTACAAAATTTCTGGAGGAGACAGTCGCGACCGACAGCACGAACTTCAATATATCAAAATGGTCAGCAATCGCCTCAGTAAAGTCACCAAGCAGATCAGGAAGAAGAAGGGCAAGAACCCAAATCTACATGAGGGTAGTCGAGACACACAGCGCTTGCAGAGTGCAGCTGCCCGAGACGACAAGCTCAACCGCCTAACTTCATTACGAGAGAAGCAAAATCGGCACTATTGTAAGGTGTACTGATCCGCAGATGTCTGCGCACTTGTTAACAGCATATAGTGCTCAGGATAAAGTCCTTTCAGTCATACACAACAGAACATGAATCACCACTTAGCATATCAGAAATCCAGGCCATGATCGAGGACTATCTGGGCCGAGATGACGAGGAAGTGTTGAAGTTGAAGGCCGAGCGCCGCGCAGGCAGGCCAGCAAATACCCGCCAAACTTTACTTGAGCAGAATCAGGCTACTGAGCAGGGCGAGTACTGCGTCTGGATTCTGGGTACCCGATCTCGAGAACCTGGAGAATCTCAAGAAGCTCAAGGAGTGGAACGGTCAGTGGGCTGGCCTGGCGACTCTCAAGTTCGCGCGCATTTCAAGGGAAGGGGTGAAGAAGGAGAGCAGCTTCCCTCCGAAGGGTCTTTCTTGAGTAGGCCAGCAAAGATTCGATTCGCCTGACCTGGCGGACAGAAGAGCCGAAGGACAAGGCGAGGAGTTTTCAATGTTCACGAAAACTGGCGTTATGATACCCGCGATTAGATTCCAAGTCTCGATATGTTGCAGAAACAACTCCGATACCCAACAGTGTACACCACTTATTCGTTTTATCGAGCCGATCGTCAGGTTGTAATGATGAGAGCATAGAACAGAGACCCGGAAATTTAACTTGTCGATTGATCAACGCGCACAACGACAAATGGCGTCGAAGGAGACAGATGCGCAGGTCCCGGGGAGATATTTCAAGGTTACCATAACATTCAAGACGTCAAATCAAAGCATTCAGACCAATTTGTCCACCCCTTAACCTCCCATCCCTCCTCGCTCAACCTTCACAAACTCAACATGTCCCACATCCATGCCCGTCGACCCCTCCACGACCGGCGCCACCGCCTTCCCATACTCCTCCGATTGACTCCACGCCCCATGCGCCTCTAGACTCGGCCATCCAACGAACGCCGCAACCATCTTCCCCTCCACCCCTTCGCCGAGCGTAGCATGTTCCTGCGGCTCAATGGAAAAGCCACCTGTCATGCCTATGCCCACGTCAGTAAACATACACACACACACACACACACACACACACACACACACACACGCTACGAAGACAATGGAAAACATACCTTCAGTACGCTCTACTATATCACGCACAAACGCACTCCACTGATTCTCCATAAACACATCCTGGTCGAAATCCGCGGGAAAGAATACTCGAGCGCATTCTGTAATCGGTGCGTCGAATGCGTCCAGCCCTTCTTTCTCACCCAGCTTAGCGTGGAATATCGAGGGTGGGCCGGCTAGAAGCGTTCCCACGCGCTGCAGGAAGGATGGGTAGATTGAGGATTCTTCGAAGGCGGTGTGGTGGCTGATGGAAGTCCAGTCTGTGGACGTGTTTGAATTTAGAGGGGTGAGAGAGAGGGCATAGGGAAGACATACGTATCGCCATTATGAGAGTAGTCGGATCTTCGATTTTCAGGCCCCAGTATATGGTCTTGCAGCCATGTTGTTTCGCGATAGTTGTGAGCGTGTCGTTCCATGTTTGCTTATCCTCGCTTGATTTAAGATCGGCGTCTGCGCGGAGTGGGAGGGTAGCGATTTCAAAGACTGCGTCGGACATATTTGCTATGGTATATCGTATGATGAAGACGTCCGTCTGTGTAAGTGAGGTGATGTGGCGGGGCTGAGTACAAGGTTGTCGGAAGACCTCGGGTGCGAACATCATATACACTGCAACGTTTGAAGTCTCTCTCACGTCGCTTTTTACCAAAATGTGCACAAAGATAAGAGGATGTGTCAAGTTTTGATTTACCAGTCCTCCAAAGTGCTTTTCGAACATCTAGATTGACACTACCAATGCAATGCTCCTACGCTTATTCAAACATTATGCCAACGCCTAATCATACACAATCATGATCCAACATTGCACTCTTCAATTCACCTGCGTAATCTTGACACCGCGCTCAAGTAGCGCTTTCTTCAAGCCTGCTGCGACTTGTGTCCTCCGCCTTGCAGTTGCCCTCAGGCTGTCGATGTTCTCATCGACCAGTTCGCCCATGCGAATGAGCTCGTTTCCTGACGTTTTGCTGAGTTCGGTGCTATAGTCGAGACCATAGCCTCCCTTTTTCGCAGTAGGCGTTATGTCGACATCGGGTGTGAGGGCACGGCGATTGAGCTCGCTCAAGCTCATCTTGCTACGGTTCGTAGGAGGCGTAGCGAACGGAGACTCAGCCATGCTGCTACGCATGCTTGCACCGCGTGATCGTCGAGGCGTGCCTAGAATGCGCGAGGAGGATGACGAAGGGCGGCTAGATTCCGAGAGGCCGATCTTGCGCAGTTGAGCCTCGAGGAGAGTGATGTCAGAGTTACGCTTCTCGGCCAGTGCAGTCATCTTGATGATGGTCTTCTTAACAGCATCAACAGTCGGCACACGCACGTCGCTGGTCTTGCCATTCTCTGCACAATACGAAGCGAGACGTGACTTGAGGAACACGGTCCCCTCTTCGGCTTGGCTTACCAGCTTGAGGATTTGTGCATATTGGTTGCGCAGTGACTTCTGCTTCTCTGCCATTTCCTTCGACAAAGGCGCCTTGCGCGATGCTTCAGTCTTCTCCGGGTCTTTGCGATTGATGATCTGACGGCGGACATCGTTGAGGCGTGTCGTCAGCTTCGCCTTATCGTTCAGGAGGCGGGCCAACTGCCTGAGCTTGTCAAGCACATCTTGTACCCGACCGGCGTCCAGTTCTTGGTCCAGCTCGTCTTCTAGCGACTTCAGAGCATCAATCTCGCACAATGCCCATTGGTCGAACCAAGAACCTTCCTCGCCTTCCGCTTCGACATCTTCTAATGTGCGTTGATCGACATTGTGACCAGCCTGAGGCTGCTTGTGGTATTCTGTGAAAGACTTGACAGATCGAGCGTTCCAGCCGAGAGCATCAATCATGCCGTTGATGTCCTTGTACATCATCTCGATCTGAGCAGCATGGCCAGTCTTGCTTGGTGACTTGCTGCCAGTGTAGTTCTGGTAAGCAACAAACTCATCTAAAGTGCGACTTGGCTCAATATCTCGCGCCAGCTGCTCGCGCATGCGTTGATCCTCTTCATCTTCCAGATCGGAAACCTGTGGCTGTGGTGTGGGTGGTTTTGCTTGTTGAATGGATGCACTCAACGACGAGCCCGGGGCAGCAATAGGTTCTCTCCTTGTCCGAAGTGCCGAAGTGGATGCAGATCGCATCGGGCTTGGTGAGCGGAGGCTCTCCTGAGCGCGGTTGGCGGGCGGTGGGAAGAATGGTTTTGCTGCAGTAGTAGGCTTTTGTGCCTGCTGTCCCCACATCGGCGTGACTTGTGCAAGCTTCGACGAGCCGAACAGCGAAGGTTGGGATGACGATGCGTTCTGGCCTGAAGTAGACGGTGCGCCAGATTTGGCAGCCGGTGGTGTGGGTGCCGGAGGAAAGACACGAGGTGACTGGCTGACACTCTCTTGAAAACTCCAATTTCCTGCCTGCGGCTGCGGTCCACGCGAAGCATTCGAGGGAGGATGCTCCTCACCTTCTTCAACTTCTTCAACCTCGTCTCCGTCTTCCTCGTTCTCATCTTCTTCCGAGAAGTCACTGTCATCATCATCGTCGATTGGCGATGCTTCGACTGATGAGGTGGGCGCTTCTACCTTCACGCCAGGACTTCCAGCAAGAGGAGGCAGATCATCATCGGCAGAATTCGATGGCTTTGATGCCAAGAAGTCCGGAGGAAGTGGTGCATCGTCTGTCTTGGAGCTAGTATCGATTGGCGGCGGTGCCTTGGGAGTTGCGCTCTCTTTCGCTGGTGTGGTAGTCGGGAACAGCGACTTCTGTTGTCTCGGGGGCGATGCTGGGGTAGTAGAGAAGTCTTGCGCTGTGTTGTTGCTTGCCTCCTTAGCTGGGGTCGCCGGGGGCTGTGAGTTCTTGTCAACGAGTGCAGTCGAGAAGTCGTTTCCAAACAGTGAACTCGTCGGCCGATCCGGTGGTTTCGGCAAATCGTCCTTCGCAGTGCCATCGCCTTGAAAGGTTGACCCAAGCTTGAACTCTCCAAACAGGCCTCGAGGGGGTTGTGGTGTTGGTGTGGCCTCGTCCCGCTTTCGATCGTCCGCACCACTTGCACCTGAGGATTTTGACTCGAACGACGAGGTATTGAATGAAGACTTGCTCTGAGTTCCGAAGCCGCCTCCCCCGAAGACGGAGCCACCTTGGGCTGGGGTATTAGCCCATGACGGGAGAGATGATCCAGTGCCAGAGCCAAGTGTAATCGTAGACCCGCTAGGCTCGGTCTTCAGACCAGGGAATGCAGACTTCTGCTGCTGTTGCCCAAATGATCCAAATCCGGATTGAGTGCCAGTGTTGCTACCAAAGCTTGAGAAAGACGAAGCTCCAGCAGTCTTACCAAATTTTGCGAAGCCTGTAGCGCCACCGGCAGCAGCTGAGAAGGGATTGGCCTCAGCTTGAGGAGTGGATGCTGTCTGTGCGGCTGCACCCCAAACAGATGCTGGTTTGCCAAAGCCTACAGCTCCGAACCCTGTATTTTTGGGTGCGCCTATGGCCGAGGGTGACCCGAAAGCTGGCGCGGCAGGCTTGGATGCAGCAGCAGTGGAACCAAATGGAGCAGCACCGAATGCAGGTTGTGCTGGCTTAGGAATGAATGGAGGAGTAGACCCCAGGCCCGTAGCACCAAATTGAGGCACGGAAACCGCGGGATTCGCAAACGTAGCTTGCGCCTTCGCGAAAGCCGATGGTGCTGCAGCTGGAGTAGAAGGCTGCCCAAAGCCGGAACTTGGTTGCGAGGTCGGGTCTGCTGGCGCTGCCGTCTTTGCAGCTTGTGGTGTGGAGGACGCCTGTTCACTACCGCTGACGAGACCCGGGTAGCAAGTGCCCTGCTCAATGGACTTGTCCCAAACTATCCACCAAGCCATGAGGATACCCTGATGTGTGAGCACCATGTAAGCGGGAAGGGGATGCGGCGCCTCGTTGATCTCCTCCAGAGTTGGAACAGGCCGCAGGATCTTCTCTGTGGCAGAGAGATCTAGCGCTTCTCCGACGAGAACACTGTCGCCATCTTCACCAAACACGAGGCGGGGTACAGCAGCCTTCCTCGTATCTTCAAAAGTCATGAGAGCCAATTTCCCGGTATGTTGTTGCTCGCCTGCCAAAGGTTTGCTAGTGGTAGTGAACATCTCAATGGCATCCGTGTGCGAGGTAGTCAGGATAAGCATCTCGACGATGTCTGGGTCCCAGTTTTGCAGCCGTGTAGCAGATATGCGGGGAGGGAGTGCTCGGTCTGGGACGTCAGTCGCCATTAGGAGTGGGTCGTAATATAGCGAGTGGAAATCAAAGGCGCTCCAGGCTTTGTTGCACTCGACCAGATGGTACTTGCTGTCCGGAATGTCGGTCTGTGCGGCCGCCTTCGGGCTGTGAATGATGAGGAGCTCTGAGGTTTTGATCCACGTAAGACCTGTCACCTCATAGTTGTCATCCACCTCTGGAGGGCGGGGGATGGTGCCTTTGAGCGTTCCGTCGCTCATGTATATCTCGACGGTGCCGTCTTGCAAGCCTGCTGCCACAGCCCTGCCCTTGGTGCTCCAGGTCACGCAGGCTGTTCCGGAGTCCTTAAGCTGGTTTGTCTTGTCTCGTTCAATGTCCACGAGCCACAGCTTGCCAGTGTCCAGCACTACTGCCATGTAATGGCCCGTGGTCTCATTAGGGTTGGCCGCCAACGTGCGGACAGCAACACCTTCGGTCTGGATCTGGCGCTCCGGCTGCTTGTTCCCCTTCGCGAGTTCCTGCGCATCGAAGACGGCCAATGCGCCCTTGGCCTCAGCGGATATGACCAAGAACTCTCCCCCTGTTGAGAAAACGACATGGCGCAACGGATCGTTCAGCGGGATGCTAACGTCGGCTTCGAAGTCGGCGATGACGTCCCACTCGCCAGCCTTTTTGTTGAAACACTTGCGTATCTTCTCGGTCGTTGTGACGATGAGTTCATCTGGACCGGCCGCGGCGAGCAGACCGGGTTTGGATGCGATGGAGAGGAGGGTTGCGGATGCGGGTGGTATGCGGTCGGTGGGCCATGGGCTTAGGATCTTGAGTTTCTTCGCTCCTTCGGCGCCTTGTGCCAATGCGCGGAAGCCTAGATGCTATACAAACATTAGCTGTGTTGGGGAAAAGGTTTGGCGCATCGGTAGCTACCTCTGTGTTGACCTCCTCAATCTCGCTGCCGGCTTCGATGCTCGGCGCTGCCATGGTCAAGGCAGAAGAGTGTCTGGCGCGTATCAAATTGGTATGGAGGCTCTCCCGCGATGGTGTTGTGGCTCTCAGCGACCGGGCGAGCTCATCGGAGGTAGAGCTGAGCGCGTTTGTGCCAGTGTTGACAGAAAGGGATGTGAGTTGAGCGGTGGGGTGTCCGGGCAAAAGAGACCAGTGTTCTATTATGTATCGGGGAGGTTGACACCTGACGCTCGGCTACCTAGGAGCGACAAGCACGCGACTGTCGTGAAATCGTCGTGGAGCTTTGTTTCGACGCGCCGTCCGAACAATTGCGCCAAGCCGTCCGAGCTCCAGCTCCCCGGGCAGGCAGGCACGACCGCTACGCAACCATTGCCGCGCTCACTCCAAGCACATCACCCGCCTCCACAGCTTGACGACACCCTCTCGCAAGCTTTCCGACGTCTCCAAAGCCCGAGAAATTACCGCCACATACAGACGCACAAGATGGGCGGCTTCGACTTCTCCAACCACAACCGCAATGCGGCCCTCCACGCCCAGGGTGTGCCATTGCCCAAGGCGACAAGCACAGGAACCACCATTGTCGGCTGCCTGTTCGACGGCGGCGTGGTCATTGCAGCAGATACCCGAGCCACGAGCGGTCCTATAGTAGCAGACAAGGCATGTTGCACCTCCACTCCCCGCTGAGCTCGACTCCGCTCTGAGAGACAGCATATCTAACAACTCGACAGAACTGCGAGAAGCTCCACTACATCTCCCCTCACATCTGGTGCGCCGGTGCCGGAACCGCTGCAGACACTGAATTCACAACCGCCATCATCTCCTCGAACCTCGAACTCCATGCCCTCTCCACCGGCCGCAAGCCCCGCGTTGTCACCTGCATGACTATGCTCAAGCAGCACTTGTTCCGCCACCAAGGCCACATTGGCGCATACCTCGTCGTTGCCGGCGTCGACCCTACTGGCGCACATCTCTTCACCGTGCACGCCCACGGCTCCACCGACAAGCTGCCATACGTAACCATGGGTTCCGGATCGCTCGCTGCCATGTCGGTATTCGAGACGCAGTGGCAGTCAAACCTGTCGCGGGACGACGCTATCAAGCTGTGTGCGAACGCGATTGAGGCGGGTATTTGGAACGACTTGGGCTCGGGAAGCAACGTCGATGTGGCCGTCATCACGAATGAGAAGACGACGCTGTTGAGGAACTACCTCACCCCCAACACGAGGCAACCGAAGCAGCGCAACTACAGGTTCCCCAAGGGTACCACCGCGGTGCTGAACGAGAAGATCATCACCAAGGAGGAGATTAGCAAGTATGTCACCGTGTCTGAGCTCAAGGACGAGAATGTCACGGCGACTGCGGAGACGATGGACTTGGACACGTAGAGGCGGCTTAGAGATGCGGTGGAAGAGCATACGGCGTTACGGGCATGAAGACATGTACTATAGCCCGCATTGATGGACCTGCTGGCCTTCGATAGCCGGCTAGATAGAAGCATCATGATCACGATTACGACAAACCATCTGACCTTTGCTTTGGAACATTTCATTACTCGAGTGCCTTTGCATCTAACCGGAACATATCACAGCTTTTACCAGGACGCCTCTACCCGCCTGATCAAACCCAAGCAACCCTTCACAATCTCCCCGTCCGTCTACCGACATCTCTTCTCCACGATACCAGCGCCATGTTCCTCATACTCCTTCCTCGAAATCCACAGCTGATGGAAGCTGCCCAAGCTCGCCAGGATGCTGCCACCAATCCACGCCGCATACTTGCGCTCCACGACGCTTCCCGGGGCGATCAGCTTATTCCTCGTGCTTGGGTAGATGCTATTGATTTCGTAATTCAGCCTATCGTTGAACTTGTACATCAGCGTGCTTCCGCCCGTGACCACAATGTTCGCAAGCAGCAACGGCCGCTGATCGGCGTCGACTTGTTGCACGGCGGCCTGGACGAGGCGCGGGATGGTGTGTTCGTCCTTGGGTTTGGGTGAGGTCTCAGACGTGTATGCCGCAGAAGCATCGAACAGGCCCTCGGCCGCGCGGAAGCGCTCCGACGAAAAGACCTGGTTCCAGCCATCTGGCATCTCGAACGGCCTACCAGGGGCATTGCGTGCAATCTCCTCGTTCGAGCCGTTGCTGAAGCGACCCGGGCCGGGCCAGACCTCGACAACACTCTCCTTGAATTCCGTGAGGACGCGCTCTTCTTCATTGAGGCGGAAGGAGTCCGTGGGTGGGGTCTGATAGGTTTTGTACGTTGCTTGGGCGGGGGCGCCGGCGTCGACGGGGGACTTGGATTTGACCATGTAGTGTGGAGTCAGTGGGACTTCGGGCGTCGATTGCTTGAACATGTGGCGGATCTGCGAGGAGACGAAGTTGCCTGCGAGGGGAGATTTTTGCACGCCTTTGCGCAGGACCATACCGTCGAGGACGGGGGTGACGGAGGTGTGAGAGGCGCCCACGTCGATGATGATGCCCGAGGCCTTTCCTGATGCAAAGGCAGCGAGGACGCCGGTCTTTTGCAGGAAGAAGGCGGGCGCGCCCCAGTCTTCCATTGCGATCTCAATGTACTTTTCCCGTGCTTTTGCGCTGTTCCAGCCTGGTTCTGTTACGAGCAGCGGGCTCTCGTCGAGGGGCTTCTCTTGGTTGTCCAGATTGTCCATTTCCACGTCCATTTGCTCGCCATTGGGGTCGGTGCCGTCGTTGAGCCCGTTCTTTGAGGGGTCCGTTGCTTTTGCGCCCGTGAGCCTGTTGGTGATGGCATATTCCCAGAGCTTCGCGGCCGTGTCCCAGTCCTCCACTATGCCGTCTGAGCCCCAGTAGTTCTTGATGTTGAGGTTGTCGCCGGGGTTGTGTATCGCGTTCTCGCCAAATGCGTACTGCGGGCCTGCATCGGTGTCGCGCTGGCCGTAGAAGGAAGGGCAGACGGATTTGGGCACATCCTCGCCAGCGAAGCCGGCGCGTGTGGCCCAGTAGCCGGGGTCGAGCACGATCGCGGAGACCTCATCTACGTTTATGCGTCAGCTTGCGAGTGGTGTGAAGCTTCGTGGTGGTGTGAATACCTCCGGCGTACTCGCCTGCAGCTGGTGCCGTCGACGAGTTGGGAATGTTCATGCTCATCGCGCACGGCTATCGCAGGGCGCGGGGCTTGCTGAGAGCTTTTTCAGGTATCAGTGAATGAATTGGCACGTCGTGCTGGGGTTGTGAATGGCTGCTGGTGTCGTTGGGGCGGGCGCGGGTGTTCGTGTTAGAGGGAAGCTGTCGCATCGCGGAACTCAAATGTTGTCGCGTAGAGCTTCGACTTCACTCCGCATCAGCCCCCCACGCGACTTTCGCTACTCACCATCACCCGTGCATTGCGCCGTACTGGTTGCCCAAAACATGAACAGATAGCTGGGGATTCAATATGGCTCTTCGATTTTTCCGCCAGCTCTACTCCCTAGACACCCTCGACACTCGCTTCGTCGTACCAGCCACCGCACCCCCGAAGGAAGCTCTGAGAGATGCTGAGCTCGACCCAGCGGGTCCACTGCCAACAGAAAATGGAAATCGCAAGAGTAGGGGTTCGGGAGATAACATCCAACCGGCAAGATGGAATACGCCAGAGTTCTACGTCTACTATGTGACCATATCAGCCTCCATATTCATGATGCTGAAGCTGCCGTATGACTGCTCTAAGAGTAGGTACTCTTCACCCGAAACATGCTCCACTTATACTCATGGGCTCAGAATCACATCATACATACTCGCAGTACTCCCACCTTCTAACTGACGGCTGGATACCTGGTCGGAAGGTGGTAAGTACTCTATTACACCCCTGTTGGTGTGGATACTGACAGTCCAAGGACAACGTCGACCAACAATATGCCGGATTCCGACAGAATATACCAGCTCTCTTTGTCATTGTTCTGCTACATCCTTTACTTCGCAAGGCCTACGATATCTTCTGGAGAGCTGACACCTATACCAAGGTAAGACCATCGACAGGCAATGGAGGTCTTACCATGGGCCTCACTCCTGCCGCTGCTGCAGATGCCCGTTTGAACCAACGTGTTTCTTTTGATGTCATATTTGCTTGTATCTTCCTCAGTGTGTTACATGGCTTCTCGACGTTCAAGATTGTAGCCATTCTTTACGCAAACTACTGCATCGCGACCAAGTTACAAAGACAATATGTCCCTGCCGCCACGTGGATCTTTGCTGTTGGCACTTTGTTTGCAAACGAGTTCAGCAAAGGCTATTCCTATGCCACCATCTTCGGCATGTTCCTGCCAGCCTCTGTGTCTGAGAAAGGCGAGCCAGCTACAAACTTTGGTCACACCCTCGACAGCTACGGTGGCCTCATGTCCCGCTGGGAAGTCCTCTTTAATTTCACCATCCTCCGTCTCGTGAGCTTCAACCTGGACTATTACTGGAGCTTGAACTCTCGAAATAGCAACGCCCTCGAGGTATGACACCCCTCTATCTCATTGTAAGTAAAGCTAATAACCATCCAAGAAGAAACAACTCGACCCCTCGAACCTTTCCGAGCGTGACCGCGTCACCATCTCAGCCAAACCTCAAGACTTCAGCTTCCGCAACTACTTCGCCTATACCATGTACTCGCCGCTCTACCTCGCCGGCCCCATCATAACCTTCAACGACTGGATATCCCAACAGCGCTACCGCCCGCACAGCATCACCCCCAAGCGCACCACCATGTACCTAATCCGCTTCATCGTGGTGCTGCTCACCATGGAAATTATGATCCACTACATGTACATGGTCGCCATCTTCCACGCCAAACCCGACTGGGCGCAATACACGCCCGCGCAGCTCAGCATGCTAGGCTTCCTCAACCTCAAGCACATATGGCTCAAACTACTCATTCCATGGCGCTTCTTCCGCCTCTGGGCGCTACTAGATGGCATCGACCCGCCCGAAAACATGGTACGCTGCATGAGCGACAACTACAGCGTCATGCAGTTCTGGCGCGGCTGGCATCGCAGCTTCAACAAGTGGAGTTTGCGGTACTTATATATTCCGCTGGGTGGCAGCGCGATGCCGGGGATGTGGGGGCGCGTCAGAGGGGTGGGGAATTATCTCGTGGTCTTCACGTTCATTGCGATTTGGCATGATATTCAGCTGAGGTTGTTGATGTGGGGGTGGCTTGTCACGCTCTTCGTCTTGCCGGAGATCATCGCGTCGTGGATCTTTCCGGCGAAGAAGTGGAAGGATAGCCCGGATGCGTATCGCTGGCTGTGCGGCGTTGGCGCGGTGGGCGAGATTCTCATGCTCATGACTGCGAACCTGGTGGGGTTCGCGCTGGGCCTGGATGGACTGGATGGGCTGTTGAAAGGTATTTTCCGAACGTGGGACGGGCAGGTGTTCTTCTGGACGGCATGCTTTGCACTATTCACGGGCGCGCAGTTCATGTTTGAGTGGAGGGAGGCAGAGAAGAGGAGGGGCATCAAGATGAAGTGTTGATTGACGAGTTAGGATTTAGCAGCGTGTATTGATATCGGTTGTCATGATGTAGACTACATATTCACAGAGCTTCTCCGTGAGGCTCTATTTCAAATGTCTACAGCTTGACTCTTCATTATTAATTCTCGTTTGATACAAGACAAGGGCTCGGCTAGAGAAGTGAGGAGGAAAACGCATGGTACTCGCCTACCTACTGCATTCCCAAAAAGCATAATATCTCGCTCATCTTGACCAGCAAAAATCACTCGACGCCTCGATTGAGGTTTTATGGCCAAGACCAAAAAAGAGAAATGGATATCAAAATGGCAAAAAGTGAGGATCGAATCCTCGACGTTTTTGTTCCAAAGATTGAGTAAGTGCAGTGTTGTGCGGGACTCGCGGTCACTTCTGGTAAAAGGCAAGAAATGAGTTCGTACAAATCCTCGCACTGCACAAGAATCTTCGCAAATTATATCGTTTATATACACCCTACTTGTTTTCTCGCCAGCAATGCAGGCCGCAGTTACAGCGTGTGTGCTGCTCCTCAAATTTGCAGCGCTAGCCAGCTGTGGTCCTTGCGTAAAAGCGGAGCGGGATTTGCGAAGTCGTTTCGTGGCGGACAAGGAAAGTGCTGGCCGTGCGCGTTGGCCTGAGCAACGCGGTCGGACCTGTGTACGTCTGAATGTGCCCCAGATGGGAGGCTTGTCGTCGCTCGATCGTACCTCCCCAATCTCCCTCTTTTTTTTTATGCGCGCAAGCCCTCTGTCTCTGTCCGTGGTTTGATGTGTCGAAGGTGAGACGCACACTACCCCGCGATATTGGCGCCGTGAGGTTTGTGGGACACGTGCCCCGCTTTCGCGTTGCGTCTCTTCCGCCGTTGCTGTCCAGCACTTGACCTTCACACATTTGAACCATTTGAACTCCAAGCCCATCAAGAGGTTGGTACACACCAAGTTGTTATACATTCCTAGGAATGGAGCGTTCCCATATGCACTGTCTATTTCAAGCGCGCACTCTGTCATCTTCCTACTCCTTGCAGCATCATACTCGTGCGTTCCCGCACCTTTTATGGGACCGACCTGCAAGGGAAGGCGTCGTGTAATGTTCACGAACGATTTCGTTATATTATGTATACTGGAGGCATGTGTGGCCGTACAAGTTTCTTCATCCTATTGAAGATTCCGCAGCCTTTGTGGCTCATGCTATCCCAAAGGACGCCAAAGAGCATCGAGTCGAAAACTCACTGGCAGAACAAAGTGCGCAGCACAAGATACCAGGACAACGACTGAGCGAATGTTCCACATACTGGGCTAGCATCTGCGATGCTTGGGCAGGTAGTATACAATTTCTGTTCGTTTCCAAGTCATCAGTAATCTTCGAGTACCCAGCCACCATCGATTTTTCAGTCATCACAAACGCCTTTCCAAATTTAGATCTATGGTTCTACGTCTTGAAAAGCTGGTCATAAGGTCGCGCTGTACGTATCATTTCCTGTACATCACATTTGCGCCTTCCACAATATGGCCACGTTCGTACATAATCTTCTTTCCTGTCGAGAAGCAGCCAAAGTTCGACCTCAACTATCAATTTTTTTTCAATTTCGTGATCGCGTCTTGTTCCTGGTAAAGGAATGGCCTGTTCACTGGCGTTGGCGCGTTCGCTTGTCTCTCCCTCTGGACTCAATGACCAATTTCAGTTGTCATCTTGGATCGAATGTCTTTTTCCTTGGCTCTAGATGCTGAGGGTGCGCCTGGTGCATCTTTGGTGTTTCAGTACCTCATCCTCATTTTACCAACGAGTCCGCGTTTCACCCCACACCTGCCTTATCAGGACCGTTTGCACCTCCAAAAACTCGACAACGAAAACACTTTCCCTACCTGCGACTGCCCTTCGGCGTTGACGCCAAGGCGCTAGTTCTCGATCTCCGCGGCAGGCACGAGGACGAAAGTCGTACAGACGCCCTTACATCACACTCACTGTCCACCATCAAACCGTCTCTACCTCTCCTTTGGCAAGAAGCTTCTTAACTCGGCCAGTCCGACACACTCTCTTTCTCATCACTGCAGCGCAGTCTGTCGTTCATTACTCCACTTCCATTCACCTTCGATTCTGCCCCGCCGTCAACAACAGCCACTCAAGTCAACACCGGCGCTCTGAATTAACAACAACATTCCATAACACTCGCTTCATCCTCACCATGAAGTCTGTCGCTTTGGCAGGCGCGCTCTTCATGGGCATCCTCGTGGGCAGCGCCTCCGGCCGACCTCTTGGTAACCACCAGCACTCGCGCAGAGTGTTGTCAGAGCTAACAGTCACAGTAAACAAACGTGCTCTGGTCACCGAGGTCGTCTACGTCACCGAGACTGTCGCCAATGTTGCTGTCTACGTTGACGAGAATGGCACGCCCTACTCGACTTCTACCGAAGTCTTCAGCACGAACTCGTCCAGTGTGGCAGTCGTTACGACTCCTGAAGCTCCTCAGAAGGCGACCGAGTCGACGCCTACACCAGAGCCCATGCCGTCATCGGTCGCACCAGTTCCGCCTGTTACATCGTCGTCTGCGTCGTCGTCGGCTGTGCCAGCGCCGCCTGTTGTATCATCCTCCGCTTCGCCTTCACCCATCTTGACTACCTCAAGTGTTGCACCATCATCAGCCAAGGAGGAAGGCGTTCCGACCTATGCGGCTCCAGAGACTCCAGCGCCGACTTCTAAAGAGGCACAGCCATCTACCACCTCTCCGCCACCAGCGCCTTCTTCTGTGGAGTCCGCTACGCCTCCACCCCCGGCTTCGTCGTCATCTGTGCCTACTGATACCAAGGGCGATGATGGCAGCCTTCCGCTTGGTATCACGTATGATGTATTGACTGGCTCAGGCCAGAACACTGCTTGCAAGAGTAGGGACCAGATCGCCAAGGAGTTGGACCAGATGAAGAGTTTCAAGGCTATCCGGCTTTACGGAAATGATTGCAACAGCGTCCCTCAGATTCTCCAAAGCGCCGTCAAGAACAACCAGAAGCTTGTGGCTAGTATCTGGCGTCCTACAGAAGATCTTAATGGAGTCATCCAGATCTACCAGGACGCTATCAAGCAGTATGCTGGGGGCGACTGGAGCGTCGTCGCATTGTTCTCGGTCGAGAATGAGCGGGTTCAGTCCGGGGCGATGACAGCTTCCGAGGTGGTCGATGCCATCCACCAGGCTCGCGGCCAACTTCGAAGCCTCGGATACAACGGACCTGTAGGCGCAGTCGAGACTGTCCCCGCCATGATTAGTAACCCCGCCATCTGTGAAGCTGCAGATGTCGCCATGGTCAACAGTCACGCATTCTTCGACGGAAATGTTCAGCCCAAGGACGCCGGCTCTTTTGTCAAATCTCAGGTCGCCATGGTCAAGAAAGCTTGCAACAACAAGCGCGTCGTCGTCACAGAGTCTGGCTGGCCTCACCAGGGCGACACAAAACAGAACGCTGTGCCCTCCCAAGAGAACCAGAAGGTTGCTATGGCGTCTATCCGGGAGAACTTCGATCACGACATGATCTTGTTCAACGCATTTGATTCACCCTGGAAGTCCGATGACGCCTCGACTTACAACACCGAGCGCTTCTGGGGTATTATGCAGTAACATGCTGCAAGGATTAAGTCACACTCTCCTATGTTGCGAGATTCAACAGTACACAGACAATCCCGCGTGTCCTCTTCTTCTTCATCATCATCATGCGCACCGGTAGTCAACGTCTGCATAGTGAGCTTAGCATTTCTGGCGCCATCATGAATCATGAAGACATGCATCATGTAGCATAGATATCCGAATCTCAATTGAATGAACAAGTTATGAAACACATCTTGTTATGCGATGTTCTGCTCTTTATATTTTGTTATGGCTCGATACTAACCTGTCGTGAATAACTTTCCTAAAATCCCAAATCGCTCGCCGTCTCCTCGAGCGCCTTGACCAATCCATCTAGCGTACTCGTCCTAGTCCCTCCGTTCACGACAACCCTGAAGAATTTGCCCTTATCACCTGGCGCATAGTCGATCATGAACCCGCGACTAATCAGCCTGTTTGCAATATCCGCCGTCGCCTTGCTATTCCCCTCCGCATCTTCCTCCAACTTCCCCTCCTTTGCATAATAAAAGCACACCTGCAAGCACGGCAACGGCTCCGGACTAATCGTGACAAACCTGCCACTCTCCTTCAACTTGGCCAGCAGATACTCCGCATTCGCATACCCGTTCTCCACCACTCTTTGGAAGTGGCTGGCGCCATAGTACTGCAGCGCCAAGAAGAACTTGAGACTATCCGCCTTGCGCCCACACTGCGGCGTCAAATCCGCCAGGTCGTAGATGTCCCGCGCTTGTGTGCCGGCCTCGTTGTGGAACAGATACCCTGCGGGCAGTGTAAGCGCGCGGTGGAAAGCGTTCATGTCCGCGCCGAGCAGGAAGCTGCACGTCAGCGGGACGCCGAGCATCTTGTGCGGGTTGATGGTGATGCTATCTGCGAGGTGGGCGCCGGCGAGACGCGTGCGTGCGTGCGAGGGCGAGAAGATCACGGGGCCGCCCCAGCTGCCGTCGATGTGGAGCCAGATGTTGTGCGCGCGGCAGATGGTGGATAATTCGGTGAAGGGGTCGAAGGAGCCGTGGACTGTGGTGCCGGCTGTGGCGTTGAGGAAGAAGGGGGTTTCTCCTTTGTCCTTTGATGCGAGCACGAGTTTTTCGAATTCGGACGGGATGATGCTTCCCTGGGAGTCGACAGGGATGGGGATTACGCTGGATGTGCCGAAGCCGTAGAGGTTTGCGGCTTTTTCGACGCTGTAATGGCCGTGCGCGGATGTGAAGATTTTCAGGTTCAGATTGCCGTTGCCGTTGGATTTGGTTTCGGGGTACAGGGTGTTGCGGGCGACGACGATGGCGGTAGCGTTGGAGGCGCTGCCACCGGGTTGGGAGATGCCGCCGGATGTGGAGGAGGGAAGGTTGAAGAGGTTGGCGAGATATTTCGTTGTGTGCTTTTCGATGAGTGTTAGGACGGGGGAGACTTGGTAGACGTGTGCCTGGTTGAGATTGTTAGGTGTTTGGTAGTGTGGAAAGGGGAACACGGGCTTACGTTTGTGTTCAATGTCGCGAGCAAGAGTTCGCTGGCGAGACCGACCTGTTTATAAATCAGTCATTTTGTCTTTCTCACTTATCAATAGATACGCACAGCATTAGTGCTTGCATACAACTTGTCCAAGAAGCCCTGATCCCAAGTGTTCACACTGTACTTGAGAATCGTTTCCACAAGCGTCATCAAGCCCTCTTTGCCACCCGCATCGTTACCAATCTCCAACTCTTTCTGCAAAATACTTTCAAGCTTTTTAGGAGGATGGTGCTCGACTAGTGTGGTTCTCGGACCGCCGCCTTCGACCTTGAGACCATGGCCAGTGTGTTTTGTTTTGGCGTCTTCATCTGCAGCGGCAATGAAGGGGACGATCAAATCTTGGAGTGAAGTGAGCAACTGGGTTTCTTGTCAGTGTTCTGTTGCTTGAATTTCCATCTATTAAAATTTGAATTGCCATGTCGTACAGCAACCCACGACATGACGGTGTATAGGACATGTCCTCGGAATGATCGGAATCGCGTTCCGAACCCGAATCCGAAACTTTTGCACTTACGTCTTTGACTTCGTCTGCGCGATTTAGCGGTGTCTCTGCCTGCGCGGCACCGTTGGTATCGTTAGTTCCAGACATGTTGTGTAGTTTACCAATGCTGCAAAGAGGTTGAAAATGTAAGTTGATTTAGGGTACTGTCGTCAATATGCAGGACAAAGACGACAGAAGACGAACGTGGTAGTGGATCGTCAGCCTTAGCGCCTAGTCTTATACGTATTGAATAAACCCTATTGAGTCATCATAACTTGAAGGATCCACGCATATAAGATCTTAGGCCGGGGCGTCGCTGATGTTCGGCTTGTCGGATCCTGCTATACGAAGAAAATTTTGGATGATCAGAAGGGCCGAGGTGGAAGTTTGAACAGATGGCCCAGGGTAACATGTTGGGACACCTGAGTGGCGCGGAAAAGCCATTGGGCTGGAAAGTACAAAAGTGCTCAAATTTTCGTATAGAATGGTATCTAGAGGTCGAATCAAGAAACTTGCTGTCATGACATTTACCCCCATGCCTAAAGAAAACGCCTTTTGCCATGCCGATTGAAAGAAAACATCTCTAGACGCAATCGATGCTCGCTATTGTGCCACGACACTTGCTTTTTCCTTGCCTTTGCTGCTCTCAGCAACACCAACATGTTTATCTTTTTTCTCCCTTTTCATCTTCTTGTCTGTTTGCGCTTCCCTTTTCTTCGCCTCCACAGCTTTCGCAGCATGTTTTTGCCTAGCAAGTTCGATCGCGCTCATGTGCTTGCCGCCTCTTTGGTTTTGAGCATGGCTCTGACGATGCGGAGGTGTTGTGGAAGACTCGCCGTTGCTCTCGGGGAATGACTGGAAGCCGTCGTTGCCCGCGGTGTATTTCGACTGCTTGACCCAATCGCCCCTCTTCCGCTTGTAGAGATCCATGCGCCAGTTTCTCCATACCGCGCGACCGACGAAGGATTCTCGGAGTGAGTTCTCGTTCTCGGCAAGCTCCTCTGCAATGCGCTCGCGAATGAACGCGAGGCCATGTGTGCCGTGCCAGACAGCATCGATGACGCGGGAGGCTGCTGGATCGAGCGCTAGCTCACCAACGTGACCGTAAAACTGTTGTATCATCTTGCGGCGGAAAATGACCGAGGCATGTTCTGCAGTTAGTGCGGCTTGAAGAGTTCGCGATGCGGTGGGGTCGCGCGCAAGCTGAACTGAAAGTTCTGGGGTAAGTTTCGCGAGTGAATCGAAGATGAGGTCGCCTAGAGGGCCATCGACTGCCATCATCGTTTGCGCAAGTAGCGATCCGTGAACCTTCTCTGGCGAGTGATCCTGCTTGCCGTTTTGCTTCAAGTTCTCCGCTGGGCTCTCACTGACTCTGAGAATGCGCGTCACCTCAAAGCCGTTGGGACCGCTGTAGACTGCCTCCAACTGATCCTTGATGAGTGATATGTCCACGTTGCGGGCGATGCATCGCTCGAGCAAAGTCTTGATGATAGCCGTTCGATTTCGCTCGACGAGATTTGGGATCTGCTCGACAATCTGGCGCATCGCTTCGTCCAGGTCGTCCTTTCCTAACCTTTCCAGGATCTTGCCAGCTACGTAGCCAGCAATTTCGTTGCGTGACAAGCTGCCCATTCTTTCCTTGAAGAATTCCGAGTATATCTGCTTGAACAGCTTGCCGGGCGCACTTTCGATGATAGTTTCCAGTAGTCGGGAGCCAATGGGGTCGTATACGAGGCCGTTGATGAAGGCTGCGCTTTCCGTCCCTTCTGCAATGGGGTCGTCCGGCAGCATCTTGTGAATGATTGAGTTTTCATCCTTTGCCCTCGACTTCCCGAAGTGCGCAAGTTCCAGCTTCAGCAGGAGTTGCAGCGTCGGGTTGCCGAGAGGATGTGTGGCGAGGAGGCGAAGGTTTGCGGTGTCGAGAGTGGAAGCGCTGGCGTTGATCGTCTTCTCCAGAGCTTCCAGAAAAGATTTGGGAACTGGTCTCTTCTCCAAAACCCAATCCTGTCCTCTCTCGGTTCCTGCGATGCCGACCTTTTCTTTCCTCTTGCTTTGCAATACCGACTTGTTCTTGTTCTCTTTCGCGAGTGGCGCGCCAGAGAGGACAACGAGCAGAACTCGCAGGACATGGGAAGCGAAGCGGTCGGTCATTAGGTAGCCAAGGTGCTCCTCTAGCTCGGCCAGGGTGTAAAGAAACAAGCTCTCCATGGAAACGATGATGGCATTAGGATCTGAGGAGGGCGGCGTTTGTAAGGTCTGCGGTTCGGCAAGCTCGAGAGTGACGACGGGGGCGGCATGTATGAAAAGTGCTTCGCAGCAGTGGGAGGCAAACCGGTGCTGCACCAGGTTGAGGAAGCTGCGACTGGTTAGCGCATGCAAGATGGAAGGAGCGATGGGAGCACGTACTGTCCGTTGAACTTCTGGAACAGGTTTTTCAGCTGGTCTGGCGAGGAAAGAAGGATCAGGCGCTCCAGCAGGCGCGAGCACGACTGGCTATTCGCAATCTTCAGCTCTTTCCCGTCGGCTTCCTTGTACACGCTGGCGAGGAATAAGTTGCGCGCCTCTGGATCCTCGAACTGGTTCAGCTCCAGCATCTCGTCGGCGCGCTTGAAGTACTCCTGCTCCTCGTCGTCGAGCATGCCATAGTAGGTGAGCTCGCCGGGTCTGGTAACGTCGACGGGCTCATGGTGGAACGCCTCACCATTTTCGATGGACTCAAGCTCGACGTCGTCTTCCTTCTTCAGGCGCTTCGGAGCGGCGTCGACATGGTCGTGGTCGCGCTTCCGCTTTTTCTGCTCTTCGCGGCGGCCGCGCTTCTTGTGTTCCTTGGGCATGTTGGGTGCAGTGGGACAAAAAGCTGCAGCGGTCTCGGCTAAGTGCCGCCTCAGAGATCTCAGACCAGACCTAGGAGCGAGGGACCTTATTTATAGCGACCGGGCAGGGCAAGGCACCGCGACTGCAGCTAGTCAGGGAGCAGGAGAATCTCAGCAGAGGTGCGACACGGCGGAAAGGTGGATTGTCATGTTTTTCCACTGGACCACGGCGTTGGATGGTACGATTTTGGGGCAAAAACGCCGCCGATGCCCAGATGGTCCCTGCCCGTTAAGGCAGATCGGGTCTTTGGATCGAGCCTGCCACACCCTGCGCAGTTGCAGGGCACCAGGGCACAGGGCACCGCACGCCGGCTAGACGCACGCATGGCCGCCACAAGCCACCCTCGCCTCGCCTACGCTGGCAGCACTGGTCCGCCCGCTAAACCGCCTACCGCCTACTAATACACCCAGACACCGTGGAGCGCAGCCCGCGACCACCACATCATACGATGGACCTGGACGACTCGGCCGACGGCGACCGCGTCGCCGACTACCTCGACGACAAGCTGCAGACGGCCATTGACCTCGACACGGGGAACCTGGACGCGCTGCTGGCCCGCATCACAGAGCAGCAGGTGTTGCTCAAGCAGCAGGTCGATGCCGCACAGAAAGACCTCCACGGCGCAAAGCAGGACGCCCATTCCCACCACGCCACCGTCCAGCAGCAGGCGCACACATTCCGCCAGCGGCAGGCCGACATCGACCGCCGCCTGCTAGCCATCACCGCCAGCGACACCTCGGAGGAGGCTGTCCCGCGCTTTGAGACGTCCCTGGACAAGCTCCACCGCCTCGACGTGGCCAGCAGCTATGTCGAATTGCTGCGCGAGGTGGACGTCCTCAGGTAGGACAGCTCCAGCACACTCGCACCAACCCCTCAGCTGATGCCGCTGCAGCAAACACGCCCAGACGCAGCTCCATACATCGAGCGAGGCCGCCCTGCAGCCGTACAAGCAGCTGCGCTCACTCCACACCCGCCTGGCCACCCTGCAAGACGCTGCCGAGGGCGCCGCGCCGCAGCTGCTCCACCACGTCTACAAGATCACGCAGGCCCTGCGCACCAAGATCCTCGATGCCTTCTCGTCCGACCTCGAGCGCGTCCTCAAGAAAATCCATTGGCCCACGCCCAAAGCAAACATACCCGGGCCGCTGCAGGGGGAATGGGAGAATGCCATTGTGAGGCTGCTGGACCTGCAGATGCCGGAGCTGGAGGGCATGAACTACGCCAGCGGGCCGGGCGACAAGATCAAGCTCCCGCCAGTGCTTTTCCCGCTCGAGGTGCTGGTGCAGCCGTTGGAAATGCGTTTCCGCTACCACTTCGAGGGTGACAGACCCACGAACCGCATTGATAGGCCCGAGTTCTTCCTCTCGCACATTACCACGCTTTTGAACGACTACAGTGGATTCGTGTGCGATCATGTGCAACCTGTGCTCCTCAAGCAGTTCCGCGGATCTGATCTGGCGCTTAACCCCGTCTACATCGACGCCATGTCAGCCTTCATCACCGCTCTGTTACCCATGCTCAGATCCAAGATCCGCTCCCTGCTGCCGAAGGTAGCCGGTCAACCCCAGCTCCTCAGCCATCTCATGCACGAAGTGATGAGTTTCGACAGTACCATTCGGGACAACTGGGGTTATGATGGTGGGTATGGAGTTGACGGCTGGAAAGGGTTGTCCTGGGAATTTCTCGTCCAAGCTGATTGGTTCGGGCGCTGGCTACAGGTCGAAAAAGACTGTCAGTCCCCTCTTTTTACCCGAATATATGGCTTATCGGGACTAATTTGTGCGAACAGTTGCATTGGCGCGATATCAGAGCATTGCAGAAGCTCCCGATTTCGGTGATCTGGACTACGAGAGTGTCGATCCCAAAGCTACCAAACCGACCAAGGGAGCGATCCGCGTCAACGACCTACTTGAGACCATAACAGGTGGGTACGCGTCTTCCGAATCCGAGTACAATTGCTGATCTACAGGGAAGATCGTTACAGGCCCCTGTCATCCTTCAGCCAGAAGCTGACTTTTCTGATCGACATACAAATCGCTATTTTCGACAAGTATCACGAGAAGCTGCTGGGCAATCTGGAAGCATATCTGACCATGACCACCGCATTGGGTCGTGCCATGGGCGGCGTCACTAAAGAGGAACAGGAGAGACTACTGGGGTTGGAAGGATTAGAGCGCCTGTGCAAGACGTATGGAAGTGCAGACTACCTACAAAGGGCAATGCGGGACTGGAGCGACGACGTGGTAGGCTGCCACCGCATTTCACAGCGGCAGATCCCGTGTGACATCGGCTAACCGCTGCAGTTCTTCTTGGACATCTGGGAGGGCCTGCAAGATCGTGCTCGCCAAGACGACAGTATCGGTGGGAAGACTGTAGCCGACGTCGCCGAACGCACGTCAAAATCCGTTGGCGAAGACGGTGAAGGCGGCGCCCTCTTTGACGAAACGGCTTCTTGGTACGCCCGTCTCCGAGACCGCAGCGAGAAAATCATCGTCGACACGCTGAACAGCAATGTACGGCAAGCGTTGCGGCCCTATCATCACATGTACGTGGCCCGAACAGGCAATGCCAGCGTTGAAGCCGAAAATATGCTTACTTTTTCCTCTTCGTAGCAATCCCTGGGCTACAATGAGCGGCTCCGCAGCCTCGGCGCCCGCCAATCTTGCACCCACGGCAGAAATCGACCCACTTCTCACCCATCTGGGTACCACGCTGGGCTTTTTGTCCCGTGCGCTCGCCTCGGCGCCCCTACGCCGCATTACCAGAGCGGTACTCGCCACTGTGTCGAGCACTATTTGGGACAAGGTACTTAGCGTTTACCGTTTTTCGACGGCGGGCGCGGCCCAGATGCATGCTGATCTGGCGTCCATCTGTCGCGTTGTTGACAAGCAAGTGGGCCCAGGTGTCGCCGAAGCAGGCCTCAGACGATGTCTCGAGGGCGCTCAGCTTATCGGGCTGCCTGTCAAAGGTGGCAAAGACCAGGCTGCAAGCGACGACAAGCTTGGTGGCGACGAAGACTGGGACGCCTCCTGGGGTGAAGGCCACGATTCAGCGCCTCCTCCGCAGAAAGAAGATGAGGGTGCCACAACGTCTGGGGGCGTTCACCTCGGCCTTTGGGAGGTGGAGAAGAGACTGTTTGCGGATAATCAGGCGGCGAGGGATGTGTTGGATGAATTGGGCTTGGAGTTGCTGACGGAGAATGAGGCAAGGGCTTTGCTAGGCCGCAGAGTCGAGTTGGCTGGATAGCAACCCGAGACATGATGTTTCAGGATGTTGAACAATGGCGGTGTTTGCGATACATTCGCGATATGCAGACCATTGCATTCGCAATATGCAGTACATTTTGCCTATATGCATGACGCACCTCTTCAGCATGCGTGACACTGCTGTTGTGCAATGGTACAGTTCGTGTGCTCGTGCGGGTGTGTTTCCGCTACGGGCGATGAGGTAGGCACTTGTTTTGCGCCAGATATATTGCTTGCGAAACCAATATTCACTAAACGGTCTGGAGAATCAGGATTCGAAGTAAAAGTGTGTTCATTGCATCATCAATCTCATCGCGTTGCTTCCCTACTACGCCTACTACACACAAAGCACGCTGGTCACATTCTGGTGGGTATCGTAATCATCATCATCGTCGTCGTCGTCGTCATCTTCCTAGTCATACACTTCCATCTCCTATCCATTCCCCTGTTCTTCATTTCACCCCATCCCGCTTATAATACACCTCGGCCCCCGCCTGCGGCTCCAACGGCATAATCGTCCCGTTGATACGCTCAATGTAAGGCCGCGCCTTGTCCCATGTCTGCGCGACGCTGTGCAGGGAGTTTTTGATGCGCGAGCTGCGGCGTGGCGTGGGCTCGGTGTGTGCGTGGGCTCGGGTTGTGTTTGGAGGGCTATTGGTGGGTTAGTATGTAGGTTGGAAGAAGGGAGGGGGTGGGTGAGGGTAGTGGAAGTGTAGGGAAGGCAAGGGGGAGGAGACGTACGATTCCGTTACGCTGTCTACGCGGTCGGAGGATGACATTGTGGGTGGTATAGTTGAAGAATCGACGATTATTGGTGAAGAAAGGTTGTGGTTGAGGATCTGGCGTCATGCTCTTCGCTGCAATCTTCTCGCCCTTGCGCTGGTTGGATTTCGCTTTCTTCTTCTTCTCTCTCTTGACTTCCTTCTTCTCGACGGGTGCTTCGTCTCCAAGAGATACCACGCTGGCCTTGCGTTTCTGCGCTCTTCTTCGTGCCGGGGAGATGCATCGTGCGATTATATAGACGTCGACAAGAGGATTTACTTGAAGAGCTTAGAAGAGTGTGACATGCCCTTTGTTCGCGGATTCACCTCCGTGTTCTAGTGGCGCGCGCGTTGACGGGAGGTCTAGAGTATATGACGAGTACTCGAAGGCTTGGGGTGCTTGGGATCGTGATGATGATGAATGACGATGGGTGAGTAAGCCCTCCTGTCTTACTTCCGTGCTTTCACAACATCAATTCACATTAGTTCTCGAGATACAGGCACTTTCACTCTTCACACTGATCGCCAGGACTTCTCCACTTGGGATAGTTAGTTGTGCATCATCTCTCGTAAACCGGGGAAGCTGGTATGCGGCGAAAACTTGGCTTGCGGGAGCTTGTTCCTTGGCTGGCTTGTGGTGGTTGCACAGTGGAGGGATGATGTCATGGCTGAGACGATGATGATGGAAGTCTGTGCGTTGACGACATGGCGGTTTCGACATCTTGACAACCTGAACAATCGATAAGTCTTGAAATTTGATACGATATACAAGTAACAGTTCCGATTCCGATGTCGACGGTCTAGATGGGAAATTGATGGCGCCATGGGTTTTGAATCTATAGCTTCGCTGAACCTGTGCCTTTTCGAAAGCTAGTCACCGTGGGAATCTTCAAGCTATCACATTCCTTTCGGCTTTCTCTACATCGACCATAGCTTCTCACCGCATTTAATACCTCCCATCAGACCTACCCTCCTACAGGCTAAAATAATTCCACCTAACCAGCTCGTCATTCTCTTTCTTTTCCGCTTCTCTTTCAAACATGTTTCGCGCTTACTGTTGTTGAATACGATCCCACTCTCGCTCTAGAAGATAATTCACAAAATATACCAATTGTCTTCCTACTCGAGACTGATCTGCAAGTCCTGTAAAGCAAAGTCCAACCACTCCCAATCTTTCCCTTGCTCATCACCCGCCCAATAAATTCACCAAGTCTCTCACCCCAGTAGCCACAAACAGTATCCCGAACCCACCATCCTATCAGTAACCCCTCCACTCTCTCTGACCTCATACCCTCCCCTCCCCTCCTCTCGACCCGCTCGCAAGCCCATGAAAAAAGAAGGCCCTTTTCCACCGCGCAAAGGATGACGCACCCGCATCCACCAGTCCCCCCTTCACAACTTTCAGGGTCCAAGTAAAAGCGGGCCCCGTCAGATTAATTGCGGAGAACGGATCTCGCTTCTAAATCTGCCAGATGAAAGCGGTTTTGCAAGGGGAAGGAGGGAGGCCCGAAGAAAGAGCGCGCGGCAGGGATTTTCAGGGTCCATGATATACCTACTGCAATGCGTGGAGAACACCACGGGTAAAAAAGCGGTTACATATTCATCGCTGTGTACAATACATCGAAGCAGCGAATGGGTGATGGGGGAAGGTGAGGAGCTTACACGTGTTTGTGTTGTTCGTGCTGCTGCTGCTGCTCCTCCTTCTCACAGCGCGCTAGGCTGCGAAGAGAAATGCGGGTTGGGTGTGCACATTCCACGTGTGTGTGGCCTCACCACACACCGAGAGGCACAGACACAGTTTGCCTTGTGCAGCGCGAAAATTTTACTTTCTTTGTGCAAAAGGGCTCAGGGGAGATTGGGAGAGTGTGAGGCAAAATCAGTTTCGACTTCTGCTCTTACTCTTTTACTATGGCTTTCCGACCTTGCAAAACATCCAATGCTGAGGTGTTGTGCTGTTTGTACCTTTACTCGATTTGCTATTGCTTGAGCACCTCAATGAGTAAACCTCCATGTCGCATCACATGCAAAAGACGCTCATCGATGAAATGAGTACCGTATACATTTCTATAGTACTACTGAACAGCCAGGATGCCATCACCGAGTACCCTGATCACCTCATCCATCGCCATCGATCACGCCATCAAGCGTTCGGCCTCACCATAAGACACATCGTCACGAACACGCTCGCCCGGCATATCTATGTATACCTTCGCCATTCGACAAGAACAAAGGGTATCTCCAAAACTGGGTATCACGCTCTGAAGCGAGCAACAAAGGCCGTTTGCCGGACCACGTAGGAAGGAGACCGAGAACACCGCCCTAAACGCCAATGCATGACGTGTGGAAAGAGAAAGAAGTCGCTAAACGCAGGACGGACAAAAAAACACAAACTGGATGGGGCATAATACAACGTGGAGAAGGAGAAAGGGAAACGTATGAGGAGCTTAGCCGTACATCTTGATGAGCATGTTCAAGATGTTGCAGAAGTGGCCGTGCAGCTCGGCAAAGAAGTACTCCTGGCCAACGATCTCGATCAGGCTCTTCGCCTTCATCACGTCTCGAGACACGCGGGGGAAGCCATCGGGGTCGACGCGCTTGGCTGAGAGGAACGAAGACACTGGGGTGATGTTGCGCGTAGGTGAGCTGGACACTGAAGAAAAGGTCCGCTCGTGCCGCGGAGACAGAAGAGGAGGTATCGAAGAGACAGACGTCCCCAGCGGAGGTGTGGTTGGAATCGCCGTGACAGGGCGGGAGACCATCTGGGAGGCGGCGCTCTCACGCTCCAGGACACCCTCTGCGAGTCTGATGATGCGGTTGGCAATGTTCTCGAACATCTCGAGGATCTTGACCATGGCCTTTGTGGCTCTGCGGCAGTCCCGGCCGGCCATTGCGATCAGAGCATACGTCCGCTTGGCGCCTCGCGATCGAGGGTCTTTGAGACGGAAGACATTAGGCCAAATGGTGGTGGCCTGCGACCCAGTCACCGAAGACGAGTGGTCCCGACGGCTTGCTCGATGGCAACACCTCAGTTGACAGATGTGCGGATACACGAGCGGCGTAGGAGCGAGTATGTGGTGGGTGAAAGTGGCTGTCTCGTGGAAACATAGTTCAAGGTATGTGTGTGGATGCTTCGCGATGCGAGCATGGGCGAGGGCAGTATGGAGTCGGCGCTCTCGTAAGACTTGGACTGCTCGGTGTCGGACATGTCGGACGAGTCGGTGCTGCCGCCATCGTCGAAGTGGGCAGGGCGGCGCACAGGGAAGTTCTGCGAAGACCGCAGCACCGGACTGCCGTTCCTTCCGCGGCCGTCCTTGGAGGGGCTGCCTGGGGCGCCGTCGGGCAGCTTCTCGCAGTACTTCTTGGGGACTACCATGCGGCAGTTGTCGCAGACATCGGGATCACAGTCGAGGGCGGTGCTCGGTCTCCGCCCGCCGAAGCTGCTGTCGGACGACGGGTAGCTGGGGAAGTAGGGGTTGTGGGAAGGGGAGCGCGGACTGGTGGGCGGCGACTCGAATGGCGAGGTGAGGTGTGGGATCTGGGTGCCCAGTTTGGGCTGGTCATACAGGCCGTTGTAGGAATATGCCGAATGCGGGTCGTCTGAGGGCGGCGTCACGCATGGGTTGCAGGACGCGCATGGCAATGTGGATGCTTGGGTACAGATGATAGACGTCGGACCGTGGATCTCGCAGAAGTGAGCGAGCGAGATCTGCGCGTGGAGCGTTAGCAGCTGTGTCTCGCAGACTGTGTGCGCCCGGCAGTGCGGTAGACGCGCGGGTACCTACCGTGAAGTCCATGGTGGGCTGCTCTCTTCTCTCTACGGCCTCATGATGCTGGCTGTGTGTGAGGGTGGGTCGGGTTCTCGTGGCTCAGCTGACTGTCGGGAGCCCCTGCGTGCTCAGAGGGGAGTAGTTGCCGCGGGCCGCTCGCGTGGTGTGTGGTGCGTATGGAGTGGTGAGTGGTGGATGGTGGGTGGTGAGTGGTGAGGAGGCAGATGCAGTCGCCAGGCACGGGTGGCAGGTCTCAGAAGAGTGGAGTGGTGGCGAGGTCGCGTGGTGGTGATGGAGGGCGGCGAGGGTGGGCAGTGTCTCTCGGATGGGGAACGTGGGAAGCCGTTCGCAGACGCTGGGATGGATCAAAGGATTTAATAGCTTATGCTATGGGTGAATGGCGCGCGCTAGAACAACAGCTTGCAGGTTACAGGTTGCAGTCGCAGTGCCGCGGGATAGAGTGAAGGGACAGCGCCGAGCATCCGGCGGGATTTAGCTTCCCATATGGTCTCGCTGGACGCTGGTACAATTACGGAGTACGGAGGCGTCGAGGATGATGATGGACCGCACTAGCAGGCCGGGGCCGCACGGGCTGCACTCTAGCGGTGTAGAATAACCCACGCCCTCATTGGGCCCGCCGCCCTACTCCACAGTCGCACCGCATGCCTTTACACTTGACATGTGGGAGAAGCCGACATATGCAGACCGTGTGCGACCTGGAGCCTACGAGTTTCCGCGACGACAGCCGCGAGAATGCGGCAATGCGAGAATGCGAGAATGCGAGAATGCGAGAATGCTTCTGGCACGCATCCGCCTGTGTGACAATGGGCGGCAGGCTTCGCACCGCGCACATCGCACCTCGCACTCGCAAGGCACACGACCGCCAGCGACAAACCCATGATCCCAGCAAACCCAGCTTCAAGTGCACTGCGACCTCGCCCGACTTGCACCCAGTCTTTTCAACCTGCAGCCAATGACGCACCCCCGCTGAGCTCCCTTCCAATAATGGCAGTCCCGATCGGGCTGGCCTTCCACTGCCGCAACGAGCGTGCGATCTGCGCTTGGCCGTTGGTATTCTTCCAAGCTTCGCCCATCGCTCGCCCATCGCCCATCTCCATCCATCAATCAATCACAGCCCCGCCAATCCGTTCCTGAATTGCAGCGCATCCTCAACGTCACCCATCACTCTCAGAGGCCAGAAGCAGCAGTGAAGTGCATCGCTTCCCTCCCACATCCGCACGTCACCCGTCATGCTGCCGCATTGTGTTTCGGCTGAACCCACTCTGTCACGCAGTCCTCAAATTCTTCCTCCATGCATCTGCAAGGCCTCGCAAGCCTCGATGCGTGCTCTGCGGAGCAACAATGGAGCCCGGTGGACTTTCTAGCCTCGATTCAAGGATAATCCTTTTGGCGCGCGCTGCGGTGATTACCGCTGAGCCCGCGTCCATTGGCTGCGACCCTCTCCAGCCTCGCTCTCGTTCGGCCAAAGCTCTTTCCAAACACTCCACTTCTTTCCAGAAGGAGTGCACGAGCTTCATCTAAGTGGGCCGCCCAAGCCACGCAAACAACGACACCTGCCTGCTCTGTCACGGGCTCCGGTTTTGACGGCAACCACTGCAGGGTCTGTGGCGCGCAATTTGTTCTTCACCACCATTGCCCGCCTTGTGATCGTCTGCAACCAGGACTCCGGAAGAATGCGCAAATCCTGGAGAAGACCATGCCACCAATCCAAGTCTGGACACGCTTGGCCCCAGAACTGGGACACGTCTTTGGAAGAAGTCATCAAGCCCGAGATCTGAGTAAATGGCTCTTTCAGCGTATAGAGCACTCAAGCTTCTGCTAAGCACAAACGGCAACCGGTCGTATGTACTCCTGAGCTTTGACTACCATAGCCGCCGCAGAGTATGCCGAGAACGTGCTGCTAAACATCGTAGCGTGTTATGCGAGGAGCCGAGTACGTAATGAAGAGCCATGGTGGCATTGAAAGTCAGAAACTAGTCGCAAAAGTCCACTCCAACAGCGCTCAACAACATCCCAGGGTAAAGACCAAGAGGCAAATCTCGTGAGCTGGGGCGCTTGCAGCCTCCCAGCTACGGCCGTTGTCTTGCCGCTAATCAACTACACATGCTGATTTGCCTATACCTCCTCGGAGTTCCCGCCATCTTCGACACTTGATTTTACGTCCGGAAGATGCACGCATGTGAAAGACTCGGCTCAACCGTCACTGATGAGAACTAACTGTGGTGCCGTAGTATGATTATCATTCCATTATATTTCCGTCTATTCATCCTCCAAGTCGCCGCCGTCGGCTGGTCGACCTTGCAATATATCGTAACCCATGATCTCGTTCACGAACTTGTTCGACACCGCAAGCTCCTCATAGCATCTCCTTTCCTGTTCAGTAAACTCCCTACTGCCCCGGCTGCATCATCTGTGCTATCAATGGCCGCCATATTTGGTCGAGCCGCGTTATACCAATTTTGGTACATGGCAGATCATCCAATAATGCGGGGGACACCACTCCAATGTCTCCTCCAGTGCCGTCGCCAGCACTTGCTAGTATGTGGCGACATGGTGTGGAATCTGAAACGCATGGCAGAATAGCGACGACGCTCACCATACGACGGTCTTGCAAGTAACTTTGCAATCTGGCCAATGCCGCCAAGCACAACAAAGAAAGCAACGTCTTCAGGACACGCGGGCTGACTGAGCCATCCTCTCAAAAACTTCTCCACAGGCCCTGTTCGTCTCGGTGGGCGCAACTTGCGCATCAACACTTGAACAATGAAGCAGTACATGTAGAAGTATTGCAATCGCAGCGGCGCGTCAAGTTTCTTCATGATGGCCATCTCTTGCTCGGTAATACTGCCTGTTGTGCAGACGTTGTACCCAATATGCGAGCGTGGCCGGATGCGTCCAAGGTCCCTTTCCAAAAGCAGCCGGCGGTGCTCATCTAGGAAGAAGCCCACGCCGAAGACCAGCGGCATCATGCGCTCGTACACCGATGTCCACAGCTGTCTTTGTCGCGGGCATGTGCTGTCCAACGGGTCGCCGACGAGGTGGTCGGCTAGTTGGCGCGTCAGTCTGATGGACGCAATGTGTCTGCGTCGCATGGCCAGCAGAAAGCCAAAGTCCGCGGCGGTCCGACTAGGCATTGGATACAGACGTAGATGCAAGTCTCCAAGGCGAGACTGCACCCAGTGCCGCACAAGCAACGGCGCGTTACTCGTGATGAGGTCGTTGAGCAGGCGCGATGTCTGTCGCAAAGACAGGATATCCGCGACACACAATTCTCTCAAAATGTGCAAATGCAACTCATTCGGCAGTCGAAACAGGGCTTCCAAGAAAGGGCTATGCAATGTAAATATCCAGCTTGCCTTAATCATCAAAAGATAGACAGATGTAATTCCTTACCTCGCCAACGCCTTGCGCACATTTCCACTCCCATCCCTCCTCCTCACCCCTCCCAACGACTCAATCAACCTCTCTGCAACCTTCCCCAACCCCGTCGTCGATACGCTCGGATTCCGCTTCGATATCCTCTTCCTCGGAGTTGCAGGCGATGCCGCTGCAACCGTCCACCGACGCGTGCGCTCCATTGCTTCCCCGCGGAGTCCCGGCTGTCGTTCAGGTGTCGCGTAACGTCGGAGCGGGAATCATGGCGATCGCAATTAGAAGGAGGGCGAGTATGTGAATTGGGCAGCGGTGCAGGATTGGAGAAGGTGAGATTTTGGAGATGGGGATGGGGGGGACGGCGGGTTTGGTTCCGCTGCACACACTGCTGCGCGATTGGACTGGGGAGGGGGGCGCGCGTGGGTGAAACACGGCGGCTAAGAATAGCGCTGCGTTGTTGTGTGCGCTGGACTGCACTTTAAAATGGATATGTCAAACGGCCTTGCTTCATGTGATGGTATGGTTTGGTATGGTACAGTATAGTATAGTGTTGTATATCATACAGGAAGGAGGCTTTGGAGCAAATGCTCATGCTAACGGCATAATAATCATGCTTCAGATTCGCTGCGCGCATGGGCATGAATGTGCACAGGCTGTCACTTGATCGATCGGCAACATCATCCGTGCGCGGGTCTGTGTTGTCGCGTGGCAAAACTGGGGCGGTCTGGGAAAAGGGTACGTGCGCGCTGCAGGGCGGCATATTGCGACGCTGGGGCTTGATGCGTGCTTTGGAATTTAGAAGAAACACTTGTTCTTTCGTAGATGAGGTATGTAGATTAGGCTTTAAGGCTGCGACGTTTGCTTGCATGTGTGTAGCAGAAGAAGTGAAGATGAAGGGGGGGACTTGTGCGGAGGAAGGAAGCCATCCATGAGGTGCAGTGGATGTAATGTACGCTTTCGAACACAGCAGTGCAGGTTGGGAGAAGTGACTCAGGGTGTCGTTGACAAAGCTCCTAACACTACTTGATCAAACCTCAAGCAAAAAAATGGCGTTTGCACTCCATGCGTACTTCGGGGTTCAGCAAGATATCCAATGTCCCTCTCTCCAGACACCCACCGCTAGAAAAGAAATACCCAGGTATCTCACATATTGTATGATGTTACTGTGCGATTTCAAAATCAGAAATCGTTCTCGGGTATACAATTAGCCGCATTTTCCTCATCTGCGATCCATATTCGCTTTTCCACGCCGTGTCACTCTCTACGGCATCGAAACGAGCTGTTGTGCAACATTCGATGCGTAAGGAATGTGGCGGAAACTGCGGGTGACACGCGGTTTAGATGGCATTTAGCTTCGACGGCCGGGAAGGGCGGAAGATATCTTCGTGCATGCATGATGGGATGTCGTGTTAGATCCAGGTCATTGACGGAAATGGGCCTCCTCGTAGGCATCTGGTACCTAGGTAAGTCGTAACTTTCATAGTTGTTTACCCAAGTCAATGTATGCATCGCGCATGGGGGCAACTTCTTCAGAAGTGAATTCATCCAGGCACGTAGAAATGCTGTAGAGATCTCCGCGGTTCTGATGCGCCGTGGCAATGGGTTGACAGGTTGGCAGCAGGCATGCAAGTGCAAGGGCGGGCTGGGACGACGGAAGCCACAGCATTTGGGCACGAAAGCATGGCGCAAGCGAGGAATGGAACGATTCGACTTTCCGATCTTGCAGATTTGCATGCAAGGTCGGAAGCCTGGATGCGAGCTTTGACGTCTCTCCAAGGGTCTGTGCAAACAGCTGTCTCAATGTTTTCCGGATGCACTATCTTTTTTTGTGACCGGACACATGTGTGTTGTAGTTCAATATTCAGTGTGCATTCATGCAATATCGACTACAATCTTGCCCCTGACTCGTCCTTCCACCATGTACCCCTTGACTTTCTCCCATGCTGCACTGTGCTCTTGCTCATCTAAAATGCCCTTGACAACGTCTTGCACGATGACCTTGAACTTGTCTTCGTCTGTCATTATCGCTACTTGCTCCAGTAGCTCACTTTTCTGGTACAAGATGACATTTGCATATCGCGGTCCAAAGATGTAACCTCGAATATGTCGAAGCACTTGCGATGGATGAGTGAAGTAAGTTGCAGGTCCGCCCATGGCTATGCGAGATGTCTTGTCGCCAACGATTGTAATGTACGCGCCGTACGTGTGTAGAAGTTCAGTCTAGATAGTGTCAGTAACGCATACCATGAGCTCAGCACGAGTTGACTTGCCCAATAATTGAACATGTCCGTCCCACCCACACAATCAATATACAAATCATACTTCTTCCCACCCGGTCGTCCATCCAGCAAAGTCTTCGCGACATCCTGCTTGCCATAATCAATGACTTCATCCGCACCCAGCTCCTTCACAAAATCGGCATTGCGCCCCGAGCAGATGCCAATGACATGGCAATCGTACAACTTCTTCGCAAGCTGCACGCACCAGATCCCCACACCGCCACTAGCACCCGACACGACAACGCGCCTCTTCTCGTTCGGGCTCTGCGACTCCGTGGGCAACCAGTCCAAGCACGCGAACGCAGTGAGAACTACCAGAGGAATCGCAGCGGCTTCCTGATGGCTTAGTGACTTTGGCTTCTTCGCGATAGGCTCGCCAGGCCCGATGCTCAGGTACTGCGTAAATGTGCCTTCTGCTGTAGCTCGATTACACAGGCCATATACTTCATCACCAACATTCCATTTCCCGCTCTTTTGCAGCTCTTCGCCAATGGCGACGACCTCGCCCGAGTAGTCGCGCCCAATTCCTTTCTCTTTCTTGCCTGCAAGCCAGCCGATTACTGGGTTGCCCCAGAGTTGGATGTCGACGGGGTTGATGGCAGCGGCATGGATTTTGACGAGGAGATTATTGGGTCCGCATTCTGGTAATGGAGTATGCGTGAGGTGTGGTGGTGTCGATGGTTGTGTGTAGGTTAGTGAGGTGTTGCTGTCTGGGAGATTTGATGGTGCCATAATAGAAGTCTGCGGCCAATAACGCCTAGGTTTTGTGCCGATATGTACCGCTGTTCACACGCAGAAAGCGTAGTCAATGTCGGACTCTTATCAATTGCTGCTGCTTAGAAATGTTTTGATGGGCCGATGACGTCGAAAGATCGTTGTTTTAGCGCACATCGCGACAGGTGTGGGGTCGGCGGAGCTGTACCCGTATCCGAGGTGTCAAAACCTCGATGCTGGAATGGTATATTCCTGTCAAGACTGCATCAATAATCCGATTAATACTACGCGATGCTATGCCGACTCTGTTTTATGCGTCATTGGTGATCATTCCTAAAGCTTCACCGTGCTTCTATTCCTAACCCGCTCTCCGTACTTGATGAACAGGAAAGGAATGGGGATGAGCAGACACGCGACAATCCCGAGTAGCGTATTGCCCCAACCGTATCCCAGTTTCGCATACATTTGCTGACTACTGAGCGGGATCAGAGCAGCACACAATGACCTTGAGACCGTGCTTGCAGCCATCGCACTCGCTGCGTGTATCGTGAAAACATCCACCAAGTATGTCGTTGCTGGCATGAAGGTCATCAAGAGACTGAATCCGATGATACCTGTGGCTATGATAGGAGCCATAAAATGAGTATGAACTTGTACTGTCCAGCCATATATAAAGAATCCTACTGGCATGAAGAACCCACCGATTGCCATGTTGTAGAGGCGATGTTCTGGCTTGAAGTCGCCCAACGCGATGTGCTTTGCGGCAGTTTTGTTGCCGTAGTAAGTACAAACGAGCTGTCCTATGAGCGAGCCAATGCCGAGACTATAAATTGTTAGTCTCTTCTCTTCGAATCGATCACTTCATCTACACGCACCCAGTGAATGATAATCCTACGACGCCACCTTTCCAGCCATATGTGTTCGTGAAAACAGCAGTGAAGGTCGTGAACAGGATGTACAAGTATGAGTAAGTGATGGCGATATACAAACTGATGAAGAAGCATATTTGCGAGCGGAAGAACATCTTGACGGGACGGACGATGGAGAATCGGAAGAGCTCTGAAGGCGTCAGACCGCTGTGGAGTTTAGAAACTAGTTTGTCGTTTCCAGTCTCAGCACGAAGACGCTTTGCTCTGCGCTCCAGAATGATGGTTCCGGATGTCTCTCTCATCAGGATGAGCGACATGATGAAGGTTGCGCTAGCCTGATGTTTATCAGCAACTTTACTATGAAAGTGTGGCGCTATTCGTACAACTATGGCAACAAACCAAAAGTTCCATCTCCATCCCTTCGCAGTCGTCAAGAAGCCGCCGATAATCTAATATTCAGGTCAGTGCAAGCTTTGTATGCAGTCCACGCCTGGTCGTAACATACAGGTCCGACACAGGGACCAATCGTCGGCCCCATAACCCAGACAGCCATCGCTGTCCCGCGTTGTTCGCGGTGGATTAAGTCGGCAATTGTTCCGCCTCCTAGTACGAGAGGTGCCCCACCAAAAGCTAGGTGTATCGATCAGCAAGGTCAAAAGCAGTGCGGATGATGTACACACAGCCCATGAAGAACCTGAATACTACGAATTGGCTCATGCTTGTTGATACCGCTGCCGCGATGGTGAAGATGATAAAAAGCAAGTTGCAGCTGTGATACATGGGTAACCTGCCGTACATCTCTGATAATGGTGCGACGACTGATTGATGTCAGCGTATGAAGATCTACAATACTGCTTGATGCATACTCAGAGGGCCAAAAGCAAACTATATGAAAGTTAGCATATCGCGCTAGTATTGAAAGTGGTACGGTCTTACACCCAAAACATAGACTGAGAGCATGAACCCTTCCAACATATCGCTCGTAGAGTTGAACTCCCGCATGACCTCTGGAACACCTGGTGCGAACATGGAACTCGCCAGTGGCGTGAGAAAAGTGATCACAGACACTAGTGATATCATGCCCCATTTCTTTGATGCCCTCCAGTTCATTGGGTTCTCTGTGTCGTCGGGCCCGTCAAAATCGACAATGTTCGGGTTGGGGGGCTCTTCTGGATGAGTTGCACTCGTAGTTGATACGGCGTCGGTGCCTTTCTCAAGGTCTTTCTCCAAGGATGCGGAAACATTGTTTTCATCGCTTGTTGGAGTTCGTGGCTGTGATGATATATCACTCTTGGCTTGGTGTATCGACCCAACGTTGGTAGGTATATCCGCATCGTGTCCTTCCATGGCAGCAAGATCAATGATTTCACTTCTCGTTGCTTGATGGTTCGGTGAAGGACCGCCGGCCATGTTGACGACTAAGATATAGGTTCCTATTCAATGTGCATAACGATAACAGCGATTGGAAAGGTATAGATGGAGCTTGGCATATAGCGACGTGGGTCTTAGCTGCACTGAGCCAAGTCGTAAGTAGAAGACTAGAAGGGCGCAATGAAGCTCAGCGTACGAGAAGGGAAGGGAAATATCGATATGCCAAGACGTGCACTTGATCGAAGCAAATATGGGTATTAAAGTGAATTGGGAAATAAGACTTAACGGAAATACTGCAGGATCGGAGTGGATAGTGCCGTATTTTCCGGCTATGTTGCGCGGCATGTATAAAACAAGCGTCGGGCGCACAAAGGGAGAATTAGAAAGCAAATATGAGAAACTCACAATAACACCAGCCCAGCATGAACTCAGCCCAGACGCTTGACAGTGTAAACGAGAGAGTCTTATCACGTCAACTGGGGAAAAGTGGGAGATGTCGATCAAAGCGCGGAGGCGTTTACGATACTAGCCACCTATCTGCACCTTCCTAAGAGCGCGTAGACGCTCCACCCGAGGTTGTTGCCGGTATTCCCGTGCATCTTCCGCCCAGCTCTTGCAGCGGCCAATTCTAAGATAGAAAGATTTACAATTAAAGCGTAGTCCTCATTATTAGTGACTCATTGCACAGTGATTCTGCCATTGCGTGCGATACCGGACGTTTTGCGAGTCTGCAAAGCCAATCAACCCCTCTTCTTCCCCGTGCTTCGTATCCACTCATGTACGACCACCTCGGCCGACCTCTTTGTCGCGCATGCCGAAACATGCATATTATTGGTGTGAGATCAGGCATCGAGTAATTCGCATACACGCCATATAAGACGGGTCGGAACTTGCGCCGTGGCTGACGAAGTTTGTTTAAACCCCAGGTTCCCCATCTTTCTCTTCACGCAGGTAACTTGCGCAATTCATATCATTACTCCGTGCTTGTAACATGGCTGCGGCAACGGATCCGAAATGGCATAATGTCCGTAAAAGTCCACACTGCTTTGTCTCCGATGGCCCATTGCTTCTCCCAAATCTTGACTGACGAAAATTTCCATCCCGCCGCTCTGCTCCGTGCCTTTATTTTCGCTGGATAGCTTGTAGCCTACACCTGCGGATGGGTTGGGCGATGTGCCGGGTGACTGGCTCTTCCGCAATATCTGCAGCCATCGTTCTTCCGCATAGCGCTTGAAGACGTCCTCCAAGTCGAATAGGTCCTGCATGGAAAGACTGTACATTTTGCCGGAACGGTGTTTCCAGAAGAATAATACTGAAAGTTCGATGGTCTCAACTGCCCGCAGCGGCGCAATGATTTCGTCCATGGCTTCCAGCAGATTGTCGGTCATGCGTATTTGATCTAGCAGCTTAACCTCCTTCAAGGCATGATTCGTGATGGTGTAATTCCACTCGACGTAGAATCTAATATGTGTCACGTGCTTCAGCATTGGCAGCTGTAGGATGTGTGGCGAGAAATCGAAGTGACCATTATTCAGCCGTGTATTCCGCAGCTCAGCGTGCAAAGTCAATTTGCTTCGCCGGAAATAATGTTGTAACAGCTCTTCCCGAATCTGCTTGTTGATAAGCAGCAGTCGTGGTTGTAAACGATGTGCTTTTGAAACCGCAGTGTCGTAGCCAAAAATGTCGTGTCGCCATGGTTCACCATTGGTCATGTCCGCTCCCCAGAGACAGGTGTGCAACTCAGGTCGGCGTTGCGTTGTGTCTGGCAGTACATAATCGAAGATTTGCGCCCTTATCTCCTTGGGAAGTGCCAACAGCCTGGAGCTGAAAGTCGAAGGTGTAAGCTCGAGAAGCACTTCGAGTTCTCGAAATAGCTGGCTTTGGCGGTGCAAATACAAGTCGTCGAAACTGCCGTTGGACGCCACTGATAGGTTCTTTCCCCCAGATTTTCGATGCACTTTTGCCATGTCGAGTCAGCGCAAAATCGTCCACAAAGAGGTCGCTTTTGTCAAGTGATTGAGGTGAGCCAGCTGGTATGAAGTGACATTCGCAAGGGTTTAGATAATTAAAAGAGGCTAATGAACATGGGGGTGCAGGGACAACAATATAAAAAGGTTGACAAGACAGTAATCCCGTAGAAAAAGGGAATGTTCGCCATGACAGATTAACGGTGTGCCGAGTCATGTCTGAGCTTCGCTGCAGGGGTGGGTATGCATCTCATGCGAGGCTGCATCGGGCCAAAGTGGGGATGAGATGTCACGTGCAAACGGGCGCAGCGACCGCGTGGGCCCTGCTTTTTAACCGTTGCCGTTTCAGCTTGGCGCTGGAACACCCTCCACCTCGGGCCCTTTTGATGCATTTTCATCTTCAAACACTTCTGGATCAATTCCAGAAAGCCTTTGTTGACCGAATAGCCTATCAGATCGCTCGGAGACGTCTCGTCACATTGACCCAGGGGAGCGGCGCGACACCCGTTCGGCGGAGTCTCATGGTCGACTCCGCCCGCGTGGCAACTGTGTCTGTTCAAATTGTGTCATGTCCATTGTATCATCTGGGCGCGTCGTTGTCGAAACATTGGCAGTCAGCAATTTCTCCACCTATCCTCCAACCACTCATGTAACTTGGGCATTTCCATGCAACGTTCATGTCAGAACATTGAAATAACAGGCTCCACATCCTTTCCATAGTATATCCAAAGTAAGGCGCATTCATAGAGTCCGATTTGCCTTGTAAGAACTCTGGTTGATGCGCCCAACTGTTCTGATCTGTGAAGGCTTGCCAAAGCTCGTTGTATATCGTTTTACTAATCCCTCGGACGCGAGCTGCAGATACCATGAAAGACCCCTTATAATTGATCACAACGTTGTTGCAGTCGCTCGAGTTGTAGATCTTGTTATGGTACTGTGGAAAAAGCCCTTTCTTATCAGACCAGAAGTGGCGGTCTCCACATGTGTCGCAGTCGCAGACATCTGCTCTGCCCAGGTTCAGGAAGCCCGTACGATCGGCGTCGAAATAGTTTCCTAAACGTGAATAGAATTCTCGGTCGAATTTGACGTCGGCTTGAAGGAACATGGTGTGCCTTGCCAGACTATCCCATCGCTTGTTGATGTGGTGAAGGTGCGTTTCGCCTTCTCGTCCAATGTTTGCCAGCTTGACAACTTCATCCGCTCCTGTCCTCATTTTCAAATTCTTAATGTCCGCATCCTCGTCTTTTGTGTAGATTAGGACAGAAGCTTTGCTCGTCTCTGGTGCACTCTTGAGTCCAGCAATAAAACTCCACACGTCTCCGACCGGCTCTTTGTACATGCTGATGACAACCTCCATAGCTACTTCTGGCTTGAGTTCGCGGTCGAGGCTTGCCATTTTTTGGAAGTCTGGCGTGAAGTAATTCGGTGCTACGGCTGAAATACAGAGAGTAAGCACCGCAATAATCTGACAGATCCGCGGAACGTCCGACTTGCGGTCCCTTCTTGAGACGAGAGCCCATGGAGACACTGTAGTATCGTTTAGTGTACTGTGATTCTCGTTGTCGGTTTCTATAGGAAGAGACTGATCCTCCAGGAGCTCATATGTTATGAGGCCGCCCCTCGAATTAGGAGCACTGTCGTGCCAGCGACCAAGCGCAGACTTGCAACCTATGCAAAGGAGTGCCAAAGCGAAGCAGCAATACTGGACCCAGTTTATGTATGAGCGGCGTGCCGAAAGCGCTGAATAACATCCTGTGAGCCCTACAAGAGCAAGGAGAGTGGTTGCGTCCTTGGTTTCACAGGGTATTGTCTCTCTGGTCTTGAATTCGTCGACTGGCTGGCCTTCGCCCATGGGAAATATCATGGAAGTCCCAGTTAGCAAAGCTGTCGTCGTTGCGGTGGTATTGATCGCAAGTGCAATCAGCGGTACACAATCTATTTCTGCCATAGCGAGATCTCTGTCAGACCACAGGAGCAACCAAATGCCTCCAATGATGTATCCAGCGCCTAGTAGATAGAATCTTTGTACCGTTGGACTGGGAACGCCCCTCAGATTGTGTTGTAAAGCAGCACTATTGAGTGCTCTCGCGATGCCGGCGAACATCATTGCAGGTATAGAACTCAACAAGCTGGGCTTTGTCAGGCGGGATTTGGCCATCAAAATGCCAACACACGCCAGGAGTAGTAGAGCAACTCTAGACAATTCGGTGCGCGACCAGGATGCGTATCCAAAGAGGAGAGAAAGGAAGTCCGATGCGAAGAACGCTATGGTCTAAGTCATGTCAGCCCAATACGACTTCGGTTGCACGGAAATACTCACGGTGAGCATGACAAGAGTAGGTAGGTTCTTGCTGTGTAAGATGGCCTGTAGCATACACACCATCGAAAGTGATGCAAAGCACATCGCACCCATGATCATTAGGGGTTCTCAGCGCATGTAGCCGCTCCATGGAAGGGGGTCTTCCGTACGATGATGAGCCTTCCGTCTCCATGGGTATTGAAACAGAATGACAGTGGTTGCCACAATCAGTTGTGCTGGAAACAAAAACAGTGGAAAGTGGTAGTTCGATTCGACTAGGAGATGTCTTGCGCTGAGCAGAGACGTAAGAGCTGACGCTGTCCAGAGCAGTCGAGACTGGCATTGCCACTGCGTATAAAGATTATCGATTGAATCGTGAGATAAATGACTAAACTGCTGCTTAAAATTTGTAGAAGACATGGTTGTGGCGAGGCGTAAGGGTTATGTGATCCCAAGTACGAGCGGAGGTGTGGTAGTAATGAATGCCAGTCGTGACCAACGCACTTGCATATGATCACCCTATGGCGAAAGCTACATCCTGCTCTCTGCTTTCAGTGGCAGTGCATTCTTACCAAGACCAGGGGGCCTTAACGTGGGTATCAAATTCTACTCAGGTCCCCTAGTTAGGGCGCTAACACGGTTTGTGGATCCTTTGAGCGCAAAGAAATGGAGATGAAATGACCGATTTGGATGCAAACCCATTTCAACAGGAGATGATCATTACTCGTGTCCTGTCCTGGCTATGAATGTATCTGGACCGGCGTAGATGAGGCGTATCATGATATTGAACTACCCAAACAAAATGTCTACCTTGCGCACAGCCGGGTGACACGGTCTGTCAGCAATGCAGAAGTGTGCATAATTGATGTATGATCGAACGTCGTGTCGACGCTTTGCCAAGTCGTAGGATTTGCTCTGGGACAGCTTCCAATCTCTGAGTTTGTGCTGGTGCCCAGTATTCACACCTTCGGCGCCCTACGCCGAACGCTTTTGCACCAGAGTTGTCGCGTAACCATATCTCAGAATCCATCCGCCCCTTTCCAGATCGCCACGGGGTATTATCGATGATCTAATTTTCAAACTAGCTCTGTCAGACAACACCACGATCGCAGGTCGCGAATGTGTGGTTTGACTGTGGGGGACAAATGTTCATGTCGGATGGTTTCCAACAGAAGTTGACACGCTCAGGAACATCAGACCTCTAGTCCGCTCACCATGTAGAATAACAAGTAGGCCTCAGCAGCTAGAACTTCTGCCTCGCTTGCAAGTACTACCTTGCTGTCGTCGAACATGAACCAGTCATTACCCTCGCGAGAGTAACTGACGTAATGACCTGAGTCGATCTTGCCTTTGTGCACAATGACCGAGGAGAGCTCATAGGTCAGGCTGTTCACTGGCGTATTGGTATTATAGTTCGTAGGCGGTGCACCTGTCGACTTCAGAGACTTCTTGAGAATCTGTTGGTGTGATGTGGTGTACGGGTTAATGTCCAATCTAATGGGGAAGCGGACACGCGTTTCGATCTTGGATGACGTGGATTTCGTATGTTCGAAACGCTGGAAACGTCAGGAGAAAGCTAATAATCAAGTGACAATACATACCTTCAGATGAACAGCGAGTACTGGTGGCAGTCGTTTGATGCTCAGTTGCTTCGTTGCATTTTGTGGGCTATCGCAGTTTCGGCATGTATATTCTGCCGAACCTAGCTTTTCTTTTGCCGTAAACCTCTCAAGACAATCCCTCAGGTCAAGCGGCACATCATCACCTTTGTCAGCATTCATCTTTCGCTTCTTTGTTTGATTTTTGATGTCGAGACTGAGGTCCATGTAAGGATCCTGCGCGGTTGTAACGTTGCGGCAACTGTCGCATGTGACGGTACTAGAAAGTTTGCCATAGAAAGTTTGATGGACCACGCATTTGCAGTCATCGGAATCGGAATCGGTAGAGCCACCGTTTGCGAGGTGGAGTGTGTTGAGAATGAATTGCATATACTCATGTGCGTCCTGCTGTTGGTAGCCTGCAAGTGCCTGTCTGAATTAGCATCGATGACACATTTTCTGCCCGTCGCAGCTCACCTCGCCAGCCAGCCAGCTTCCCATGAGCATACTGACTGCTCCGAAGCCCTCATTCTTATCCGATGAGTAGAACTCCACAAACATCTCATCAAGGGCACAGCTCACACATGCCTCCCTTTCACAATCGGCTTGCTTGTGCCCTTCTGAGAGGTAGAAGTTTCGTATGAAGGGGTTGTGCACCAGTGTCTGCAGTATCACGCTCATAAAGCATGTTTGACCCATGTTGTAAAGTCCTCGTAGACCAATCGCTCGGCAGGGAAGGAACGTGGAGTTGTTGACGATCAGCTTCACGTCGTCGGCGGTCGTCGTATCGTCGAATTTGCGCTTCTTGCCTGATTATTGGGTTAGCTTACGGTTATACTCCTTACATGCGGGTATGTACCGACCTTTCTGTAGCCTCCTGATTTCGAGTTCTGGGTCATATATGAAGTCCTGGCAGTTGCCACAATACACGTTGCCCTCTCGTGATTCAACCGCTACACACGGTCAGCACTTCACTCTCCGTGCGGTATGCCAAACTCACAAAAACAGTGAGCCTTCGTCTCGAAGTGGTGGTCTCGATCGGTCTCCGTCATGATGCTGGGACATTGCAAGCACAGGTACAGGGGCCGCAGCGCAACGACAGGTTTGCTTTCAGAGGAGGAATTATGTGTTTGCGCTATTATACTCGGCTTCTCGTGTATGTTGCGTAGGATGGCTTGGTAGGCGATGAGTGTCTGCTTGCGCGCATTCTCGAACATCTCGCCCATGTGCTCTGTCCAAGTTAGATATGGGCTTCCGCACAACTAGAGGTACGCACCGCAGCCATAGGCGATATGCGCCATCTGGCTACTGGGGACGATGTTGCCTTTGGCATTCTTGACGACCTTTGGCGACGCCAGTGACGCCGCCTTGGGAGCGACTGCGATGGAGTCCATGGTGTCGCTCGCGCTTGGGCCTCTACTGCATGACGTGTCTGGTCGCAGTCAAACGTCGGCGTCGTCCCAGCAAGCTCGCCTCGAAGAATGTCAGGCACGCTCGCGTTGCGCGATCGAGATACCTAGTAGAGTTATTCTGGGGTTGTTCGGACCTGCATGAAGCCAATGATGGTGTTGGGAGAAGCTGCACCACTAGGCGGATCACCGGCCCCACATGGGACGGGCTGGTCCCGAGATTTAGGGCCGGTTGCCACGTTGCCAAGCCATCACGTGATTGGGTCTCTATCCCGCACCCACATGAATGATACTCTGCACCCGCATAAGACTTACTCTGGCCAACCAGCTTCTGTTAATCAGTGAGGAATCTTCGTATCTCTCTTGTACTTAAGTCACAGAGGAAATTTTGGACAAACAAAGCTGGAAATGCGCGAACTACCTTTTGCTGCGAATAATCAATTCACCTTAGAATAGTAAGACAATACATTTTGATAAAGTGGCTCTCAGAAGGAATAGGGAAATTTGAGTTGTGTAGGTGCAGATTGGTAATTGTTGGGGTGCGGAGTAAACGGCGCCCCGCGTGAAGACTTTTCCATCCGAGGTGGAGTGAACCATCATTTCTCCACCAACGGTTCTGCCCTCGTTGTACAACTATACTTGTGATGAGCGTACTCATTTGACGGTTTTGATGTGTCGCTGCTTTGACACAGCTCAATATATTATACCTAAATTGCTAAACCTCCATCAATCAACAAGGCGTGGTGGCAGAGTGGTTAATGCGTATGACTCGAACGATCAAGACGCTTGTAATCATATTCCTTCGGGTTAGTCCCTGCCTCAACGAAGTCATTAGTTCTTCACTAATTTTCAACAGGAGCGCAGGTTCGAATCCTGCCTACGTCGTTTCTTTTTGGCAATCTGATCTGATCAATTTGGAGTTTTTGGTTCCAGGAGGAGGTGTTGTTCCAGGCATCGTATGCCACCAGGAACTCACTAGCACTATGGGAATAGACTTATTTCTATCTTTTTGATCTCTTCAGCATTGTTTCTTTGGCCAAGCGAAAGGTTGGCTCTGCCCAATTCCTATTGCGCGTGATGCCTGGTTGCTGTGAGATGGCCTTGGGTGTATTCGCGTCACTAATAAAACCGCCCCACCTTCATCTCACATTCTCAATGTGCTGCGGATAAGCATATCACAAAGCAATACCTCCGGTCAATTTGAACATTTACCGCAATGCTTCGTCGGAGTGACTTATCACATCGCAAAGGCCTATGAACTGTAATCACGTGACGACACTATTGCGCATACCGCAGTGCAATGGGATTAATACCGAGTTTTTTTTTTTGGCGAAACAAACTTCAGTATGACGATGGAAAGCGATTGCAGTCATTTGACGGCCTGAAGCAAGACGCAGCATCGCTGGGGTTCTCTTGCAACACCGAGACCCTGCGTAGAGCTTCAGGCCATGACATGACCTGCTACCTCTTGCATCGAATTCGCTTTCTTTGTAGTTGGCTGAGTGTAGGAGATGTATGTCAGGTTATGGTGTTCTAGTTCGTGTCTCGGTTGTGATCTGCATATCCCAGGTTTGCTAGACGGTTAGAAGTCTACCAGCGTCTCTTTCTAAAATTTGCACTTGCTCCACAACACGTTGTTACTTACGAGAGAAAGTAATCAGGTTGCCTAAAGCTATAAATGCTATCATTAAAGTTCGATTGCGACGGCAGCACCCTGTGTATATATATAGCTTCGGGCTGTTAGATACGACGCAGGCGAGCCTCTGCATGCTCGCCTGCAGTAAAAGTACATCTTCTTAGCATACTACAAAGTCGCTATGGCGAATGATAGACAAAAGGCTCTGCGGTGCAAGCTAGACAGACGAGAAGAGCAAAGGCTATCAAAGAAAGAGAAGGCGCACAGTGAAAGCTTGGGCACAGGCTAAGAGAACAATGCCTTTGACGACGATGTCGTAGAGACTTCGAGCGCAGTGTACGCACCCGCACAGCGCCGCTACCAATCTACATTAGCAGTCTTAGACGACGTTGAGCAAGCTGTAGGTTCAGCGAAGGTCTATAGACAGTGCTCTCCCTGCGGACTCGGACAGCTAGCGCGTGCCGGGCGAGCTTCGCGACATGATCTACCACTAACCGCTTCGCTGAGCATGGCGACCTGACTCTGGTCCACGGCAAAGAGCGGGTCACGATTAGAAATACTTTCGCCTAGTATCAGACATCCTCCGTCGCACTCGGTATGCCAAATAACATCCTAGTCTCCTACCACATCTTCGACGAGTTCTGCCCACTATTGACTGGAGAACACACTTGGTTAGAACGTGATGACTTGTACTAAAAGCTGATCTGTTTAAAACATAAGATTGCAATATGATAGTAAATTAGAAGTTGTCTAGGCAAGAAAAGGGCTACAATAAGTTAAGTGGCAAAGTATGATATATACCTTACATATAACATGCTAAAGTTAGTAAAGTGATGTAGAAACATTTGAAGATGAAAAAAATTGCGAAACTATACGCATTTGCGAGAGCTAGCTATGTTATTGCTATAAATTGTGCATCGAGTAGAATCTAAGTGCGCTTAATTCCTTGAAGTACGCATGCTCACTGCGCAGTCTAACCATTGCTTTCAAGACCCAGAGGCAGTGCTGCGTCTTTTCGCATCCTCAGGCTTAGCTTTCAGCTTAGCCTTTGTAACTCGGTGCTTCTCGTTGAGCTTCTTGCGGTCGACCTCTCTCTGCGAATGGCTTCGGCTTTTGCTTCGCGGCTGTCTTGTCGCGGGATCGTTGCGTGCTCGCCTGAAAAGCCTCCGCCATCTTCGTGTAGCTGAGTAAATCAGGATCGTGTTCCGCCTGGATCTCAGAACTGTTCCATCACCGGGCAGCAAGCTTCTGCTTGATGTTGTACTTTTTGCGGAACGCATTAATCTTTGCGCGGTGAGGCTTCAGTGGTTCAGCCTTCTTGAGAAACCCGTCAAGCGAATCAGTGTTCAGGCTAGGACGAGACTGTTGCTTGACTAAGTTGTTCTTGTGATCATCCACGAAGTCTTGAAAGCCTTGGAGTGTGATGATGGTGCCAGTTGAGAGTTGGAAGAAGTACAACGTACTACTGAGGAAGGATGGCATCGTTGGCGCTTTTCCGAACGCCATGAAAGCAACGAAGTAAACAAGTCGTTCTTGAAACGCAAAGTGGCATTGGATTCTCTGTCAGTGGTATATCGGCCGTACAAGAATCCTTCCGGGTGGAAGGTACTGACTGCAAGGCGCCTGATGTCGATCCTATTCACGTCGTACTCTGTCCAAGCTGCTGACAGCTTCTTCTCATAGCGCTCTGTGCCTACGATATAGACCTTGTTGTAGTTGGCGCCTTTCTTCTTCAAGTACCTCTCTTAGAGCTCACGCGCTATGTGGCCACTCACGGTCACCGAGTGGGCCTTCGATTCATCCAGCAGCGTAGCCGAGTACTCATCCGAGTGCTCTTACAACGTATTTGGCAGTGGTCGATGCGTCGGGGAAAGATGTCGATATGCAAAATGCCAGGGCCGACGAGGACCTTGTGTAGGCTAAGCTTAGTATCTAGCAAATACATACACATGTTGGTCATGTCGTCGACAGTGGCCCAATCAATGTGCATCGTACTCGTCTTATCCTTTGTAGGATACGAGACGAAGGCGACAATGGGACTACTGATGTCTTCGATCGGTTTGACTAAATGCTCCGGCGGCATTGTAAGACCCTGTAGGAGCGGCCCAGGCTGAAGCTCTGTCTCTGCAGCGGCATGCTGCCCCTGAAGCTTGCCCATCCATGATACTGCGGAAGCCCATGTTGCATAACCTGGATGTGGACGGTCGGGGATTTTGTGGGACCGGGCTTTGTCAGCCACTGTCCTCACCTTTGCTGTGAACGCCTGTAGATCCAGACGCGTGGATGAAAGCCTTGAGACGATTGTTACAACTTACTTGTTGACTTCATCGGCCATGGTGCAGATGCAGAAGAGCTCCTTGTCACTCAGGCTGCGGAGGACGCTTGGATTGTAAGAGGCGCACGCTGGTTCGTCGTTGTCGAGGGGCCACTGAAGGTTTTGTTCCAGTGTTGCGCTCCCATCAACCTCGTCGCTGGTTTCATTCTTGCTGGTAGTGTCTTCGGTACTGTGTGGCGCAACGTTTCGTATCTGTTCTTGCGCACTACAGCGAATAGTATATCGGGGCGATAGCTAAAGCTGTCTGTCCTCAAGGTCTTTTAGGGGGCTTTTTCACTGTCCAATACGCCTTTGACGCTATCCAGGCCGTTACATAACTTACTAGATAGTCTATGAGGAGGTCACAAGTTTGAGCAGAGCGGGCACAAATTGTTGGAGTGCCTAGTACTTGTTGCATTGGTAGTAGAAATTGCTCATGAATATGATACTGGCATAACGCTGGGTAGTGATGTGAATAACTTTGGCCTCTCCCCGCAGCTGAATTCGCCGCCGACTTTGTCTTGGAATTGTCTCTGGATGTCTGCGTTGTAAACTGAAAGCTCACCGTCATCTTGGTGTATGAACCCAGTCAAGCTCCATACTTGGCTCTGCGGCCGGGATTTTCCACTAAGTTACTGCAAATTTAAGTTTGAAATGGTTGGACTTCCTTATGTCAGCGATGCGAATGAAGCCGGCTGAAAGGGTGGGGATCTTCTTGACGTAACAATCCAAAGTAGCTGTATTTAGGGTTTGCCTCTTAAACTCATCGACGAGACCATTATCTCGGCTAGCGAGTAAGCCCTCGGATATCGTAAGCGTGATAGTTATTCCTGTCGAGACTTGGAAGTAACAACGAGCTAAGCTTAGGAACGAGGAGCTCTGTGTTGATCAAGACAGCTACGGAATCAAGCAATCTTCCAGAAATACTTTGTAAAGCCGAATTTCGGTTGGAAGTGTGCTACAGGTACGTAGAAAACCTTCAGGATAAAAACCCTAATTGCCAGTGTAGTGATGTTCTCGTCACCATCGTATTATAGCCATGGTTCAGGCATCTCATTCGGGTACTTAGGCGTGCCGTCGACAAAAAGTCTTTCAAAGCGTTTCCTAGACGCTTTAAGTCGTGCCCTGTGGAATCGCAGACCAGAGTGGCCGGTAAAAGAGGATAATGCGGACCTTGGATTGATTCGGTGCGTCATTCCTCAAGGCCTCTCAATGCTTTCAGAGCAAATCAGGGAGTTGTCGGGCATCGTGGGCAGGCTCGATGATGCTCTGAGAAAATACTCGCGGCCAATGAGTTGACCAAATATGTTAACACGCAATAATCCGGTCTGTTTCGGCGACAGCTGGTTCAGGCCGGGTTTGGCACAAAGCAAGAACTTGCACGTGTTTGTGGCACTGTGTACTGTATCCTAGTGAATGTGGAATGCTCGTATGAGCTTTTATAGGTTTAAATTTACGAGTTTAAGAGGGCTTTATAAATTACCCACTGGCTTCACCAGTGTCTCTTACTTCATGGTCACACCAGCATAAGCTTCCCGATCTCTAGGTTCCGTACCTGATAGACCCACGTAGTTGAGTCGGCAGCGGGCGTTTACGAATGGTGTAGACCGGTGCCTGCGTTACGAACACTCTTACCTTTTCTACAGCTTTCTTTGTGTTGTTACGTCGTACACCTAGCCTAGGTATGATTGCGGCAACTTCGTCTAGCACAGTAGCCGCCGTGCTACCTGCGCAGACGAGATTATTGTTCGTGGGTTTGCACAGGGGTTAAATATCGTACTGAGGTTTGAGCTCGTCGGCGTCGAGCCCATAGTCGAACTTTTGGTCCAAGGCCGACACCTTCAATTTCGAACTCCGCTCAGACACATATCTCTTAATAGTGGCGCTCGAAATGAGGCGCGAGATCATTGCGACGACTATCCATGATGGTTTTCGTGTGGAGTAGTCGCTCACGGTGACGAGATGTCCGTCCGACTCGTCGCGGAATCTACAGGCAGAGCTCTCCTAATATAAAGTAGTGCCTGTGAAGATGCACTGTTCTAGATGCGATAGGAGAGCCGGAACGTATCTACTGATTCTAATCTGTCTCGTTATGTGATGAAAGGGTTGCGCGTGACTTCAGGAGAGTCGGTATGCTTGCCAGGAGACTTTTTCCGAGGTTCAAAAATTGAAGAAGTCAAAGATGTAAAGTCCTCTGCAACTTCAAATTATTGTTCGTGGTAGGTGCTCCGAAAGACGTGCACGGATGCGGCCAGGTCTCATGGTCCTACGTCATACCCAGACTTACTAAGCCCTTTCATCTCCGCAGGCCAAACCCGGCTCATTTTCGCATGCTCTCAGTCAGTCCGAGCGTAGGGAGACTTGGACCCTTAAATCTCCAGAGCCGAACCCTCGGCACTCTAATCACAAGCCCGGCGCAGATGACACGCCAGCCCTCAACACTTCACTCCTTTGCTTCTCTTACAACCCCTTTGCACACAGGACTCATGAGTGCTCATCGGCCGCCGTTATGATACCAACTTCTTGCGCGTGGGCTCGCGTGGGCTTGCGGCGCATACCAAACTACCCCCGGAATCGCATAACCGAACAAACCTCGCGCTTCGAAACTGCACGTCTACGAACCTCGCCTCCACATGTTACCCGCCGCCACAATGCGTCAAGGCCGCCTGTTGCGCAGAAAGCGCCTGAGACCGCAAGCACGATACCTGGGCCGAGCTGGCTCTGGCTTGAACCAATCTACGGACCTTTCCGCGCATATGGTCGCGTGCAACAAAGGAGACCGTATATGACACAGTTCATATCTTCGCTAGTCATCTACTTTGTTGGCGATCTGGTTGCGCAGAGCATTGCAGAGCCCGCACCAAAGGAGGCTGCGGCCGAAGAGGGAGAAGAGAAGGGCTGGGTACAAGAATGGAGCGACAACCGCGACTGGCATCGCACAGGTCGGTCGCTGATAATCGGAGGACTAAGCTCGATTCCTGCGTACAGGTGGTTCTTATGGCTGGGCAACAACTTCAACTATGGTTCCAAGATATTGTCCCTGACAACCAAGGTCGCTGTGAACCAAGCCTTCTTCACGCCCGTCTTCAACTCGTACTTTTTCGGCATGCAATGTCTCCTCTCCGGCGCATCCACTTCCGAGATCATCGAACGCATCAAGAACACCGTGCCCACTAGCTGGATCAATTCCTGCAAGGTCTGGCCCGCGATCACGGCCTTTAGTTTCGCATACATACCCATACAGTACAGGAGCATTTTCGGTGGCGTCATTGCTATTGGATGGCAAACGTATCTGAGTCTGCTCAACCAGCGAGCTGCAGCCGAGGAAGGGGCAGAGCAAGGAGCAGAGCAGGCTGTTGTAACAAAGGCAATCGTAGAACGCCGTAGTGAGGAGCGTGAGCACAGGCATGAGAAGCAGAAGTGTGCTGCTTGATCACCCACGTGCGATGCGAGGCACTTTGGAGACGACGTATAACACTCTTTATAATAGACCACCGGTCACCTCAGCAACATGGTCACCGCGACCGCTTTTCATTTGTCGCATTTCAACAGGGTCAATATCGGATACACTGCATTAGACGGGGTTTGGGTCGCGCCTACGGGCTGCTGACATTTTCTTTTTGCACCTGCCAGTACACGAGCAGCAATTTCTTACGTGTTATATACCAATACACAATATTGTTGTCTTATATCTTTCCTGTGACTGCTTCACTCTTTCACACTCCACGGCAAATTGATAAAAGTACTATCGGCCCGGGAACTAGCCGTGCCTTCATGATTATTCACTTGTCGGGTGGTAGCCATGGAGTACAACACATCTTCTGAGCCGAATGCCCGAGCTGGGCACCTACTGGCGCTGAAGTAAGCAGTAAAGACCCTATGGACTGATATGGTCAACAAGCAACCGAAGCTCAAAAGCGGAAGCGCTTAAGAAAATGAATGGAGCTGATGGTCTGATCAAGATTGCTACTGCAGATTGTCAAGTGCGACAAAAAGTACACCCTAGCATCCCATAGTCTGAAGCTATACACAGCGCTTTGCCATCAACTTCAAATCCCAATGTCACTGCGTACAGCTATTGTACTGTGTATAGTTTGGTCGCATAAGCCCTTGGACTTGGCTGTGCCTTTCTTCTTGATTCGGACACGGGAAGGTCACCGAATGGCCGCTCTTCTCGCCGTAGCATCCATTGGAAAAATTCGAAAAGATGGTCGTGATGCATCTCAGTTTCAATGGCGTGGCAATTCTACTGGAATGTGGCTAACCCCCGCTCCTGGACAACCTGCCGATGTCCGTCGGAACGATGTTCTCTTCGGCTTCAAGTTCGTTGGGTGGAAGCGCGGCGACGTCGATGTCATGCACGCTCCTATCACATTTTCAGGTGCAGAGTGCGAATGAATTCGATTGGCGGAAGAAGTGATGCGCAAGTATTGGACATGGGGCGACATCGAAACTATTTTTGGGCGAGAGATGATCGCGCACCGAGTAAACAACTGGCCCACGTTTGATGAGCAACGCTCCCAATACATTTTTGCTGTTCGTCTGATCTGTTGATTTGGTCACGTCTACTTGGCTAGATGTGAGGTTTCTGTAGCAACACTTACTATGTAGATTGAATGTTAACGCATGCCTTCATATACGACCATAGGACAATGAAAACAAGTTTACTTGTCCAATCAACTAGATAGCTGTCGAATTACTCCTTACGGTTGAGTTGCTTTAGTCACTGTCTGGAAACAAGTCATTGTTCTTGTAGTGTCTAGGCGCGTTCGACAGTATTGTCGTATAGACACCTCCTTATATCTCTAGATACCAGGAATTAACCTACATTTAGTAGGAGAATAGTAGATTCTAGCTTCTAGATAGCTTTTAAATAATTATTAGCAAGGTTCTAAGCCCTTGGGAAGAAACTATCTAATATACTAGCTGTTTACATCATTATCTAATCACGTGCACAATTACTACACCACAGCACGTAACTAAATTGTGCCGCCCAGTAGAGTCTTGCTTACGGTTTCCAGCACTCATTCAAGCAACGAGGCGTCCGTGGCTTCACACGTCTGTATCTAATCGCTCAGACTTGAACAAGACTGAAGTGACGATGAGAGTGTTTTATCCACGCTGCATCAAATATGACTGCGATGACTACTGAGCTCTCTTTGAGATGAAGAAAGCAGTCCTCTGAAACTCATTGCTGTTTAATCAGGAAACATTCCATGCCGTCATATATAACTCTATCTGGCTTGGACAGTCACCGATGATCCCGTCAGACCACTTGAGACAGCACTGATAGTGAGGTTACCAACAGCGCCGGCGTTGCTACGGATAATTGCAAGTGCAAGACCGCTGAACGCCTTGCGCGTCAAACTGGAGAAGACAGCGAAGTCGGCGGGATCTCCGTTGTCAGTTGTAGAGATGAGCCCTGGTCCGGTAATGGAGAAACTGATGGAGTTGCTAGCCCTGGGAACAGTATCGCCGTTTGTGTCGACGACGCGGGCTGTGATGAAGGACAGATCAAGCCCATCACCCCTGATGTCGGAGCGATCGGCCGAGAGAACGAGTTTGGCAGCATTGCCAACTGTCTTCTTGGTATCAGTTGCCCATTCCTGACCGTTCTTATAGGTGATGACCTTGAGATCGCCAGGCTGGTACACGACGTTGTCCCATCGGAAGCGCCAGCTCGAGATTCCGCGCTTAAGACGGCCAGCCGACTTTCCGTTGACAAACAGCTCAGCTTCGTCAGCTGAAGAATACACGTGCACTGGAGTAATCTGGCCGATACGGTCGGGCCAGGTCCAGTGGGGAAGAATGTGCGCCATGCGAACGTTGGGAGCCCACCGCGCCTGATACAGGTAGAAGCGGTCCTTTTTGAAACCCGCCATGTCGATGATTCCAAAGTAGGAGCTTCGCGCCTTGTCGTTGAAGGGAGTCGGCTCGCCTAGGTAATCCCAACCCGTCCAAACAAACTCTCCAGCGACGTAGGGGTACTTATCCTGCATGAAAAAGACCTTATCTGGAGAGCCCGAGGCCCACCAATCTGAGTACAAGTCGTAAGCGCTCACCCGCATGCCTACGGTGTCCTCACCACCACCGCTATTACCGCTTACTACCGCCGCCATGCCGCTGGTAACGGGGAAGACGAACGTTCCACGGGAACTAAGGCATGATGAGGTTTCCGAGCCCCACATCATCTTGTTCGGAAACTTTGAGCGGAAGCCTGGCCATGCAGATGAAGTTGAGACGCCGATACCTTCGCCGTTGTAGTTGAGTCCAACAATGTCGACTTGAGCTGAGAGGGCCTGATCAGGACTAGCCGAGTTCATGCCAGCAGTAGTCTGTCGAGTAGAGTCTTCGTCACGGATGATTCCGCGGAGCTCAGCACCAATAGTGCCCCCAGCGGCACCTTGTTGCTCAGGAATCTCGTTACCAAAAGACCAGGCGATAACGGACGGGTGATTACGGTCTCGGCGGATAAAGAGGCGGAGGTCCGGCTCATGCCAATCGTCAAAAATAAGAGAAAAGTCGTTCTTGGTCTTAGACTGCTTCCAGCAATCAAAGATCTCATCAAGCACTACAAGCCCCATTTTATCGGCTAGCTCGAGGAATTCAGGGGCAGGCGGGTTGTGGGAGGTGCGCAGCGCATTGTTGCCCATCTCCTGGAGTATCTGGAACTGCCTCTCTTGTGCTCGGTAGTTAAAAGCTGTGCCCAAGCTCCCGAGGTCATGATGGTTGCACTGGTGGATTTAGTCAGATTCAGTTTCTGATGTTTTAGACTAAGGGGATGAATCGGCTTGGTTGACTTACTGTACCTTGAATCCGAATCTTCTGTCCATTCACACTGATTCCAGTGTCTTTATCGTAGATAATAGTCCGGATACCAAAAGGCGTCTCACTAATGATTATGACTAAGATTAGATGATGTTCTAGGTGTCGTAGTATTGTGGACGAAGAAGGCGAGGGGGTTAAAGACTTACTAAGCATCAATCACTTGTCCATTGACGGACAATCTGGTGGTAGCAACATACAGATTCGGTGTCTGATCCGGCTTGGGTCCCCACAGCTTGGGGCTGGCAACGGTTGCGGAAGCACTGACGACTGCTTTTCCACCTGCGGCGACAGTTCCCGATGCCTTTGACAGGGTAGCCACAACACTGCCTTGCACACCAGACTGATCTTGAGGCCGAATCTCGGTGACGACGTCGACTATTTGACTGCTGTTGCCTTTGTTCTCGATATCGACTACCAGGCTGACAGTTGCGGAAGAGGACGAGACCGTGGGCGTAGTGACGAATGTCCCGTACTGGGCCACGTGCACCGGGTTTAATTTAACAAGCCAAATGTTCCGATAGATACCCGCGCCTGGATACCAGCGAGAGTTATCCAAAGCATTGTCAAGACGTATTGCTAAGGTGTTGTCCGCTCCAGTCTTGACGTACGGCGTTAGATCAAGTCGGAAACTGGCGTACCCATACGGCCAACCCCCCACGAGGTTGCCATTAAGCCAGACTGCCGCGTATGACATTGCGCCATCAACGTCCAGGAAAATGGTCTTGCCGGCATCCTCAGCACTAAAAGATACGACACGACGGTACCAGCCTACGCCATTAGATGGTAGTCTTCCCATGGCACCACTGACCCCTGGAGCATTGAATGGCCCTCTGATAGCCCAGTCATGCGGTATATCGACTGCCTCCCATTTTGCATCGTTGAAAGAAGCCTGAGTGAAGTTGAGGTTGGCACCTGGCTGAGGGCCAGTGGGACGAGTCTTCTTGGAGCCTGAACTTTTGATGAAATCGTTGCCTGAAGGGAGGATCCAGGACTTCAGTGTGTTGTAAGACAGCGAGTCGGGATTGGAGGTGAAGCGTTGGAAGCGCCAGCCGTAGTTGATACCAATCCGCTCGCGCCCGCCGACAGTAGTGCGATTCGTGGGAGTAGCGCCAGCAGCTGCCAGGGGCAGATTGGTGGCTAGCAGCAGAGCCGTCAGGGCAATTCCGTAAGCGCTGCTCAACATCTTCATCAAGCCGACCGCCTGGTCAAATTTCCGTCCTGAAGATTCAAAGATTAAAATCTGACCTTGGGTCCAAACACAAAGATTTCCCGGCAGACTTGTGTTCATGAACTGCTCGGTGTCACTTATAGTCCATCAGACTGGGAAGGGGCACTCTGCGTGCAAGCATTGGCACTTCGAGCATTGTGTTCTGATTTGAGCGACTGTGTATCTCCGTTGGATGAATTCTGAGCCTGCGTCAATAATTGGCCGGGCGTCGGTCTTTTCCCTTTTTACTAGTTGGGGCGGAGATCACTGTATTCTCCCGGACCCAATTGGATGGCATGAGGTTTGGTGATCAACGAATGATGGTTGATCTCAGTCTGGTAGGGACACGACGAAAACGAAATGCGGGGTACTCAACTCGCGCATGCTGAATTTGGCTGCTAACAGCCCACAGCGGCGTGATGATAAATTCAGCCCGAACCATACTGCTCTCTCGTGCTAAGTTAACTACTCTGCACATTTCTCTTGGATGAGTTTTGATCCTATCGTAACAACATGCTAGCGGTCCGCAAGCTCTAGGGATCTTCGCCGGGCATTAGGCTAACTAATTAGATCGGAGGTATCGTTCAAAAATTTAGTTTACATTCCCTGGTTGACCATCTGTTCCAAGGTGAAAAGCAGTAGTGAGTTTCGTGGTAATCTCCAATTTTTGACATACGGCTCATATTCTGCCATTGGTAATATCTCGCTAGTAGTCTGTTTGTTTTGCCTCTACTGAGGTGCAGCCGAGCTGATGTGGTAGCAGTGTCGCAAAAGTTCAAGTCCTTAAACGGTCTGCAATTAGATAATATGTAAAAAAGGACCCCTTTAATTCCATATAGAACCATACGATATCGAATATGAGTTTTCTTTTCCCGCTCAGCCATCTTTTTCTACACAAAATCCGGTAGGTTGTTGGCTGGTACGGGAATCGGGACTCGCGAAATTTTGTTCTCTTGTTCACTACTGCACCCTTTTACGAATATCCAATAAACATGTAACGAATATTTGACGAATGTTTAACGAATATGTAGTACTGTGCCCAGATGCTCGTTAACGCCTCCATCACTTCTATTCAGGCTCATCTCTACAGACTTCTAGCCTAACAGCTCCTTGGCTACGCAAACCGCATCACGATGTCCAACCTACCACTTCATACCTAGCCTCTGTGTATGAAGGGAAGCTGTAGCGTTAATTACAAGACTATAGCTAAACCTAGAACGAAATGCGGTGCTAAAGGGCTACAGCTGTGCTAACGATCTGCAGCAGCTCCAGGCTAGCTAGTCCTGTATACAATGTTGCACAAATCTCTCGCTTCGAACTCAGAACTTGTGCATGTTGTCCATGTGTACTGTTGATACGTCTTTTCTAGTGCAGCACGCCGCTAGACATAGATAGCCTATCATCAATCCACTGCGGGTACGTGAAGCTAGCAGGCCCTTCGTTTGCCCATCGTGAGTATAACATGGTAACGCGCTCTGATGTTGCAAACATGGACTTTTCCAGGATGATATGATCAGATATTGGAGAAAATGGAATGTTGCTGCGCCGAATATCTTGAAGAGTCCTTGAAAAGTGCAGATTAGCACGAACATCTTTGCAAACTCAGTCCTCTATTTTGCTATCCGACTGTAACGGAGCCACAGAAGCGGGCGTCGCTACATCCAAATCAATGATTCGTGCATTCAAATGATCGAGGCGTCTGCGAGTTGCCATAGGCCGCTTTGCTATGCCGGTGAGCACTACTCCTCGCATGCTCTCGTCAGCTGTGGAAGTTTCCGAGCCGACCTCGGCGTCAAGAGAGGCTATCCACTCTTCAATCGAAGTACTGGCTCCTGGCATGAATTCACATTCTGCCATGTATGCGTCGGTAATCCGCAGAAGATCTGATTTTGGCCGTAGGTCGCGGATCCAAGTGATGATAGAGATAATCAATTCTTCGTGCTTCACACCTAGCCTGGGAGTGCCCACGTCTAGCCAGAACGAGTAATTCAGGTCGTTGTCCTTCCAAGGAGAATCTGTTGGTGGAGATTTGCCTCCTCGGTAGCATCTGACGACGCGACGATGGAAAAGAAATTGAGCCAATCCGCTGGCAATCTCTTGTATAGACGGCTGTTGTTCGTTACTGGTTTTGTTGCTCCTAGGAAGGACATAAAGGCAGAGCGTCTGTTTGTTTCCCTCGCTAAGATTAGCGCTATCAGGGACGGGAGAATAGAGCAGGCTCATCTCCCATCCCGATTTCGTGGTCAAAAAGTCTTCACCGGAATGGGAAACTCTGGTGCGCGAATGAAGGTGGCTGCGAGAAGAAACTCGCAAGAAGTGCTCATGTGGCGTGCGACGGCCCACGCAATGCACTCCATAGATCGCATGCACGATACTGTAAGCTCTAGACGATGGACCATCTTGTGCCCAATCTGGACTCAAAACTGAGTGGTTCTTGGGATGATGTGGCCCAAATGCCGGTGGCTCATTCAAATGGGTGAAAGCAAAAGTACGTCGCTGTAGGCAGTCTTTGAAGTCATCTTGAAAATTCGAGCGCAGCACAGTCTGCAATGCTGCAAGGAGCCGGTTCTTAGGCCAGTAATAGACAGGACGATGTGGCGGATATCGTTCAATACAGTTTGATATCTTGCGAAGACTGTCGACGACGTCCTCCTCTATCGCGAGCAGCGTCAGCTCCCTGACTAATCCCCAAGAGGAATCGATGAAGTAAGAAAGTCGAAGCTGGGCGTAAACTTCAACCTTCTTGCCTTCCGTGGGTCTTGGAGGAGTCGGCCTCAGCCCTCCCGTCCAAATATCCTCGATCGAATCTACAACCTCTTCGGCCTCAAGACGAAAAGGCGTAATGGCCAAAAGGTTTCGGGCAAACTCAATCTCGTCAACTGGGTTGTTGAAGCTTTGTAAGAGTGTTCCAAGATTGTCGCGCGATATGTAGAGTGCTCTGAAACGAGACTCGATATTCCTGGCACTGTGTACGATCCCCAAAGGCATCTGAATTTGCTTCCAGTGGTCATGGAAAGACTCGCTGAAATTGTGTCGGGAGATCTCAATTATCTCAGGCTCTTCCATCCGGGCAAGTGCAGAATCTTGGTCCTCAATCCAAGGATTGACGTTGCCGCGAAGCGAATATATATCAGTGTCGAGTGAGAATGACATTGTTCGGCTCGTATCGGCAGTACCGAGTACTTTCAGCTGCATGAGGATGCTTGGTCGATAGACGTCGCGGGCCCAATCAACCATAAAGTCAACGATCAGGATGAGCTGAAGAGCCTCGTCATGGTTGTTTATACTTCCTTCCCAAAGCTGAGAGATACGCTATGGAAGCATTAGCATTGATCGTATCAACCTTCGATTGTACCTCTCACTCACGTAATTTGTGCGGCCATCGTCCTTGTAGACCGTCCCTGCGTAGACGCGCCAGGTCTCTCCCCTGTTGGCCGTGAACCATACTAAGGGTCCGCCTGGAACATCCACTGTGTTGCCAGGAAGTTCTTTTAGAGTATGTTGAATTTGAAGCGCCCGCTTGATCGGCAGTGCCGTCTGTATCTCTATCTCCTCAAAGCTGTTCGCACTTTTCTCACTCTTCGCCTCATGGATGAGGAATGGAAAATGCAAGGGCACACCGCCGTTGTCGGGATTGGTGCTCGTTCGAAATACCTCTGAGACCAACTGCTGCGCCCCCGGACGCGATCCATGAGCATATTCTTTACGAAGGCGTGCTCCAATGTTCTTGGTTTCGTGTAGACCGTATATGCGATCTGGTTTTTTATCGAAAGTTTTCGAGTCATCTTCGACGGCGAATTCTTCGATCCTGTTGGCAAATATTTCGCTAGTTCCTGGATCTAGACTTATGACCAGTCAGCACTGGAAAAGAAAAGGTGACATAGTCAGACGTCGGGACGTACCAATCATTCATGCGGGTTAATGGGTTGCATGTGCAGGGCTTTCGCCGAGCTTGTCTCTCCTTTAGGGATGGGGCTCTACTACTTGCGAAATCGTGATTGACTTCAACCTCGGATCTCCATAGCCTTTTGCGGCACGTCTTACTATGAGGCATTAGCAATGAATTCGGTGGACCAGTTATCAACCCGTCAGATACTAACCACGTAACCTCGATCTCGAACCTCTCAAAAACCTTGGGTTCGAGCTCATACCGCCATCCACCTTCATTTTTATTCGCATCTCGGCATCGAACTGCGTCTCGAACCAATCTTGACGCTTTTCGCTTGTTTTTGTATTGCCAAGGTTGCTCCAGGGAATTACACCCAGGCACAAATGCGTACTTCTTAAACAACGTGCGACCCAATTGCTGGATGGTGAAGAACTTCTCTTGGTGAGGTTCCGGCACTAGATTCAGAAATCGAGAGCTAAATTTTTGGCTGTTAAAGAAGATACGCTGCCGTTTAGTCTCGGCTTTGAGATCGCGATATTTCTTGCCCGTCATCTTGACCTGGAAGTAAAATGAGAGACGAACGTGTCGCGTACCGCCAGCTGAAGCCACTGTTATTTGTATGGGCTGACCTCTGGAGCACTCTAGGCCGCAGCGTGTTGGGGTCCGCAATCCGTGCCGTAGGAGTGCATGCACAGCCACACCTCAGATCCAATCAATGGGGATGTTGGCGCTGGGCCTGGTCCAGATCGGGAAGGTCTGCGACAACATCAGGGGCTTGCATCATGCCTTCACTTGTACATCTTGGCTGCGTTGTTGGAGCTTGAGAATTGATCAATATCGGACCTTTATTCGATCTGGGTGCGCAAAAGGCGGTGCAATCTTTCAAGCTACTTCCGGCGGTGCATCTGCGAGGACAAGCTGGGTACAAGTAAGCTCGAGCCGAACCGTCGCCCTCAGGTAGGTTACAAAACGCGCAGACACCAGCGCTGCTATCAACAGCAATGGATAAATTGACAGGTGTGAGAGACGGGGGAGCTGACTGTGAACAAGACTTAACTGGACGTATGTGTTGCTGGAGCCATTGATCGCCGTGGTTCATGAGATGTGAATTTGTATCGGAAGATTTGCCTGAAAACAGTAGGAGATCCTGGTACTAGATGGCGTGGTGGAGGCTACCCGACAAGACCACGAAGAGTGGAAGACACCAACTGGAGCTGTCACTCGCTCTCTGCTAACTGGTTGTCCCCCAGCAGCTCGACGGATTCTGTCAGTATGGGGGACATCATTTGACTTTGCAGCAATTTCAATCCCGAATCCAGTCTCCTCAAAGTTGCACACATCCTTGTGGGAAATTCACCATATCTGGTCCGTCTCTTCTCAAGATTGAACCAGATGGTGATCTTGACAGGATACTCATGTCTTTCCCTATTTGTGAGTTGAATTATTTGCTGCATTTCGTCTGAAGTTGTGACTGGCGCTTGATAAAGCGTAATACCCATTCCTGGCCAGGGGAAAAGCATTGTATCCACTGGCTTAGGCGCCGTCTTACTGCAGAATCAGCGCCTCGTCTCCTTGAGCCTGCATAAATGCCCGAGTTCAGCCGCGCTGGCACAATTGTGGCTGTGCAGCACGGCAGATCTGACCCCGTTAGCAGGTTACCGTAAGCGGGGAATTCAAGGACTTCTGTGGTAATTGGCCGTGTGCAAACGAGACTTCCCGTCCGCTTAGCCATATTTAAGCAGCGTACCGGCGGGTTAGTAGTTGAGTGGGTGATCATTAGCGAATCCCCACTGTTGTATGTTTTTGTTTTTTGATCCCATGCACAAATTACATAGATACATTTTTGGTCTGAGAGATGATGTGAGCCACAGGCAGAAGCTTCAAGACGTACTATTAGCCTGTCGTAGTGGGTGAAGGAGACACAGAATACCCCACTCATCTCTGTCCCCGCCCTACAACAATCCTAAACCTCTCCAAACTCTCCCCACTCCAATAATTTTCTTTCTTCCCGACCGTCTCAAACACCCGCTCCCCATCCAAATTCATCCATCCTTTCTCTTTGCCAACGAAAAGATGCGCATCAGGCCTCAACTTCCCGACCCCACCGTCAATCGTCCCCACCCTAACAACCTTCAACAAATCCCGTCCAGCAGCGTACGTACTCCAAAGTACCGTGTAGCATTTCGGACAACGGTGCATAGTTTGCCTTGGCCGTGTTAACTTCACACTTGCGCTACCCTTGTCAACATACCCGCCCTTTTCACTCGGGACATTCGTCCTGAGTATATCCGCTTCTTTTCCATCTTGAACAATGACGCGGTCGGGCTCGTATAGCGCGTTGAGAGCGAATGCGGAGCCAGATTCGTGCTGGCAGTGCGTGCAGTGGCATGCGTGGACGATTAGAGGGGTGGATGTTAGGGTGTAGGATATGTGGGTACAGGGGCATGAGCCGTAGAAAGGAGGGGCGAGGGCGGGCATTGTGAGGGATAAGTTGGAGAAATGGGATGGGATGAGGAAAGGTGAGTGTATAGAGGGATGGCGAGTCGGTAGATTAGGCTGCAAGATGCGGAAGGAACATGTGAGTCATGAATGTGAACTGAACAGATATTGAACTCGGGGCTTGATACAGAATTGTTGAGTTCCGAGATGGGAATGGCTGAACGCGCTTTGGAAAAACGTGGATGTGCTCTGAATTTTTGATCGTAATAGAGACATACGGCTTCATCAGGAAGTAACTAAAAACGTTTGAAGGATATACAAACTCATCTGACGTATTGAGAACTATGCCGTTACACAGATCTCTCTACATCAATGCAACCACAGCCATCACCACTACCGTGCCCAACCACCAAACCCGCTCCTCAGCCCGCCCCATCGCCGCGCCAGCAAACTGCGCCGGACTACGACTACCACCCGTCCCTGTCGCCGCGCCCGCAACAGGATTGATCTTGCCATCTCCACCCCTAAACTGCCCTCCACCACTAACACTGGTCTTATCCATCGTGCTTCCCTCAACACACATCGCGCTTCCCTCAGTCTTGAACATGCGATCCACGACCCCCTTCCACACTTGAGTGACATCGCTAATCATCGGCGCAGTGAAGAACATGCGGCAATCCGCAGCCTCGTACACGAATTCAAGCGGAGTCTTGGTCGCGTCGCCTTGGCGGAGGTTGTCTTTGAGATTGACCCCACCAGCGACCTGGCCGCCGCGGTATGCAGAACGCGTGAAGAGTTGCGTGGCAAAGGCGGTGCGACCGAGGTCCGTCTTGTTCCATTGAGCGCGCTGGGCGGATGAGCCGAGGAAGAACGCGGCTTGCATGCGCACTTGGATGTCGTCCCAGGAGAAGACTTGGGCGCCTTTGGTGCCGCCTACGCCTTGCATGGGCCCGGGCTGGGGACGGCCGCCGACGGCGATGGTGCGGACTCCGCCTTGGTTCTTGAGAAGTTCGGCGACGATGGCGCAGGTGGAGGAGCACATGCCGTCGTTGAGCATGACCATGTCTTGAGCCTGGAAAGGCTGGGGTGTCTTGGTTTCGTTGAGGTTTGCACCGAAGCCGATGACGGAGAAGCCTTCGTACGTAGTGGAGATACTGTCGGAGTAGTTGTAGCGAAGGGTGGTAGTGAAGGTGTCGTTGTTAAACTCGTCAGGACCGAAAAGTTGTTCCCAGCTTCGGAAGGCTTTGTTGTTGGCGTCAAGTGTGTGCTGGTAGTTGAAGGGCGATGTAAAACTGAAGATGTCGTCTTCGGTGACTCCTTGTCCAAATGCGTCCGCAAAGACGGTCTTGTTTGACTGAGCAAACGTCTTGCGTGCAAGAAAGTCTTGCGTGATCTTTCCAGCTTGATTCAGGGCTTCGTTGGCGCGGTATCGGGTACCACCAAAGGGCTCTTGCTCAGCTTGTGGATAGACCTGCTTGAAGGTATCGTAGCCGAGGATTGCATTGCCTCCACCGTTGCCTCGGAGATCGAAGATCAGCTTCGTCTTGCCATCAGTCTTGGACTTCCTGATGAAGTCACGCATCGTATTCTGGAAGCCTTGTACGCCCGACCCTCCTGGGCCTGCACTGTAAGAGGGTATAGATAGCACGGCGATATCCTAGATTGCATTAGCCTTGTCTTTCACGGCACAGCTGTCTGGCTCACCTCATAGCCAGCTCCATCAAGATAGTATCCTCCCACAGCCAAACTCGGGTTGATCATGACAGCCTTCGGGTAGCCAATGTGTGACGGTGCGGGCTGAGCACGTTGCGAGCTGTTTGTGGGTGTTGTTGGGGTTTGACCCGGAGCCTGGGGAACTGGCTGAGGACCAGAACAAAATTTTCGGAAAAAGTCTTGACCATTGTTGACACCTGAAAAGTTTGCAGTGACGACAGCGAGATTTAACATCGAAAACGTCGTGCCGTTGGCGAATTGCAGAGTAGTGTTTGGCTGCCCGGTGTACATGCCCGTTCGAAAAGCACCCAAGAAAGTGGTCCCTGAAGCGATGAGAGCTTGGGAAGGGAACATGGCGTTCCACCGCACATCTGCATCGTGAAAATCACCTGCTTCAGAGGCGTTTGCGAGGTAGTTCTGAGCTGTCATTCCATCAATCATCCTGACTGCAGAAGGCTTGAACGAGGTGTCATTGCTGGCTCTGACGATATCCCTGTATGCGAAAATTTCAGGGACAGACATGCCATCCGTCGATACAGAGACTAATTCAGTGCCTGGTGGTCTCTGGAACTGTATTGCTGAGGCAAGAATATCCGGCTGGTATGCGAAGTGGTTGTCGTAACTACGGTCGACCAGAGACATTAACTGCAGCTGGAACTCATACTCGCTGCTGAATCCATTCGAAGCAAGCTCGTTCTTCATTCTGTCCAGTTCGCCCATGATATCGATTGGTTTCTCGGTGTAATCAGCCGGAGGATCCTTTAGGTAGGCAATATTACTCTGCCATTTTACATAGAGCTTCAGGTCGTCAATCAATCTCATGTCGCCCTCCTTATCGAGAGGAACAGATCGCAGACACTGGACTCCCAGTTCGGCCGGGATGACCGTCCTGGCCCCAGCCGGCATTGCTGCCATCGCACTGCTGATCACAGCACATGGTTCCCGGCTAGATGTGGCCGACGTTGCAGCCGAAGTCGAAGATTGTGCTGTCGCGGCTACCGTTGAATCGTTCTCAGCCGCAGATACCATTGTATCGATATCGGCTTCGGTCATCATTTCGTTCATGTCAAGGTCTGGAAAGTCGGGAACGCCATACATCCATGGATACGGGCCAGAGCCAGAAGCAGCCGTAAGGCCGCAGTGGGCAATGAAAAGCAGGATGGACGAATGCATGGTCAATGATATTCTTCGCTTCCGGTGGTATCGTGTCAGGAGGTATGATTGCCTAGAGTACTTCAGTGTGCGATCAGACGAGAGAGGGGGCGACAGCAAGTGCGCCCGCGTGAAGCCGTACCTTGGAGACCTTGCAATCCACCAAGTAATTATTAGATATTAGAACGAAAGCGATCCAGCGCTGGTAGTCAAGGCTGAGGATTTTCGAAAACAGAAAAGAAGAGCTATTGCACCTAAACTAACATGATCCCCAGGATCGAAGAACTGAAAGATGAGAACACTCGAGTGCTCGGAAAGCACTGGCCCCACAAAGAAGGACGCGGCTTGCGATGATCTTAAGCAAACATCGTGAGGGGCGGCTATAGTGGCCATAGCCTGTAACCGTTATGGAAACAGGAGCACGAAACGTGTCGCGTTGCCAAAGTTCGGTCCTTCCTGTGCTTATTGATGCAGCGACAGCATTTTGTTCCTGACGAAGACGAAGAATGATACGAGTTCAATCAAAGTGAAAGCTGCCCTTGCAACTAAGAAACAGTATACTACTGAGCTGTAAGACTGTGTCCCAATCGATATGTGAACGAACTTGTGTGCGAACAGGTCCATGTCAAGGATGTACCCCGAAACTGATGTGAAACACCTCGCCGGACTAAGCCCGATCAGGCCGCACCGACCAACTTAGATGAACGACCACATCTGAGGAGAGACTTCCGCAGCCGAGAACTTTGGTTGTCCCAAAGAATTTGCGAGGAAAATGTATCAGTTCCCGACTCAGGCGCTTGGCGATCCTTACTAAATGAATGCAACGATTCGAAACAATGCAAGATGTCGCACATGAGAGTCCGTGATCACGAGACAGGTTCTCGGGTTTGGGGTTTCTTACTCAAATGGCTTGTTGTACTGCACTTCCTCATCCCACTGCTCTAGCTTTTTGTAGGGGCTTCGGAGCCAAGACTGGAGCTCATGCAAGAACAGGCGGCTGTTCTCTCGTCCAAGGAAATCTGCAAGAAGACTCTCGGCATGTCCGTTGCTGGCTTTGACGTCTACCATCTTGAGGATGGAAATAATATAAGAGAGCAGGAATTCCGCGTTGCTGCTTGTCGTAGCCGCAGCTGAGGACGAGTTCGAAGACTCGGAGTCTAGAAAACTGAACACACGTAGTTCGCGTCGAACCCACATTCGCGCACGTGACTGCAAGTCTGAAGAGCTTGCTATCATCTGAGGAGTCAAATCACAATATCCAGACAGTGGATTGCTGCCAACGTGCAGAGAGTAGAGCTTGTGCTGGTAGACCTCCCGGCGTTTAGCGAGCGCGGTATCCTCGACAGGAGGCGAGTAGGCGCGACGTGTGCCGTGTGGTCTTCTTGGTAAGCCATAAGGAGCGTATAGTGAAGCCGGCCTATCGTTTCGACTAGACTCTGCAGATTGGTGGCTTTGTCGCACTGCATAGCTCTTGTAGTCTGTTGGAGAACGCCAGTCATATTGGACAGTAGTCACTTCTACCTTGCCTGATGATTTCTTAGCAGAGATTTGGGGGCTCAGCCGCGGCCACCTACATAGTGGGCAAGTCGAGCGTTCCTGCAGCCAACTGACGAGGCATACAAAGTCAAAGGTGTAGTGATTACACGGGCTCGTGATGGCCCTCTCAGTCACAGTCGAGAGACATATGACACAAGTGTCTCCAGACTCGTCCCTGGTTGGTGCAGATGTGCTTCCCATGCGCCGGTGTTGGTGTTGAAGTGGTGGCGGAGATGCATGCATGGCACCGATGAGATCATTTGTCTGTGCGCAAGAAGTTCGCGCCTCGCGCCTTCCCATTGAACATCTCAAGTCCTCGTGCAACATTCACCACCTTCTCCCACCAACGTCGCGTGTTAGTGTTGTCAGGGACAACGTGTCGCGATTGCCGTGTTTCCCTTTCAGTCATCACGAAATCCGCCCACAGCGCATGCTCCTCCACGCTACGAAGCGCTTTTGTTCAACCTCCGCCCAACACTCGTTCTCTGCCATGTCCATGCAAGCAACCTCAACCAGGCCGCATGTCGCAGGGCCAAATGGAAGGGCTACCTATCACACCGTGACGGCGCTTAAGAGGTGGTCATGCGACGACAAGGAGCTACCTCCGGTCTCTGACATCAAGTCCATCCACGTATTCGACTTTGACAACACCTGTATGTATAGCAGACATGCGCTTTGAGCCATTGCTAATACAACTGCAGTGTTCGCAAGCCCCCTCCCAAACAAGCAAATATGGAACAGCGCGACCCTCGGCCAGCTCGGTTCACCCGACATGTTCGTCAATGGCGGCTGGTGGCATGATGCGAACATCCTGTCAGCGACCGGCCAAGGCATCGAGAAGGAAGAGCAGCGAGGCTGGGAGGGTTGGTGGAATGAACACATTGTCAGCCTCGTGGAGCTTTCAATGCAGCAGAAGGATGCACTCAGCGTCTTGCTGACTGGTCGTGGAGAGACGAATTTCGCCGACCTAATCAAGCGCATTGCGCGGAGCAAGAAGCTGGATTTCGACATGGTCTGCCTAAAGCCCGCGACTGGCCCCGCAGGACAGAGATTCAAGAACACAATGGACTTCAAGCAAGAGCTGCTGAAGGACATTGTCTACACCTACAAAGACGCAGAGGAGTTGCGGATCTACGAAGATCGCGTCAAGCACACCAAGGGCTTCCGGGACTTCTTCTTCGAGTTCAACAGGGATCTGATGTCTGGCAGGAACCAGCCTTCGCGAAAGCCTATCGTCGCCGAGGTCATACAAGTCGCTGAGAACGGAACGCAACTGGACCCCGTCGACGAAATTGCCGAGATCCAGAAGCTCATCAACGCACACAACATACAGATCAAAGCCGGCAGCGCACCCCCGGGCACCACACCTTACCAGATCAAGAAGACCGTCTTCTACACCGGCTACATGATTGAGCAGAACATGACAGAGAAGCTGGGTTCGCTTGTAAATCTCCCTGCCAACGCTCCAAAGGACGACATCCGGTACCTTGCGAACAGCATTCTCATCACACCGAAACCATGCCCAAAGAGCATACTGGACAAAGTGGGAGGCATCGGAGCCAAAATGAGGTGGAAGGTGACTGGCGTATCCTGCTTCGAGAACAAGCTTTGGGCTGCGCGCGTCGAGCCGGTACCAAAGTCGGCCAAGTTCTACTCTGAGAACCCGATACCGACCGTCGTACTAGCAATTCGAAAGAACGGCCGCCCGGCAGATGCAGCACGCATCACAAACTGGCACCCAGTACCCGAAAGCCAGGCATACGAGTTCGACAGCGTTGTTGGAGAGAAGCAAATGTTGCGCATCGAAGAAGAGACGGCAGGCGAGAGTGAATACGAGAGCTACTTCCCCAACAAGAACATTCGCGGAGGGCGCCGATCGCATGAACCACACGACCGACATGGCGACAACCGACAACATAACGGCAACGGTCGAGGTCACGACAACCGACCTTCAGGCTATCGTGGAGGAAACAGGGAGCGCGGTCGTGGCGGTAATCGCAATCCATCATATGGCAACCGAGGTGGTCACCGTGGAGGCCATCGTGGTGACCGTGGCGGAGGAGGTCGTGGTCGTGGACGCGGAGGTGGTGGTGGTGGCGGCGGCGGTGGAAATGGACCCTCGCAATACCGGAGTCTGGACGATCCAAACCATGGACAGCCGAGCCATGATGGACCGGATGCATTCTACTAGTACTAGGCACGGACGGTTCCCTTTCCTCGTTGGACACATGCTCAGAGGAGTTTCTCGAATCATTCCCAGGACTGATGTCTCTACCACATCGTAAGGCATGCTCGACATCCTCATTTCGAAATGTATAGCAAGGCGCACATGTGTTTATAGGTCGTTACCTTGCAATAAGATACCCACAGTTTATTTCAAGTCTTACATTCACCACCGCTTCATATTTCTCAGAGCACAATTACATTACTCGAAGTTCTGCAAGAGCTTGAAAGGTTTCTGAAGGCCCATTCTAAGCTCAAATTCACATCTCCAAGCCTTGACGTGCCACCCCTCATCGTCTCCTGCCATCCAACCTCTTCAGAAGCCCCTCCCCTCCTCGTCTAGCGCCCCAAACTGCATATCCGCCGGCTGCCTCCTCTGCTCCTCCAGCATACGCAGCTGCCTTTCCAATCGCCATTTCCCATACGAATACACATTCGCCCCTGGTTCTGTTATATATGACGAGTCGGAGATGGAATGATCGGAACCGCTTACGCCGCTCTGATCAGTTGTAGTGTCAGAAGTGGTCGTGTTGCGCGAAGCGGTGCGGTTCACCGGGGTGTTACAACTTGTCGGTTCGCGGGCGGTGTCAGAAGCGTTTCCGTCTGCGCGATGCCGCCTGAACATCCTACGTATGCTTTGACGCACTCCACGGCGATGAGGAGTGGGTGCAGCCTCATTCGCAGCTGGTTCGTTCACTGGCTCTGGCTCACGCTCACTAGCTTGCCCCCTACTGTGAAGCCAGGTACTTCCATCCCTCTGCTCCGTCTGGAATACTGTCCCCACCGACACTTCTCCCAGCACACGCGCGTTGTGACGCTGTATGTCGGCTAAGAGATGCCGCATGGCCATGAGTTCGCTGGACCCGTTGTTGACGCTGGCTACTATGCTGAAATGGTTGTCGGAATGGAGTTTCATGACGTGGGCTTGCCATTGCTGGGGCGGATCGGGCGAGAGACATGTTAGCACGTTGAAGTGGCCGTATGGGGCGGAGGCGGCGAGGCTGGCATGGTCTGGTGTTTGGATTTAGTGTTGATAAGTGGAGAGGGAGGTGGATGGGACTTACTGCGGATCTGCTCTTGGAGGTGGTTGTACTCGGCGATCAGGATCGTCATGGCTGTGTTTCACTCACGTAGAGCCAGTTTTGTAGGGAGAGTAATGAGTAGTAATGGGAAGAGCGAAGATTATATGTGTCGTTCCTCTGTTCGCATTTGTCTCCCGTTGTATTCCGAAATTTACGGCAATCAAACTTTGCTCTTTGTTCGATACCAGTTCTGCTTGCTACAAGTCTTCTAGTCGATGCTGGAAGTTCAGGGAGATCACTGGGTTGAATGCGATGATCAATGACGCATGCAGAGGCTCTGGGACATCGTTGCATCATGTTCGACATGTGCGAGATCAATAATCAACATCGCTAGCGTCTTTAGTACTTCACTCTGTCACATCAGCTTCTCACAACATTATACCAAACTTTTCTAGTGAATTATGTTTCAAAAACTCCATGCAACTCAACAACCTCGGCTCTACTCTCTCATAATCTACTCATGCTTTTCCGCCTTCATCACACCCAATCAATTTCCCCGAGCGTCCTCGGCGTGCTTCACCCTCCGCTCTCCTAATCACTAGAAGACCCCGACTCCACACTCGCATGATGGCAGCGCCGTCCTTTTACTCCCACTTGCAAAACCCATTCTGACTGCTCATGACTCTGGCTACGCATACGATCGATCGAACGTGAAAGTTCGGTGCAGCTTTCTCAATCCCTCGATTCCCAATACATAGTTGGAGAGGACGCGAGACTTAGTTGTCCTTCGGAGGCGTCTAGCTTTGCGTTGGCGGCTTATCGCTAGGCTTAAGAGCAAAAGGACTAACTTTGTGCACTAATAGCACCCGAGTAGCCAGAACTTCCTACACCTGTCTACACTAGGCACAATATCGTGTCCACCACATCGTATTGGGTTTCATCAAGGTAGATACTTTCTGCTTTTGGATACAACAACCATGCCTCGCCAACGAGTCGATAAGCATCCAATGGCTGGTCCGACCACGGGCCCGACTGGTATGTGCTGAAGGTTTTCACATACCTGACAGCAATAGCGTGATACGTTTCATCGGGATTGCCTTTCACCGAGCAATTCTGAATACGTTGAGTCAAGACAAGTTTATCTCCTCTCTGAACTCCCGGGGATGTGTGGCAGAAGTAGCTATCGTCTTTGTTCGCCGATTTTGCAACAAAGAAAGAACATCCTTCCGCTGTAGTTGCGCAGATCGCTGGAGTCGTTTCAGCTACAGTCTCGTCGGGAAGAGTACTTGTTGATGTCCATAACCTGTCCAGGCTACGGAACAGGCTACATCGACGTTTTCCGCCGGGATTTCTTTTGTTGACTGTAGTCCGAACGATGGACATCTTGATTAGGTAATCTAGCAAAGTTCTGACGCTACGCAGCGATGAGGTATTAGAGTCCTGATACATCTGAACCACAGTAGGCAATACAGTCGATAACGTATCATCTGTTATAGTGATGGGCGCTGCATGCAATTCCAACATGTTCGGAACCTCCAACCTACGTATGATGCCGAGTTTATTCAGTCGAATCTTCCATCCAATGCTCAACTTGATTGCTTCAGGCTCTTGTAGGATTCGGGAATATGTAAAAATAGCCCTATCCTCCACACTCCGGGATATTCTTCGTCTTTTGGGTTTGCGAGTCCAGTCAGGGACCCATGTCGGTCCATTTAGGGATAAGGTATTAACATCCAAGCGTTCTAATGCTGCATCCAGAATACCGAGCATGTGTCCATCTTTTATACATCCCAAGGCGAATCTTAAATATGTCTGCACCTTGTCTACTGTATAGTCGATGTCAATCCGAGCTTTGGATTTTGTAGCAAATGCTTGAACAGCATAGATCCGATCCCTGTCATCTGTGCATTCGTACGAGCAAAATCTCTCAACCACATTGAACATGTCATCATACCTGGTCATCCCTGCAGGCACGACCGCGCTTCGATGCCAGCAGTTGTCGATCCACATTGCCACAGTGGCTCTGATTCCGTCGAAATGAGAGTCCTGGAATCGGGAGTCCTCTATTGCGATTCCATGGAGTTTCGTAATCGCGGTTGTGAACCGGAACCAACTGAGATCAAAACTACCGCAGATGAGACTAATATCCGGGCTGAAGACAATTTCTTGAACACTGCAAATTAGAAGGTAAAGGTCAGTGATAATGGCGAATAAGTGCGGTACAGCGGGACTTACATCCACAGCCGCCGGAAGTACGGAAGATTTAAGACGGTAAGGATATCCGAAACTGCGCTTTTGCTCGTGTTGATTTCCTCCCATAAAAGCTGTCCCGGAGATCGAGAGTTAGTTAGCAAATCATTATGGTATCCTTCAATATCAGCATCCTCGCTTGGTCCAGGGCGACGTCGGGATAGACGCTCAATGTGTTGCAAGCCCCTCCGAATTATTTGGTCGTCTTGATGAAGCCAAGCGAGCACTCTTTTAGCCGTACGGAAAATGTCGACCATGAGTGGAATTTGCTTTGCTTTCTCCTGGTGGTTCTTCTGATCGATGCACAAGGCATCTGCCCACAGCCACCTTACATTTGCTGCGTGCCGTAATTGTCGCAAAGCACAAGATAAATTCCTTGCTACGAGTAACTGAGTGCCATCTGAAATATTGTAGACCGGATACTCTAAGATCGGCTCTCCCCACACGTAGGAGATAGCCTCGTACCTGCCCTCAAGATCTTCGAGGTAGCTTTGGTGAAAGGAGAATGTGAGAGGAGCGTCAGGGTCGAGTGAGGGCATCAGAATGACCACTCGGATCTCTGTGGGCTGCGAGAAGGAAGTGTAGACGTGGTCTCTACCACGATCGGTTTCGACCTTGTTCGTTTCCACACCGTCCATCTGCGTCTTGTTGGCTTCTCTTTTGACGGAACCGGTCTGCCCAGCACGTGGGTCTTCCTCTTGCATCTTTTCGACTTGTATTGTCGCACCATAAGCTGACATCTGGTTGGCTTCAGTCAGGTCAGATTGCACATGTTCTAGTTGTGACATGTTAGGCATCGCTTCCTCGGCTTGCTTCTTTTCGAGTTTTGTCTCGTCGCATTCTTCCCTGCAAACCTCCTCGTCGGTTTCAGTCAATTCAGCTTGCATTGTGCCAAGCTGCAACTTGTTGGAGACTACTTCTTCCACTGCGGTCATGAGATCTTCTGTTTTGTCTTGATCTGTACCAGCAACGCCTGTCTCGTCTACTTGAGTCTCACTTATATGCGTGCCGTCGACTTGCATCTCTTCGAATCCAATATCTTCAATTGCCATCTTTTGCTCCTCTGCATTACCAGCATCTGTCATATCCACTTCCATCATGCGCTGACCATACGACGCGAGGTCTTATCGGATTGCGAAAGACGCCAAGAAGGCAATAAGCAAGTCACCAACAAAGAACAAGCCGTGATGATATCGCAAATGACTCCAAAAGCAACAATAATGCAGTGGGCTGTCATGACAGAACGAAGAGAACTTGACGGTAAAGACAATGGCGATGTTAGTGTGCGGGGTCGAATCGAATACGCCTGCATACAAATACGCCACAGCCTTGCATCAGTATATCCAATAGGAAAGTGTTATGGCACCTAAAGGTGCGCAAAAACAGTTGAGCTTGACGTGTCGAAGACGGTGAGATCGAAGAACGCATCGCGTGATAACAAGTGGAAGGCATAGACGACAGATCCTACACCTTCCACCTGGCATAAGATCGATGGCAGGGAAGACTGCATGCGCACGGTTGCTCCATTACAAGAGGAAGGCGCCTTTAACCTACCACAAGCACAAGTATCCAAACACTGCACACGCACACGAAACACCAAACCTGGCAACGCGAAAACGAGGGGAATCTAATCAACTTCATTACCTCATCCAACCCTATCAACCCAATCAATCCAATCAAACCCTTAAATATTCAAATCCCCAGGCTCAAACGTCGGAAAACTATACGGCGTAATCATCATCCCCGGCCCCGTCTCCGCGCCAAACATCTTCTCAATCTCGCTCTATTTCACCGTTAGCATGCATCTCTCACCCCTCCCATCACCACACTTCTCACTTACCCAATCGATCTCATTCATAACATCCATCGGACTAGTATCCGTCGCCGCTCCATACGCCCCATACGCTGCCGTATTCGGACTGCTCCCATCGCTTCCCGGGTGCAGGAGGGTGTTTGCAGTCGCCTGACTGGCGGCGGACGGCGTGGGGACGTACTCATTGAAGTTGAAGAGCGAGGATTGCGGGACGGGTTGTTGGAGGTTGAGGGTGTCGGTGGGGAGGTCGAGGGTGCCCCAGTCGACCTCTGGGATTGCGCCGGGGAAGGATATGGCTGCTTGGTTTGGGAGCCGTTGTGAAAGGTTGGGCTGCTGTGGGGTTATGCGTGTTGCTTGGGGGGATGGGGTGCGCTGTGCGGCGTATCCGGTGCTGAGGTGTTGGTTGGACCCGGGGGGACTACTGAAGTCCGAGGGGACGCTTCCGCTGCGTGCTCGTTCTTCTTGCTCTCTGGCTTTGTAGCCTGGAGTGTGTTTTCGGGGTTGGGGTTGTGGCATGTTATTTGGGACCCGCACTCTCTTCATGCCTGCGTAGATTCTGGACTTTTCCACGAGTTCTTCGAGAATGTATCTGGTTTTCTCGATGTTTGATCCACCTGGGTGGAAGGCCGAAAGCAAAGTCCAGACATCTCCAGACACGGTCTTCGACCTCGGGGTTCGTTTATAACCCGGCATATAGCTCGTTGAGGACGGAGAAGGGTCGGAATGTAATTGGGTGCAGCCGCGCCCGACATACCCAGGAATACATAGACAATGCGGGGTTGCTGTTCAAATAACCATCGAATGCTCTAGGATCGGAGACCGCAGCACTCATGACGAGTTGCCGTAGACGGTCTGGCATCTTCCTCGCCGAGCTCAAGTACTTCTGGAGGAGCAGAATGTAAAACCTATCCGACAAGATACCATATATCTCAGAGGCAAGGGCATGTGATGGCTCACCCTTTCGCAGCATCGGCAGATATATCTTCTCCATAGCCGCTTTAAAAGATTGAACGCGAGCAAGCAAACTTACAAGCGTGACTTTTCGCTCCCCATTTGCTCGTCTCTGATCCAGTTTAGGTCTTTCGCTCCATAGGAAGCGGTGCATCTCGTAGCATTCAAAGCGCATGCGCACGAGAGTTGCGTCAGTGAATTGCTTGCTGTCTTTCCTCGCATCCACTGTATCATCGCCGTTTTCGGCACGATCGAGATCTTCATCGTCAAGATTCAAAGGAAATCGGGTATCGTAATCGTCATGCCGTATCTGAGGGCGTGGGCCAGTGGCTTCGGAGGTCCGGAGATCAAGGAAGCATATTTGGTACCAGAGGGTACGTCGGACCTGAATCTCTACAGGAGAGGTACTGTAGATTGATGGGTCACGATGCAGGCCCATGCACTCAGCCAAGCGGATGACTGTTCCTGTCAGTGCAGAATGGGCACGTGAGACCTCGCTGCGACAAAGCACGATCTACAAGACAATGTCAGTAATAAGATAAGAAAGTGTCCGTCGATAAGAGATCAACAAGGATGATGATTCGAAAAGGACGGTGATGGTCGAAAGTACTCACAAGATACATTACGAAAGCTTGCAATGTTTCCATTTTCGTAGTGCGAAGGAAGTTCGCTCGAGCCAATGCAGACTCAGTGCCTGACCGGAAATTATCCACGAGGCTGTGCTTGTCTACACCAAACTCTGCGGTGACTCTACTTTCGGGCATAGAAACGATCGAGCTGAGCAGTGCAGCGAAAACAACAGCCTGGAATGACAAGCGAGGCTCAATACCCGCAGTCACATTAGACCAGAAGTTTTCGAGCTGCCTTTCAAATGATGGACGATGTACGGCCTTGGCGACTACATGGACAGCCTCCCAGTAGTGTGCAATCAGTTTGTCGACCATTGACCGCGATGGAAGGAACGTCGTGAGAGAAGTCTTCTCGATGCCGGGAGCGAAGAAAAAACTCGACGACGGGGCGACGTAGTCTCGGCTGGGCGCCAGCCATTCCCGTGGATCTTGTTCGAGCACTGGATTGGGTCTTGGATGCTCGCTCTTGGGGAGCTCTTTAAGCGCTTGAGCCATCTGCAGTTTCGTTTGTTGGAAGTCTCATAAAATACCGGAGATGATCTTACCTCGTCTGCAAATCTTGGACGCACCAAACCACCGATTCGCTCTGTGATTCTCACCCTGCCCATGGCAATTCCTAGGTCGACCATATCGTCATCTGCGTCACCTTCATAATACACAGCATCCTCGCTGATGAAGTTTGAGGGGTTCAAATCTCTCGTATCCTCGTCTTCCTCTTGATCACTGTAGCTCTCTTCTTGACCTGGTAGTTTGATGTTCCTTTTGCGATCAGATGAGTGCCCAGATCTTGACTTACTGCGCCGTAGAACATCCTCTTCAAGACTCCGCTCTAGGTCACCCATCTTCTCCTTGACCTCCGCAAGCTTCCTTTGGGCTTCTGCATCGAGACTAGACGCGATAAAGATACAGGGCCGTGCAATCTTTGTGCAGTTGAGGCATGGCGAATTCTTGTCACATTTTAACTTTCGGCTAGAAAGATATATATGCCCCAGTCCAGCGAACAACACTTGAGTGGTTCGAATAGATGTGCAAGAGTACTAACCGCCGACACTCCAAGCACGATGTGATTTGGCCGATTACGACGTCTCACCCGTGGTGGCGCGTGCTGCGCGTTGCCATCGGTTGGAACGGGCGGGGAAGCGTGAGTGTCCCCTTGGACATTCTGCATATGAGGTGGCATTGGCGAATTGGAAGGTAATCCGATCACCTCTTCTCAGATGTGTGGGTCGGCCGTACTGAGAGTGTCTTACGGACGTACCGGTAGGCGCAGGAACGCAACCTTGGAAGCAGATCTGATCAATGATTAGTTGCACGCATTACAAGCGATCGCGTACAAAGCAGTCCCCACATAAGCCACAGCAGACCATAAGGAAATGATCAGGGGCGCGAGGTCGAACAGTCTGAATATACTCGCAGTATTCTGAATTTTGACAGCTACTGGGAGTCTTCCATTCGTTCCCGCTGCAGTCCACTACTCGCAGGACAACATCCTCGGCTTCTGGTGCGACTTACTTGTACGTCTGTGGCTCACCAGTACGTAAACTCGCTATAGTTCGATGTAGATTGAGCACGGTACGCCCCGCATCGGCATCGGTCCGGGCGTGAAGAAGGTAATTTGAGATGATCGCAATTTGCTGTGCGACTCTACCTCACATATCGAGGTTTCGAGAGTCGTGATGGCCAAGAGCATGTGATGAATGCGCCGGATGGTGCCCCGCAAACTGTGTCTGCGATATTCCCTGTCCGTGGCTTTGAGGCTGTCGGAAAGGGTAAGCCCACTTGTCTTTGTCAGCACCGTCGGCCCAGGCAACTATGCGTTCAAAAGGCCATGATTTTCAAGGCAGTGGAGGCGATGGTAATCTGAGGGATATCTGTTGAAGAGGGCAAAAGTTCGAAAGCACGAAACCGGCTGTTGTACGGTCTGTGATTGCCTTGGGATGTTCATGGACCTCGGAAGCTGTTCCGCCCGCCAAAGGCCTCGATGGCAGCGCAGCACCACATCGTTGACGTCGCGACTCCTACCGACTGCAGGTCATCATTCAGGAGAGGAGTTCACTAAAATCCTGCCATCACATCCGACGTGTAGGAGTGCTTAGGTGTGCCTTTAGGCTACTGCATGGAGACGCCTTTTCTGCACCGTACTTATAGGTTCGTAGTTGACGATACACAGCAGGAGGCCTTGGACATTCAATGGTCTGATGGAGTGAAGTGATTTGATCGACGACTGGCGACTTTTGTAGACGCCAACCGGTTAGTGAAGCACTTGAAGGGACAGCGGGCTAGCGCGTGGAGCAAGAGCGCACCTCGAGAGGACGATCTGTCAGGTATGAGCATGAGTGTATTCCACACAACATACTACGACCGCATCCAGCCTGCAAAAATGCCTTCGGTCGATCTGACGTCCTTCCAGGCAACAGACGCGTCGCGAAACGCCAGGTCACGTTTTGGACTCTACGCGACTCGCGAGAGGCTAAGATCCACATGCACTGATTGTTGCCGCCATGCGATTTATCCCGCACGTCCCTTCACCGCTTTCCCAAATAAACACAACTTGCACCTACTGGCGCCGTCTTCTGCACAACAAACCTTGCCGTGCCCCTCAACCCCAAAAGACCCTTCTACCACCCCACCTACCAGTCCAAAACAGCACTCAATATGTCTGTCGTATCGCTTCTCGGAGTCGAGGTCAAGAACAACCCCGCGCCATTCGACGCGCCGTACGAGTTCGAGATCACCTTTGAGTGCCTAGAGCAGCTGCAGAAGGGCAAGATACCCCAGCATTGACCCTGCGAGACCCTGCTAACGTTTGCGCAGACTTGGAATGGAAACTGACCTATGTTGGTTCCGCTACTTCGTGAGTGCAACGCATGCAGTGTCTATACGAGTGCCTAATCGTGCCTCAGAAACGAGTATGACCAGGAGCTCGACTCGGTTCTTGTTGGCCCCCTCCCGATTGGCGTCAACAAGTTCGTCTTCCGCGCCGATCCCCCGGACCTGTCGCGTATCCCCAACAGCGAGATCATCGGCGTCACTGTCATCCTGCTGAGCTGCAGCTACGAAGACCGCGAGTTCGTCCGCGTGGGTTACTATGTCAACAACGAGTACACAGACGAGGCATTGGCGCTGGAGCCACCTGCTAAGCCTGTCATCGACAAGGTACAGAGGCAGATTCTCGCAGAGAAGCCGCGTGTAACTCGCTTTGCCATCAAGTGGTATGTGTCACCCACTGCGCCTAGTCGCACGGCTAACCGTCACAGGGATTCCGAGGAGTCTGCCCCGCCTGAGTTCCCACCCGAGCAGCCTGAGGCCGATCTCAACGCGGACGGTGACCAGTACGGCATTGAGGAGGAAGAGGAAGAGGAGGAGGAAGCCGAGGCCGCTCCTGTAGAGGGCGAGGATGCTGCAATGGCTGGCGGTGAAGACACTGCCGGACCCGCGAACGACGAGGACGCCGAGTCTGAGGCTGGCAGCGAGGAGATTGACATTGAGGACTCCGAGGGCGAGGACGAAGAGGAGGAGGGCGAAGGTGAGGACGGCCCCGAGGACGACATGGAGATGGATGAAGGAGAGGGTGCCAACGGCGAGAGCAAAGTACCGCAGCCCGGCGCGAAGGCAGATGTCATGGTCCACTGAGTGACATGATAGGGGATGACTGAAGCTGGCCCGCTTTTGAAATAGCAAGCGCACTTGGAATCTGGATAGAGCACATTGATGATTCTCATGATTCAGCTCGTCGGACTTTTGTGAGCCTCTCCTGGTGACCCATGTCTCATGCTTCGCCTCTTGTGCCTCGACCGTGCACGCGAATGTCCCTGATCTGCTGCATCGATAATCCGCAAATGGTCAATACTCCAAGGCCTATAGTATTTTTGTGGATCCGATAGAGTGAATAGCATAGTTCTCTGGGTCTAACATCAGATTGCATATCCTGAACCCATACCATGAAACTATATGCAGGTCTTGCATTGCATAATTGAAGAACTGTAGTTTTCGAGGTGCTGACGTGCCACGGAAAGGCGCAGCACAGGAAGCCACGCAAGGGAGATCCAATCCCTTCGATGAACACTTCTCGAACTCACGTCCACGTGCACTTCCTGATTCAGGCTGCCGGTCTGACAGGCCAGACCTTGCGAAACCACCCAAATGCGCCCGAAGTGGAGGCTTGAAGCGACGTCAGTCATAACACAGCCTTCAGGTTCCCAATGGCGCAGCAGCCGCTCATGGGTCGCCGCAGTTGTTTTCCGGCAATGCAAAACCCATTCTCTACCTCATAATAAACTCGAGTCTGGATGCACGCGTGATCTCGACTGCTTTCGTTCTCTTCGACCCCCTCATGACCTGCAAGCGACTTGGGACTTAGTCAGGCGTCATCGTCAACCTCAGACCTCTTCAAAGCTCAGGAACCCCGGAACGCCGTAATTACAGTGATTGTTTCAGTAGCAAACAGCGCCCTCGCCGTCCGTGTCTCTCGACCTGCTGTCACTCCTTACCACCGACAGTCTCTCGACACTACTTGGGTGTGCAGCCCTCCTCCGCTTCCTCCGCTTCCTCCGCACGTTCTTCTCTTCCAAGCTACACCCGAATACGGACACACGGTCGATCCCAGGCACGCACTTCCGTTACGTGTCAGCGACGCGACTCTGGGCCGGAGCGTGCCGTACTACCCCGCCAAGGTCAAAGGTACGGCTTTCTTGATTCCGCGCTGCATCAGGGATCTTTCCAACCTCCATGACAGCTCCACGCGAGACTCTTTTGCAAGATCGCAGCACCCAACGACCGCGTTGTTTCTTGGACCCTGGCTGACGTGTGCTAAATCCAGCCTCCATTTAAATTAACATCCCGCGCCGACAATGGCTTACCAGCAAGGCCAGCCCCAGCTGGGGGCTACATTTGTTCCTGGCGGCTACGATGACTATTATATGCCGGCTCCTTCGCCTGAAGTAATTTCCCCAGCGCCGCAACGGTTCGTCTAACCCCGGAAGTTGTGCAATGAGTAGTGCCTGCTGACGCATCTTGCTCGCGATAGGATAATGCCCGAGGTGCCAGAGAACATGCAGGAGAATCTCGCGCACTTGGAGCTTGAAGCCAACAACCCCCGAAGCATGAATGGCCCCATGTCGCCGCCGGCCCACGGCTACAACCAGTCGCAGCAGAACTTCCCGCCGCGGCAGGCAAGCTACCAAAACGAGCTCCCCGTAGGCGACTGGCAATGGCCGGCGCGGCAAGCAAGCATCTCCTCGACGTTCCGACAGCCGCCGAACGTGCAACCACAGCCTGTGCAGCAGCAGCAGCAGGTCTCACACGATTACAACCAATTCGCATCGAATCACGAATCGCCAAACTTCTCGCCGTTCCCCAAGCTGCCCAATAAGCCGCCGAACGTCCCGCCGTCTGACGATGAGAAGGAAGCTGTCCTGGAGAATGCACGGCTGCCGGTGCTCAACTCGAATGACCCTGAGATGCAGCTGGCATGGGCACAAGATGCGCTCGGCTACGTTGATTCCGCCCAGCTTCATGAGCAACGCATTGCTGAGATACAGGGCGCAAGGCCAGCTACCCCGCAGGTTGAACACCAGCTGCGGGTAGACGCAATGAACGTGGTGACGTTTTTGGCAGACCAACACCACCCCAAGGCAGCGTTCATGCGGGGAATGTGGCTCGAGTTTGGCAAGTTCGGCATGCGTGCGGATAAGAAGGAGGCTTTCCGATGCTATTCTCGAGCGGCAGCTAAGGGCTATTCAAGAGCAGAGTACCGCATGGGAATGCAGTTTGAGCAGTCCAACGACCCGATCAAAGCGCTCCAGCACTACACAGCAGGAGCGGAACAAGGAGACTCGGCTTCAAACTACCGACTCGGAATGATGACTTTGCTTGGTCAACATGGGCAGCAGCAGGACTTTGTCCGAGGAATACAGCTAATCCGACAAGCTGCTTTAACCGCGGATGAGAATGCGCCCCAAGGTGCTTACGTGCTGGGCATGCTCCAAGCACGAGAGCTGCCTCAGATCAATGTGCCAGAAATGTATTTACCATACGACGAAAAATCGGCAAGGCAGAACATCGAAAAGGCTGCATACCTGGGATTCGCGAAGGCTCAATTGAAGATGGGGTCTGCCTACGAACTTTGCAGTTTGGGTTGTGAATTCAACCCCACGCTCTCTCTTCACTACAATTCGCTGGCATCTCGTCAAGGGGAAGCAGAGGCAGACATGGCAATCAGCAAGTGGTTCCTCTGTGGACATGAGGGCGAGTTTGCTAAGAACGAGGAACTGGCATACCAGTATGCCCAACGCGCGGCTGTTGCCGGGCTTGCAACCGCAGAATTTGCCATGGGCTACTTCAACGAAATCGGCATGCACACCCCAGTGAACATCGACAAAGCCATCGAATGGTACGAGAAGGCGGAGAAGAATGGCAACAAGGATGCAGCAACGAGGATAGAAAGCATTTCAAAGACCCACCGAACACTGTCGAAGAAGGATCACGAGAAGGTGGCGATAGGCATGATCAAGTCAAAGCATGGTTCCATGCGCGGCCAGCGACCGGCAAGACTACAGAAGCCTACAGGACCTGCTCTGGCATCAATCAACGACGTCAGTCCTTCAGACTACGGTGATGCTTCGCCTCTCAGCTCCGCGCCTAGTCGCATGGGCAATCGATCCGATACTACCACGCCTTACCCAATCTCGGACAAGCCTCCAATGCTTGGGAATTCACCACCCTCCGCACCGTATGATCGTCCTTCTACGGTCACGCCGTACCCGATGGACAATGGACCACCCAGACTTGGCCCACAACGACCGGGTGTCGCGGGTGGCTTTGCTCCAGAGCTGCGGTCGTCCAGTGCTCGACCTTCGTCATCTTCGGCCTTCAACATCAACCCTAATATCTTTCCCCCGAATGACGGTTATGGGCGTGGTTCACCGCGACCCGGTCCTGGGCCTGATATGGGCTCACTCCCATACCGCCCTCACACCAGCATAGACAACATGGGTCCAGGACAGGGTCGTGGAGGACGCATGCCAAGTGCAGGACGTGGAGCGCCCCTCACACCAGGAGGTCCTGGCGGGTACAGGCAGCCCGGCGGACCGAGTGCTCAACATCCAGAACAAATCCAACGTCCCCAAACTGTGCAGCCAGCAGATGTCGGCTACAGTGGGCCAGACGGAAGAAACAAACTTCAGAAGGTAGGCGCACCGCTGAAAAAGCAGCCCACCTTGCCCGACATTGGATATGTCGCGCCTCTTGAACCAAGACAACACACGCGGCCATCCACCGTTCAACCAGGTACAGAGAGCAGGACATCCTCACGCCCAGACATGCGTATATCTTCCCCACCAGGCTCAGGTGGCCACCAGTCTGTACATGATGGCATGCCGAAGCCAAGCAGAGTTGCTACGATACAACAACAGCACCAGCCACCCCCGAAGAAGCCGCTTCCTGCTCAGGCTGGCAAGCCACCAGGCTCCGCACCTCCTTCTAAGCCCTCTACACCAGCTTCGACGGCATCCGGCTCCGGACCGAAAACGTTTGACGAGATGGGCGTTGGCCAGGCACCCAAGGAGAGTGATTGTGTAAGTCTTGTCTTCGCCAACTGTGCATCTATTTTACTAATTCTGTTAGGTCGTCATGTAAATCTGACCACAGTTTATGGCCATCTAGCGCTGCATATTAAGTTCGTTTGCATAGCGAGTTGCATACAGAATTGGGCGTGCGTTGCTTTTCTTTTAATATACCCGTGATAATGCTCATTCAAGGCTTTGGATTTTGCCTTGATGGTGTAATGTAGAGGAATAGACAATGCTTTTTAGAGTTCGTGGGGGGCGTGGCGTGAAATGTACCCGCTGTTAAACTTTGCAGACGCGTCGCGTGTACACGTGACCGTGATTCCTGAGCCCGCGTCATGCCAATTGAATTCTTCCCATATTGTACTTGTGAATGACAGAACACGAGGCTACATTACATCATATAGGTGATAGTCATAGCTCTCACTCTAGCCTGGCATGAAGTGATTGAGCTGAGCAGAGTACCTAGCGTAGGTAATTGATGTTGCCGGAATTAGTGGGGGAAAGGGACGCGTCGCGGTTTGCTTCACGGAATAAGACCCCATCCCACTTCAACTACAAACTCTCCGCATAGACCGCCTCAACTTCGACTAGCGCAGCGATGGCTGCAGTCATGTCTGCGAAGCGGCCGCGTGCTCTCACCAGCGGACTCGATCTGGCTGGAGGGACTCAGGATAGTCGCGTACGCTGCCCCTTCTCAGCACTTTCCAGAATTCATACTGACCTGGCATGCGCAGACCAAACGGCCGCGACACTCGACGCCCCAAATCAATGACGAAGACTCATCCGAGGACGAACGACCTGGCGCATCGGGCGTTGGCGAACCTGATGACGCAGAGAACGATGCACGGGACAACGAGCAGATGCTGTGGGCGACCCAGCAAGTACAGCGCGACTTCCAAGCGACGGCGAACAAACAGAACATTGCCACAGACTCCGGGATCATCGAGGAAATCCAGTGTATAAACTTCATGTGTCACGAACACTTGACAGTAACGTTGGGACCATTGATCAACTTCATCATTGGCCACAACGGCAGCGGCAAGAGCGCAGTGCTCACAGCGCTTACCATTTGTCTGGGAGGCAAGGCCACGGCAACAAATCGAGCGCAGAATCTCAAGAGCCTGATCAAGGAGGGAAAAGATCATTCCAGTGTTCAGGTCCGCATCAAGAACCAGGGTGCACTCGCGTATAAGCCCGACCAGTACGGAGACTCCATTACCGTTGAGCGCCACTTCAACAGGTCCGGGACCTCTGGCTTCAAACTCCGAGACCAGAATGGCAGAGTCGTGTCCACAAAGAAGGCAGAGCTCGAGGACATTCTGGACGCCTTCTCCAT